ACAAGTTCGCGAGCTTCGGGACAGTGCGTTCGTCCGTTGTGGTTACCTACGTAGACTTAGTCTGGTTGCAGCATGCAAGCCGTCGTCAAGAGGATGCTTATAGCACCGTGGACAGCCATGTTGCCGAGAGCCTTGAACGCGAGTTGAAAGTCTTAGTTTGGCGCCGAGACGTGCAGACTCGGATTGAATTTGAAACGTCACATACGTCTTGTCAGCCCAGCGCATCCTTGGCCCAGGCTTTAGAACATGAAGGCATCGCAGCTGAGAGCTGAGATGTTGGTTGGAGGTTCGGGCAGACATTTAGAGCAAGCTCAGGTTGAAGAAGCCAAGGGTATGTATGCTGTCGTCGAGCATTGTCACAGTTGTCGGGTCCATCATGGTTTGTCAACCCGTCGTGGCCTTGGCTTCTCACGTGGGCTTCATTTGTACACGCGGTTTTTTCAGTGCATCTTGTCGGTCAGGACATGACGAAGAAGAATATCTAAAGCGGGCCGCATCGATCCTTGAGCGGGGCTCTTGCCGTGATGCATGTTTGCGACGCCCAGTAGGGCTGAACGTATATTTTTTGATTGAGGCTCATTTTGCAGGATCTATCCGACGTTGTTCTTGGTAGCATGAAGCTTCCGTGCAAGCTGGAGGCAAGCCTTTGATAAAGAAAGGGGAGCGAGCAGGCAGGTAACCCCCCCGATTGAGAGGTGGAGCCTCGTTGCCTGTCCAGCTCCTATGCTCGCGGCTGAGTCATGTCTTTTTGTGAATATCTGATGCCGCGAAACTCTTGGTTGATTGATACCCCCAGAGGAGCTCGGGCAAGACATTTGGCATCATGGTTCCCGTGTAGGCGCATTCGAGGCGTGACAAGAGATGGGCTAGTCTATCCTGGCTGTGACTTCTTGGCATCTGAAATCCAAACGGCCCGCCCCTTCCTCGTAATGCTGTTGTAGGCACCAAAAACGCGAATATAGAGCCTAGATACTGGTAGACCCTAAAACAGAAAGAGGCAAGCACAGGGTCGGGCCACATGACACTTATGCGGCATTGCATCCTTCTGACGACGATCACCGACCATGTCTTCAATGCCAAGCACAGGGATCACAGCTGCTTCTTGAGGAGAAGCTCATCCAAGTCGCACCCTTCACGAACGCGGGTGGATAAGCATGAGCATCATCAAGCGGCGCGCCAAGAATGCAATGATTTGTTCAAGCTCAATAGGCCAGAAATGCCTAACAGTAATGTCTCGACAACAAGGCGATTTGTGGTGCAGATGTGCCAACAACTTGGACCTAAGAGCAAATTTCGTTTGGCAACAACATAATGTGTTGGAACCGCCTTCATAGAAGCGCCACTTAGTGCTCATGCCATGCATTTTGCTAGTATGGCCGCCAATTGCCGTGTAGGGTAGTCTGCACCAGGTCGAACCCTCGCTCGACCTGTATGCAGTCGTGCTTATACCTGTCAGGTCGCAGCATCTAGTCTGTTCAGGTACGGCACATTTTCACAGCTTCATCTGCTGAATGTGCCTGCGTGGGGGGGCACCTTGTTGCGAAAGTTGAGAGTCTTGGATGGAGCGAATTTCTATGTGGAGCTTGATTCCACGTTTGCTGGGCACATGTGACCGAAGCTGCGTCGTCCCTTCTTTTGCGTGACGATGAGGTCCAAGTTCTTCGGCATGACTTGGTATCCTTTCTGAGAGCACGGGGGGGTGCACTGCTGGCGTTGCAACGGGTCAGCCTTTTACCGGGAGTTATGAAGTGCATTGCTGGGCAACTTGGAAGATTGTGATGCAGCCCTTACCGTGACACTCACTGAGGGTGTACCCACTGGCATTCAGTCGGACATTCTGCCGTAGGGTGTGTGGCGCCCAGTCGAGCGCCCTGAGTGACTGTGCCTTGGAGTTGTCGGTGCAGTGGTCATCTTCTGTCCCGGCATGAGGAAATGCAGCGGATTGTTTTTTCGTTGGATGTGGCCAAAGAGCACAAGGGCAGCAAGATCCGCCCGGAAGAGCGCGGGTATTCCATCTTCATTGCTGTCGGTCCACAGGGCCCAAAGCGCTGAGTTGCGAAAAAACAAAACACTGCGCACGCATTTTGGAGCATCGTGGGCGGGCTATTGGTGGGCACAAAGCAGCTGCGGCGCACGTTCTCACTCATGGCAGCCACTCATGATTTATGAGCTCTGTTCCCGCGACATGAAGCACCTATTTTGGCATGCTGGTGTGATATGTTGGCAGTGGCTATGGGAATCCCTGTTTCGTGGCGCAAGCGCAGCTTGTGGATTCGTTGCGATGGACAGGATGGGTAATCTGCCTGACTAGGCGTCCTGTTGCCGTTTTGCCTGACCAGAAGCGTGCTGCTCTGCTGAGTCCGGGCTTGTGGTGCTAAAAACGGAGGAGTCACGTGTTGCTGCATTCTTTTCTGAGGTTGTGGAAGCGAGGGTGTGTTGTGGCTCCAGAGGCATTCGCCAAGGGCGACCGTGAGGGTTTAGGGAATTGTGGATAGCGCCTGGTGCTAGCAACGTTGCATCCGCGGAACATCCATACTTTGTCATACTGATTCAGCGGCGCGACATGCCTGCTTGGTTCCTCAAATCATTGGACAACGTGCATCCTGACCTTCAATCATTGATTGTCGTGTTCGAAGCAGTGGCGCAGCTGGTCTTATTGGAATGCCACTGTGACTCACTGACCGGGACGGGCGATGTTGGCTGGTTGGCTTTGCCACAAGAGTGTGATAATTTTAGGTGTTGTCGTGGCAAGAGCCAAAACATTGTCCCTCGAGGAGCGGTTGGTTTCAGTGGTGCAGTCAGCAAGGCCACAATGAGTGCGTCTGTGGATTCAGGTTTCCCATCCACACATTGTGTGGGCTATGTGTGTTTGAGGCGGCGTGGGCGGTGGCTGTGCATGGATGCTTGTGGATGCCAGCACTCTTATTGGATTCTGAGATGAGACCCCTGACAGCAGTCATAACCTAGATGGCGCGTGGAAGCACAAAAAGAGTGAGAAAGGGGCAGTCACCGTCACTAGGGGCTGGCTGGATTAGCATCTGAGGCGGCGGCTCGTGCAACTATACCGCCTCCCCACCGTAAAAATTAAAAACTGATCCCCATTGCTGGACAGTTTTTGAGAGATAAGCAATATCAGAACGCAATTCCCGTAACTGCACAGCGAAAGACGAATGCTGATGCGCGCGTCGGTCACAGCCCGAGGGCCCCGGCGGAGATTTCTTTGACAGGGACGGACAGGGGGCATGTGCCCCCATTTCCATAGTAACGGATGAATTTGCAGCCAAAGCAGTCCGCCATCCCTCATGGTTCCAGGTGTGCACTACAGGTGAATTGAGGGTTCTACGAAAGGCGTGCGAGCACATCGTGCGCACAAAGTCCGAAGATTCGTCAACAACGACAGCGGCTTCGTAGCTGCCAAGCGTCCGACCATCACAAGCGTGGGTTGCAATGGCCCTATCTCTGGCCTTCGCAATAGAGAGTCCTTGCTTTTTGGAAGCCTCGAAAAGCGAGAATTGTTCAACAAAGTTCAACTGGGCAGCCCACTCAAGATCACGACGAAACGAGCCTGTCCGAGACATGTGATGCCTAATCGCCATCATGGATCGCAGGAGTGGGTGTTTTTGCTTTGCCAGTCTGAACTACCGAATTGGCGGCCAGGTTTACCTCTTGGTCCCGCCAGTCGGGCTCAAGCTGCCGAAGCCTTGTGCGCATGTGCGAGAGTTGGCATATCGAACCGCGGGAGTGAAGCCCGTCTACAAGCAGGTCTCGTGAACGACTTCGATTTCCAGGCTTTTGCGTGTGTTCAATATTCGCGCACGCCATGTCGCAAATATTGTGCGGAATCTTGCGACAGTGCGCGTGTTGAGGCGATGTCGGCACTTCAGAATGCTTGGACCTGAAAGCAGGGGAACGTTTTTGCATGCTGATTGTTGCGTTGATGTGCGTTGTGAGAATGTTTTCTTGCTCTGCTAAGGGAGCCCAACATGTGGAGTGAGACACTCAGCCTGTTGGCTGGTAGGAGCTGTTGACGAGGATTCTCCGTTCCTGCCACCATGCAAGCAGTAGATCCGTGGACCACGACGCCTTTCACAACACCCCGGCGCAACATACCAATGCTGTTTTCGTGATTACTGAACTGTGTGCTTTGGTTGACCGTGACCCAAGGCTTGCAAGAATGTGAAACTCACAGAATTTATTCGCAGATGCATGTCGTTTACGACGTGTCAAGCAAGCAGGCGACGTTGGAGCTACCTTGTGGGTACAGTGTTGTGCTCGACGCTCATTACACGCTGCGGAAAAGTCGGCTTCCTGGCTGATTCGTTAAGAGCAGGTTGTTGCACTCCAAGTTGGCTTCCAATGCTTGGCTGGCACCTTGGGCACCCTAGCATAGGAGCCTCGTCACTTGATTGTTGGACAACGACAGCCTCGGATGGAGCCAGGTTGACTCAAGACATGCTCCCCAGAAGATTAGCGGAATTGCGTGGGCCTGTCAATCCCTGCTTGTACTGATGCCATCGTCCAGACTTGGGCTACCAAGGGTGCCACGTGGCATTGTGGAAATACAGGCACGGAAGTCAGTTGCAATGGCATGATTATCGCCTCAGCTCCATTGCACAGGTGGTTCTTGCTGGTGGTCAGCTTTTGCCCGACTTTGATGTTGAAATGCGCCGTATTCTCAGCTTCTGTTAATATCACTGTCAGGTCAAATGCAATGCTGGATCATATTGCGACAGGCTTCAAGCCTCCGCCGAGCAGGTTCGCATCCGCATATTTGCAGCCTGCTGTCGGCATGTCTTGCAAAATGCCGTATGATGCCCTTAGACAAAGGTCGGTGCTAACGAAAGTTGTGCGATGTGGCAACATAGGTGTCTTCGAACCTTCATTTTGCCGTCCGCACAGATGTCACAGGAATTCCGATGGCAGTGTTGGAGAAACTGTGGTGGGCCTGGAACGACACCCGTTTCGAAATGAATCTGTGAAGCGTGTGATGAACTCAGGCGATGCACTTCTGCGCACAGGATGGCCTTTGCCAAGTTGAAGGTGTCCCGACCTTGGTCGATGCCAGCTTCCAGCATGCAAACATGATCCCTGTCCGTCTGAGACAACCACATGTGGATCCCACCTTGTGAATCGAGTTCTGATGTTGTCCCACTTCCAGGTGCCGCTAAAGGCAGAGATGCGCATCACCGTGAAGCACCCGGTGATGGAAACTCAGGCTTGCACTTTGTGTGCGTGGAAGTCCATGATACCTGTAAGCATTGCGGAATACCTGGCAGGTCCTCAGGCTAGTCCTTGCGCGTCGCACCGCTCGGATTGTTCTTGCCGGCGATGCTGCCACACGCTTGGCAGCTGTGTGCAACATTTGCCAGCCCCTGAGATTGATTTGCTATCAAGGTCGTGCGCCTTTGGTGCATAGATCGCCCTGGTGGCACTGCCGCAGTGGGCTCACTTGCTGGTGCAGGAGCGGCTCAGCAGATGCCAAGTGTAGAACAGGTCGTCATGGCCGACTACGTGCAACAAAACAACGGCGTACCCTCGTCAGCGCGGCCCTTGCGAGGACAGGCGGGCGTGCACGAGAGCAGATCCGCGAGCTGTCTCAAGTCAGCTCCCGGCCAGGTGGAGCAGGCAAGCGGAGAGAACGTTCAAATTGATGGCCGAAACCCTACTTGCGGTGTTGTAGGCAGTGCTCGATGCTCGAGCAATGTCACCTTAAAAGCAGAATGGTCAGGTGTCTTCCGCTTGCCTTGGCGAGGGGCGATGCATCAGTTCGAGGGCGTCCAGGCGGCAACATCATCGACAACTATGGTGTGCTTGATCACGTTTGTCTGGAGGTAGAGGTTTTTTATGGTCTCTGCTGGTTTCACAAGCAGAAGATTGGATTCTGCAGTAACATGAAATGGGCCTGGAGTTCGGAGCCTTGAGGCTTTGAGGCTGGCATCCACAGATCCAGCCACCCGTGGCCCAAGACCCCACTCTCCACTGGCCTCCACAGCTCTACAAACCTACCCCCTTTTGAAGTAAAGTTTGTGTTCTGAAGCTACGCCGGGTTTCCGCGGAGGTGTAGGCGAGGCCAAGCTGAGTGTCAGAACATGCGGCTGTGACCTGCACGTGTGACAGGCTCCAGAATACACTTGCCGTCTGGCAAAGGGGTTTTCTAAAATGAATCTATCGAGAAATTGGACGATTGTTGCATACCATCGTCAGTTGTGCAGGTGCTGCCAGCTCACGGGCGCGACACTGAGCCAAAAAAATCCCTCGTGGCCGATCTATGGCACCTCGAAGCGTTCAGGACAAATCCGCAGGACCGGAGCACACACTTTGTCAACTTGCTCAGAGAGATGCCGCGGAATAATCAATGAGTGTCGATGTCGATTCTGCTAACAGGCCTCGCTGATTTTTGGTCACAATGTGACCAATGCTCTACTCTTTCAGATTCCGGCATCTGGAATGGTGAGGTGCAGGGTAGAGCTGCCACACGCAAGTGGGGAGCTTCGGGAACTGCAGGAGTTGGATGCCAGTGAAGCCTGTGCAGCCCGAGGAGGCTCGACATCGCGTGTTCAGGCCGTCACGTTAGGTCTGCCGTGAGAGGTGTTGTTTTCAAAGCCCTGTGGTGTGATCCTCGCGGCCCTGCGCGATGTCATCCTGAAAATGGAGACGAACTTCCGAGATACGGAAGGCTCACAACAAAAGGATGCATTTGGCTCGCTACAGTTGCTCCGTCGAGTCCGGCAGGCGTCTCTGAGCCACCGGGAGAGCCAGAGCCGGAGCAAGAGATGGATCCCACAGGCCAGGGTCCAGTGGAGGTGCAACAAAGTGTTGATGAGGTCTTGAGGCGAGAGTTTGTCATGCAGGTGACTGTGAACGCTTCGGGCAGCTGCTAGAGCAGGGAGCTGGCCTTGTCAGCACCTTTATCAGAACAGCGAGCCAGATCTGGAAGGCCCGGAGGTACTGTCGCCAGCGGCGAATTATTGAAGACAGACCGTGACATGGGCGAACATGTTCGAAGTGTTCGAAGGTTGACCTCTCCGAACAGACACGGTTTGAGGCTGGTCTTGCCAATCTTGCATGGACGTGGCCGTCTCGTAGCCTGTTGTTTTTTCGGATCAGGCCGAAGATGTCAAAGTCTTGGCTGCTGCCATGGATGACCCATGTTATGAGGAGCTCGTCCAGTTCTTAACACGCAGGAGAATGTCAGGTCTTGGCAAGAGTCTGCGCTTATAGCACAGCTGAAGGTCAGAATCTGTGAGTCGGTGTCTGGTTCCTTGACGACGCAGCGGCTCTCCCAGGAGTCAGGTCCTCAAGTTTCGGACCGTCCAGCTACATCCCACGAACCTATGCCGATGTAGAGGCTTCGCCAGTCAGGGGCGACGAGTGCACGGGACTCCTTGGCCAAGGCGGGTTGGAACATAAGACGGACAGTAGAGCTGACGAGGACTCTGTGTGGTTTGATACGCCTTGATGCTGCGATGAGAACCACTCCACCACAAATTGTTGTGGCAGTCGGTTGCTGCTGCATACATCCGAGCTGCGCAAATGAAGCTGCAGTCTCAGCCCTGCTCACTGAACGCTGCGTCGGTATGTATTTATGTATGTATGTGTTGACATGCATATTCATTTTACACACACCTGCCTACATACATGCATGCGTAAATCAATGCCACAGACAGACACAGATAGGTAGATAGGTAGGTATGTGGGAAAGATAGGTATATAGACAGATAGATGGTTATATGCATTGATGCATGCGTGCGTGCATACATACAGAAGCTTCGCCAAGGCCATGGTTTGAGACATTTTGCCGGCAGGTGGCCAGCATCCGAGCTGGTCGAGTTATGCCCGTCCTAATCTTTTTTGTGTTTGTGCTGCACAGGTCGGTGCCACTGGTGCCGAGGTTGATGAGGCATTGGAAAGCTGCGCTGTGTCAAGGGCTGATAGAGAAACTGCCAAGGCCAGACTGGTGGGTGCATGTGGCTCCACTCGCATGCTGCAAAAGATGGTCTTGTCTCCCGAGTGTGCATCTCGCTGTGTGACTGTTGGAGATCGCATTCTGAGTGACGTGAAGGATTCACTGTCCTGAGGCTGAGCCCCGGCAGTGGGATTTTGTCGTGCTGTGTCAGGTGCCAAAGCATGGAGGACGGGTGCGATGCCCTAGAATGAGGGACACATTGCGAACCAAGAGCTCGTGGACAGGAGGTGACACAGGTCGTCTCGAACATCTGCGAGAAGCTGGAGGGTCGTGCGGACAGCGGGGTGTCTGCAATCGCTGCCCATTTTCTGGACGAGGCCTTCTTTGCAACATTTTGAAACTACTGCAGCTGTGAGCCCACTAAGTGAAAGGATGGCCAGATTCGCTCAGACTCCGAACTGAGCGACGTCGGCTCGGTGGTCGTGGAAATTGCATGGAGAGGGAGGCCATCAGATCCTTTATCGACGGCTGAGGTCCGGGGCCTGTTTGTGTCACATTGCAGTTGCCCGTGGTATCAGTGTGCGAGGTGCGCGTGGTGAATTTGATTCTACAGAAGTCACTGAGCTTGACGGTGTTCCATGCATGTTTGCAAGAGGAAGAACGTCCTGCCTGTTTTGGGCTTTGTGCCGCCCGGAGCCAGCCAGGCCAACATTGCGCCCAACTATTTGGTGGAGCTTCAAGACCGGTTTGGGGAAAATGGCATAGGAAGCTCGGGCGATTTCCCTGACGTTCTACCGATAGCCGCCATGCGTCGCCGGCCGAGAGAGAGAGATCGCTCCAGACACTAGTGCCGATACTGCCATGGAGTGCTGGAGTGCTGGAGCAGAGGTCGAATTACGGTGAAGGGCTATCACCCCGCAGTTCCGCACCACCACCTCCAGAGTCGGAACATGAAGGCACTCAGCTCGAAGTCAGTCGCTTTCGATTGGGCGGGTCAGCAAAGCCTGCTGCAGGATATCTTGGTTCGAGGAAGCTTTGAGATTGCGATGCTGTGTGCGCCTGAGGCGCAGCTTCAGGCGGGCCGGCCGCAACTTTATCTTCTTGGCTGCGGGTTGAGATGGATACGCAGGTGGTCATGCCAGAGAGCAAGATCCCGCTGGCAGCCGTCAAGGTGGAGAGTATTGACAGACGCCAGGCCAGGCGGGAGCGAGAGGAGAGGAAAACAGGTCGCGTACTCTTGCGTAGAGGTGCACACATCACGGGCTGGCTGGTGTACACTGGCTTTGCGGACTCTCGTCAGCTTTGCACATGTTGCATTCTGGCACTTTGGAACAATGGTTCATGGTGATTGCCGCTGAGGCCTGGGGAGCAGGCAAGGCATGGGAGGGCATGCCTGGTACTTGATGGTGAAAAATGTTTACGGGTACCGAAGCTGGCGCTGTTGTGTTTCGAATTGCTGGGGCCGGAGCCTTTGTTTCGTTCGACAGTGGCAAAGACCAGGCGGTTTCAGGGCTCCAGGGCTCGGCCATAGAAAGGACTGAGCGACCGCTGATTCGATACCGGCTCTTCTACCCAAGTCTATCGAGTCTGGGTCTGGGGGCTGCTGAAGGGAAAGCCAAAGCAAAGGTTTGTTAGCGGAGCACATCTCACTAGGTTGCAGACCCTGAGGACGGGCAGTACTGCTTTCGTCCGAGGCACCCACGCATAAATCCTGAGATCCAAAGCGAATTTACAGCACATGAACTTGAGAAGTGGATCCTTGACGATCACGAACCATTACCTCCAAGGTGAAGCTGTGCAGAGGGTTCGTGACGTCTACGAAAGAATCTAGCGCTAGACGAGAACGACAAAGACGGGGGTGCAACGAAATCCCAGCGCGACACACGTGTGGTGCCTAAGTGTTGTAGCATTACGCATTGCTGCACAGAGACTGCAAGTGTTGTTGGTCTGGGCTATAGTAGGATTAGTTTGTTACCTGGCTGGTCTCATGGCATCCTTTCCGGCAGAAGCTTCGTTTGCGGCACGATTTCCTCGGCACCTGGACAGAGCAGTCGCCCGGAAGAAGTTTTGGCATTTGGCTCCAGGCAGCCTGAAGATGAACATGTTCGACTGAGGTCAATAAACGTTTCGTCTTTGACGCCGTCTTTTCAGATTCCAATGGAGATGGAGTTTGCTGTCTGGATGACCCCGGTGACAGTGATGGGGCAGGTGCGAGCCTCAAAGATGGTGTAGCGCAAAAAGCCTTGCGAACCTCACCTGCTCAGGTGCAAGCTTGGGAGTATTGGATTGGAGGATGTGGGAAGAAGCCTCGCCAGGACGGAGCGACAGCACACGCAGAATTCGGTGCAGCTGCACAGCCGGAATCGTAGGCATCGCAAGTTGAGCTCTTGGCCTCATGCCAAGCATTTCGCGCTGTTCGTCACATGGTCTCGGCTTTAGCACGGGTTCACAAAAAGAAGTGTAGCGTACCTGGTTTGTTATAACCCAGGGTGGGACAACAGAGGTGGGGCTTGACATGCCCCTGCCTTAAGCCTGGGAGAAGAAGAGAGAGAGAGAGAGAGAGAGAGAGAGAGAGCTCAAGTACTGCGCCTTTGCTTGGAGGCCTGTCCCGCCTCCTTGCATCGGGGGGGAGGTGTGGGGTTGACCCAAGGCTGTTCACCTTGGGGGAGCCTTCACACCTTTCCCAGCGGTGCTTGAGCACCATATCCGCCGCCACTTTGCTTCAGAGGCCCTGACAGGGCTAGATACGCAGGAGCCATACCCAAGGAGGGCACGTTCGAACTTCTACCTCCTTGTGGGGGACCTAGCAAGTGCAAGAACCTCTTCCACACCGCTTTGTAGCAGAACGGGGAACAGACCTTCACCGTCGACCCCTGCCACCTCCACTGACACGGCGACCACATCGTGCTTCCTCACTGGACGGGGGAGTATATCACCGTAACGATCGTGACTGTGGCAAGGACGGGGGGGTAGTGAAGTTCACCAACGACCCGGGCGATGGCGACAGCTCCGCTCACAGTCTGCGAGCTTTGCCGTTACGCAGAGAGGACCCGCAGAACCAGCGGGGGAACCACCACAGCACCTACGACGACGAGCTCCGCCACACGCACGATCTCCCACAGAGGGGGAACATCTAAGGGCACAGCCGGGGAACGCCATCGACCTCCGGCCGAACACAAGGTGGCGTGCTGTCCAAAGGATTCAGACACACATGGCCCGATTTCGCTAAGATCCACATGAGGATGAGTGAGCGGGGGGAGCGACAGTGAGCGGCAAAATTCTCCAGGTTTACTTTCAGTTTCGCTTGCAAAGCCAAGCCTAATTATGACGGGCCGCTGGAGCCAGAAACACTAACTACCGACGGGGAGCCATAAGCCCCCACCTCTCTGCATTTGTTGCAAAACACTCGGCACCCAGACAGAGTCTTGCCGCTAGTTCGGTTCTTTTAACAGGAAATTTGAAAGGGGCTTCATACCAACAACGCATGGGGGGACCAGCGTCTTTTCACCACTTGCCTCTACACTACTAAGCTGGTATACCCGCTTTTTTCCCAAAGCAGCCCACCACACCGAACTTTGCCTTTTCGTTCTGGTACTGTGATCTGGCATCGTATGGCACTCAGTTGGTTTTGCAGTGAAAAAGTGGGGGCTGCTAGCAGTACAGTAACTTACGTGGGGGTGTTGTTCGGCGAGGACCTAAGGATTCAGCCAAAGAGGGCGCGGGGACGAGGCCGGGATGCGGGATAGAGTACAGGGTTTCAGGGGGTCCAGACCGAACAAACACTACACGTTACAAAAGCCTCGGGGAACAGCCCCGTCCTCTGACCCCAAAGCCGCTCTTCCACCACTTTTACAGGAAGGGGGGGGCCTCGGCCCGGGTTTGTCTAGCGGACCTTTCCCCAGCAGCGAGCGAGCGAGCAAGAGTACAGGGAGGGGGTGTGCAGCTGAGAAGTTCGAAGCAAACTGTGTAACAAGTACAGCGGTCGGTGACACCCCAAAGCCGTCCACTCAATAAGCCACTGGGTGGACGGGCGGGCTGAAAGCCTGAGGGTCACGACGGTGACCCCTAAGCCCGGCAGAAAGAAAGAAAGAGAGAGAGAGAGTACACCCTAGCCCTGGCGAAAGAAAGAGAGAGAGAGAGAGAGCCCCACGAACATCGGGGGGGGCTACAAGGCCGAGGGGTCTCGCACTCCCCTCATGCCCCGGAGAAAAAGAGAGAGCCCCTGCCTCAAACCCCGAGCAAAGCAAAGCAAAGAGAGAGAGAGAGAGAAAGACCAGTGCGCTCCCGCGCGCGGGGAAGGGTGTCCGCCCTTCTCTTGGCTGAGTGCAAGCAAGAGAGAGAGAGAGCTGTGTTGCTGTGTTGTGGCGGGGTCGACAGTCAGTCACATTTGGGGAACGTGGGCATCGCTCAACCCCGAAAGGGGCCTTGAAGACCGACAGTCGCGAACCTTTGTCAAGGGGCCCTCGGGCCAGGGTCGCCCTGGATACCCACACCTCTTAGCAAGCAAGCAAGCAAGAGACAAAGAGAGCCTTCACTTAGCCCCGTGTACCCTGGGCCCGTGTTTTCCTTGGTTTGCGGGACCCAATGCCGGCACAGCACACATCCACCAAAGCAGCCACATAACCAGTGTTAAGTGGCTCCACTGAAGTTTACTGGTATCGCAGTATTACTGTCGCATTTGTTTCTTTACGAAAGCCCCCAAAGCTCTGGCGCCCGCCAACAAACCCGAAGTCAGGGAGCACAAGGCGGAAAAGTAAAGCGCAACGAGTGGCGGTCAGAGCAAACGAGCTGGACTAGGCCGGGACTTGTAACTGTGTGCAAGGACACCCGCCGAGCTAACGAAAGGGGGTAGGTGCAGGTAAGGCTTGCCGGGGGTCGTTCGTGCAAAGGCGGTGTGTCAGGGGTCCACTTTTTCTTACTGTACAGCCGAGCAGAACAGAGCTCATCGAACATATTTTAATCTATGCACTGTAAGCCCGAGTCGTTTCATGCCATATTGTTTTGTATTCTTCATACTTCAAGCTCTCCATGCTCCCCATTTGCCGGGCACTCAGAGTGCTCGCCGGGGGCTACAAAAAGCCGAAAAGCCCGGAGCAAACAAAAGGAGGGGTTCCTTGGTTTAGTTTAAGTCTAAGTGTTTTCCTTAGTGCACTGCTCTCCGACTCTCCGGTCTGACTGTCTCTTTCACGCGCTCGCCGTAGATGCCTCAACCCAGTGGACGCTTGCGTGCGGGGGGGGGTATTGACGCTACCTCCGCGTTCCCCCCGATGTGTTACCCTTCCCACAAGAAAGAAAACCCTTGCTAAACCATGACCTTGAATAACTGAATAACTGTCAGGCTCCATTCGGGTCATCCGCTGTCACCTTACCGGTCAGAGTGGAGGCTCTGTGCTGTGGCCGAAAGCATAAGAACAGCCCCGAAACGAACTACAGAAAACACCCGGGACACTGTCCAACCCATGTACCGGCAAGGCCGCACTGAGCCCCCGACTGAATCAATGTGCCGAACTGGGCTTTCGGCAAAACGCAGAAGTTTTGTGGCCCCCTGGACCTTTTTATGTGCCAGAAAAACTGAACTTGGTACAGGCAGACGTCTTTCTACGTCCCCTGTAAAAGTTTGCATGAGGTCGTTTCTCCACGGTTCTTGGATTGAAAGGAGTGAAACGAATGCACTTCGTCAGCTTTCTCTACTTCCCCCCCGCCGGAAGTTTGCCTTCTCGGTGGCGCCGAAAAAGTGTTATGCTCACCTCCGATGCAGTGTAGGTCAGGCTCTCCATCCCCGCGCCTGACATCGTTCAAGAGAACCTGACCTACAAAGGGAGATTCAGTAATCGGCGGGAGTGAGCGTAACACTAGTGTAACACTTTTTCGGTGCAACGAGAATGCAAACTTCCGGCGGGGGAAGTGGAGAAAGCTCGTTAGTGTAGAGGGTTGGGCACTCACACGAATCCGTCCAAACGATCCCAAAGCCCTTTTCCACCGAAGAAAGGGAAGGGGGGGGCCTGGGCCCGGGTCCGCCTGCGCGGACTGATCCCCCGGTGAAGTGAAGTGAAGAGGTGTTCGGGTGTTGTGGTTGGCAGCACAGACCTGGTCTCGTGTCCGACTGAGTTTCTCGGCACGTTATTTCCTCAGTGCGCGAAATCGCGCGGGGTGTCGGCGCATGCTGACTGTGCTGAGGAGGAGAAAAAGAGAGAGAGAGAGAGAGAGAGAGAGACGTCCCTCCCGCAGTACATGCCAGCAATGTGGTGGCACTGGAAGATGGTGGAGAGGAACAAACTGGGGGGCTCCCCCCACTCACCAGACTGAAGTACTACTTGAAGGAGTTGGGGGCCCTTCTGCCGTTCCTGACCACAAATGAGGGGGAGCCCACACGAAAGCTTCTGGGGCAGCTGTTACAGTGGCTCCAAGGGCAGGAGCGCAGTACCCTGATGATAGACAGCCAGGGGAACGCGGAGACCCAAGAGACCGATGCTCCGCCAAGCCTGTTCGGGGGTCCTCTCGAACAAGTAGGCCCAGATGCTGGAGGCTCGGGGGACACACTGCCTGCTGCGTCCCAGAGCCTGCAAATGATAGTGAATGGGGACCCAGCCGACACCCTGCTGCTGGGCAACCACAGTGAAGGGGAGACTCCAAGCAGCGGAATGGACAGCCAGGAACATGTCCCAACCCAGCCAGTGTTCTGGGGGCTACGCCGCGAGATGGCAGAGCTGGACGTGCTTTCGTCAGCTGAGAGAGACGCTGAGACGGAGGGGGAGCCCGGCCATGACAGCGGCCCAACAGCGACCGAAATAGCAGAGTCGCATTACCTCCAGGAGCAACTGGAGGCGGAAGCCGAAGCGTTTCCGATAGGAGCACGGCGTAGGCTGCTGGACCCACCGGGGAGCCGCCGTAGGGCCCCTGCTAGCTACCGAACGGATAATTCCGACTAGGCTTCACGGGGGGAGCCAGCAGCCAATGAGGGGGGCAGTCAAGATGTTTTTATCCTACTGTGCAGTTGTTTGCTAGAGTGTTGTATGCCCTGTTGCTTCAGCCGTTTCCGAAGTAATGTCGCCCGAGCCTCAGCCGTGTACAGAGTGTTTGCACTGTCGTGTATGCTCCTGCTGCCAAGTCGCACACACCTGCAACCAGAACATGTCCTGTGAGTGTTGGCCTTGATGTAATGTGCGTGCTACCAAAGCTAAGCGGTGTGACAAGCCCCAAAACGGGGCAGCGACTGCCGGGGGCCAAGCTCGAGAGGGAGAGCCGTAGCAGGTGGTAGGGGGGTCCCGCACTTAGCCTACGAGGCGGGTTGGGGTTTAGTGTTACGGGTGTTGTGGTTGGGGGACCGGTGCTCCGTTTTGTGGAAACTCTCGGGCAGTCTTTTGTTCCTTCACCTGTCCCAGTGCGCGGAAACGCGCGGAGGGCAGTGCGACCAGACGCGGTGCCCTTTTGACTGTGCTGAAGAAGAGAGAGAGAGAGAGAGAGAGAGAGAGAGAGAGAGAGAGAGAGAAAAAAAAAACAAGAGAGAGAGAGAGAGAGTGCAAGCAAGCAAGGTATTGGCTCCAAGCCCGTAATCAGGTATTTTGCTGCGCCGGGGCTACAACGAGCCACACGTTGGCGAGATGCCCGTGAAACAACCATGGCATGTAGAACAGACACCAGCATGCTGGACAGGGTCGGGATAGTGGAGGCAAACTCATGGCTGAGCATCGGGTTGCTACAGGACCAGCATGCTTGTACCCAGTTTCACACCGGACACGAACCACGGCGTAGCGCTCGCGTGCAGGGGTTATGGGGTTCGACCCTATGCCCCAAACGCCCTACAAGCAAGCAAGCAAGAGGACCCCGACGGGCTGCTCCCGCGGGGGCATGCCTTCAAGCCTGGGGAAAGGACCTTGATGTTTCCTTCTTTCTAGGACCCTAGGAACAGAACGGAAGGGGTGCAAGGATCCTAGGAACAGAACCGAAGGGGTGCACCCTTTTCCTCTACAGCCTTGGGCCCGGTGCCCCTCACTAAGGTGGCTTGTGCCTGGCCCGTAGATTTTTCCTCGTTCCATCGAAACACCTGCTGCTTTTGCACCTTTCCTTGTTGCTCAACTTCGGGGCACGGGCGACCGCACCCAGTCCCAAGATCTTGCAGGACGGTTCCGAACCGTTCTGCGGCAAAGTTCGGTTCAACGGCCGGAAGCTCCTCGGCAACTGTCGCCTGTTGTGAACACCTTTTCTTCTTGATGGCTCCAAGGTTGGATGTCGACAATGGCCCGGTGCTGTCGGTTTTAGCGGATTTTAGCGGTGCGTCACTCTGTTGTGGCGGGAACCGAGGTGTGCTGCTCCTTCGTTCGGAGCCTGTTTGCGAGCTGCACGAGCCGAAGCTTGAGGACTCGCCCGGCACCGAAGAGGACATTCCGCTGCTTTCCTTGCAAGAGGGTTAATCCTGGCATTGCTTTGAGTGAAGGACCCTCTGCTGGGTTTCGATCTAGAGCCACCGTTTGCAAGAATGGCATCGCAAACAAGTCAGCGTCCGTGACTCGGCTGCTTAGAGTCAACGCCATTGAGAAAGCAGCTGCTTTTTCGAGTGTTTTTTCATTTTGGCTGGCTTGCCGGCTTCCTAACTTCTCCGTGTTTGGCTTTGGCGAGTTCTTGACGCCTTTTACAGTTGACTGGCTTCTCGGCTTTTTGGCTTTCTGTAGAGGGTGTTAGTCCCCCTGATTTTCTCGAGGAAAATAGCTTGTTTGGTTGTGTGTTCTTACAGTCGGCAGTCTTTCACTACTGTAGTTGCTGTGCATGGAAGGGGGAGCAAGCCGCCCCATTCCGCGCCATCCCGTATGTCAGCGGAAGCCAAGCTACGAACCATTTCAAAGACTGTCCGCCTTTGGGTTGGTGCCCTGTTGGGCCTGGAGGCGTGCCTAGGCACAAAGGTTGAGGAGGGAGTTGTTTGAAACACCGTCGACCTCCCTTCTCTCACACACGCACACACGCACACACAAAACACACAAACACCCCGACCCTTCACGCCAACGTCAAACTCAAGCCCAAAAGCCAACACAATCGAACTCTGAGCCCAAACTGGGAAATCACAACCCCAAACTGGCCGTTCCAGACAAGGAGGAGTCAAGGACGACATCTCTTCAATTCTCATCGTACTAAGTCTTCGCTAGCAGGTGTGCGGGATCCGAGCCAGCTAAACTTCCATGTGCCCAACCTACGGCAGCACAGCTCTGGAAGAGAGGAAAATCTGTGCAACTGCTAGCTAAAGTGTCCAAAATCTACGCAAGGTATAAACACTCGAAGGCAGCAATAAGAAACATAGAGGAAAAGGATATCCAGGTTAAGTCTGAGGCCTGACACAGCTGAGGCAGACATGGGATCCACACCTTCTCGGTGTTCGGCCGGCTGCACCGTTTCCCGCAAAAGCCGGCACGGCCTTGGTTGTTAAGGCATGTACGATTTGCTGCGGCCAGCCGGTGGTGGGGATCCAAATAGATGTTGATGAGCAAGCACAGTCTTTCACCGACCGGACGGGTGTTTGCATGTTGCGTGACGTACGTGATTCTGAACCAGAGATGAAGGCTTTTGCAAGTCACGCTGCCTTTGAGAGTGGATGCTGCCAATATACCGTCACTTCACATCCCAAGTCGGTCGCGGAGCTACCGATTTTTCTTCAGCCACTGGTCAGGCTTTTCACTGTGCCGGGCCCGAGAGGTCAGCTGGCTTTGCAGATTCTGGCGGGTGATGGTGACTCTGTGCTGATTCCGGTCGATGCAGAACCCTTTCCTGGCACTATCCGCAACGGGCGTGGCGAAGACATGCTCTCATCAAGCACTGAAAATCCGGAGGCAATTCCGCTATCACAGGTGAGAATTGCCCCAGAAGTGGAGGAGTGCCCGATCTTTTGCTTGGCGAACTCCGAAGTGGAGTTGGGAGGGTATGAGTGGCTCCCTTCTACAGCGCTTTGTGGCTGCAAATGCCGAGCAGAATCAGCAGCGTAATGTTTGGTGGTGCTGTTCTTTTCGAGCATGTTTTGTTTTCTTTTGTGCCGGCTTTTAGCTTGTGGTGTGGCAGCCTTGGCAAGGTTCCCAGCAGCAGGCAGCTGCACGTATGAGGAGCTTCTACGGCTGCGGGAGCCACGCACACTAGGCCCGGGAACAAGCTTCAAAAACGTGACCTGTTGTTTGACGAGCGTTGTCAATGTTGCTTGTGAAGTCATGCGCAGGACATCTTCGGCCTGTGGTGCATGTAAAAGACATTGACGACAAGACTCTGAAGCTGGCCCTGGAAGATTGTGCTACCGTCGACGACGCGGCCGTGCTGTTGGGACAACGACTTCACGTTGACCAGAGCATAAATCTAGCTTTGGCTGCCGAATCTTCTGTGCCGGAGACCTGTGTGGACAGATACGCGTGCGGAGCATCGCTTCTGAAAGGATCCGTCAAGTTGTGGGCTGGGCAGCAGCTAAAGATCATGGCACGACTGCTCATCAATGTGACCTTCGGCAACACGACGCTGGGTGCCCCTAACGTGCAGGTGGCGCTTCGGGATTCAAACGAAGCTGCGACGACCGACAGCTCGGGTGTTTGTGAGCTATTTGTCCCTGCCGGGCGTCACCACGTGCGGATTGACCACGCCATGTCAAACGAAGGCAGCGACGAAATGGAAATCGACGTCACCGAAGTAGAAACACGCGTGGAGGTTTCTGTGCCGGCCTGTTTGTTTGTCTACTTACAAGCGCCGGACTCCGAGAAAGGTGCCAATGCTCCCACCAACGTGCCTGAGCTGAGACTGTAAGGAGCTTTTCATGCCTTGTGGCCTTTGCTTCTGATGACTGGGTCCGGCGATTGTCGGACCTACAGTAGCTAAGGTGTGGCTGTGTGCTCACCAGGAACATCTTCCATTGACAGCCTGGCCGGTCGCAGGAACGGTGCTACTGTCTGATCAGTCCGGCACATTGGAAGCTCCGCTTGACGGGGAGATGCTGAGGCTCGAGGGCGGAGGGGGCAAAGGAACAGCAGAGCATAGATGTATGGGACGAGGCAGGGCCCAACAGATCGCGAGTGCAGGACCCAATTGAGGAAAACACCAAGGCCCTGAGTGCCTACGCCCCGAACGCCATGCTCTGGAAGACCACGACAATGAGTGCAGCTTCAGGGGCAAAACGAAACAAACAAAGGATCGCATATAAAAGGATGATCCAAACATGATATGAAGCCGGTGATGGGGCTGCCACGGATGCTTATGCTAATGGAGGTGCTCAGGTGAGACTGACTCGGACAGTGATGGCGGTGACATGCAGACAGCGAACTCTGTCCTCGCATTCGCATAGTCAAGAGCGAAGCCGAAGAGTAGAGACTTTTGCGGACATTTTTGTCGACCGAGATTCGACACTTCAGGTCTCGCATGTAGAACTTCCGCTCACACTCATGCGGTTCCTCATGCGAGGCCGCATTTGTCACATCCTGGCTCGAGGTCCGTTGAGCTGTCCAACGCACTCGAGGGCAAGCGCAAGCCTCTTACATTGAGCAGCTTGTCCGGCACTGGAAAACAACGATGTTGCGTAGCCTTGCTTACATGCTGCCGAGCATACTGGGATGCCCCCAGGCCTTGCCCTGGACTTGTCGGAGACCGGATATGTGTGGCGGCAGAAAGGCGAAAGCTTGCTTGGAACGCAATCTTCTTGGAAACGGCTTCTGGAGAAGCCCATGTCGGTGGGGCGGTATCTTGGCGACACCTTGTGATGGGAAGTGCTTGAGAAGGGAAGCACTGAGATCCATCCGAAGCGAGGCTGTTTCCTCCAGTCACGGTGCGTGCTCACTTCTCTCAGAAGAGCACTTGCACCATGCAAGTGGCGGCGTTCGACTGCCGAACTGCCGGAAAGCTTTGCGAGGCCTGCGATGCCTCTGCAAGTGGACCTCTGGGACTGCCGACTGCCTCCATGTCTTTCTGCCTTTGCCTTCAGGTGATGGCAAAGAGATTCCGCAAAGCCGCTAGCTCGTACTTTGCTCGGAGACTTCTGGGGGTCATTTTCTTCGAGAACATGGCCCCTTGCGATTTCGTCTGTGCTATGCCGAAGCCCAGCAGCGAGGTTGGGAGTCTTTTCTGATCAGAAGCGAATCAGTGATGACAACGAGGTGCGAAAGGTGTTGCTTGTCACCCGGTCTGCTATTGCAATGCGCACTGTTGTAACGTGAAACACTGTGTTGCGGCACGTTGTCTCCGTCCCAATACGGACATTCTTCCTCACTCTGTGCTGCTATCACCACCCCTACATAATCGAGTTGTGCAGGTGCCAGCATGGACGAGCGTTGACGTAAGGGTCCCCGGTGTACTGTCCGCTTGGACGGAGCACCTGTGCCTGCTGTGGACCGGAACTGTCGTTCTAGGTATGGGCTCTTACTCAAAGCACCGTGGTGCTGCGAGCGCCTTGTTGCCAAGACCCCAGGTCCGGCCAATTGCGGCCACCGGCCTCTTGAAAAAGCGGGGCAGCTGGTGACACCGAGGCTCGAGAGGCTTGAGCGGTGCCACAGTCTGCGCTTACTTTGACATGGAGAGCGACTGGCCGTTGACTGAGCTTTTGAGATGCTCTCTGGATTCTACGCTGGGAAGCAGCATGCATCAATGCAGGCACGGGGACGTTCAAAGACAAATGGATGCGAGCTATGTTCCAGGCATGTGTGGGTACCAAGAGGTTCGCCAATCCGGTGGCAGATGCAGCCGCTAGTTGTGAAGGATCTCCTTGGGCAGAGGGGTCCACAGGCCACAGAACCTGACAACTTGTAGACTTGGGTCGCATCACCGGTCTGTGGCACAGGTGGAGACGGAAGGTGTGAGCTGATGGTTCCTGACGAAGTCCACCGGATTGAAGTTTGTCACCCATTGCTGGGTCTGCCCCCAAGAAATCCAAGAAGCTCAGCCTAGCAGTTGCGATCTTGCGCTCGAGCTTCGTATCAGGTCGGCGAGAGATTACGGTGGACCCAAGAGGTCCGTGCTGCCGGAGAGTGGGTGTTGATCGGAACATGAATCAAACGCACCGCCTCAGGTGCAGAGGGGGAATCTGTGCTGGAGTACGCCTCAGCGCAAGTGTGCAAGCATCTTTACTTCTGCCAGCTCCGCATGTGTGCAATGCTCGCCTTCGAACTATCAGGAAGTTTTGGCAGAGCCTCGCGTGAGAGTCTACTCAATGCCACCCCCAGATCAGGCCGCGATGGCACGGACTAACTAGCCAACTAGCGTTTGGTCGCAACACAAGTGGTACGCTTTGGAGGCAGGCACGGGCATTGTACACGACACCGATGGTCAGGAAGAGGCTGTGACCTCAGTAGATCGCCCTTTTCTTGAACATGCTTGAACCACGGGAGTAAGGTCTGGCTGTCGGTAACGGAGCCGCCTCCCGAAGCCAGGGTTTGACTCCAAGGTTGCAAAGACGGTGACAGCCTTCGTTTCCGGTAGCAGTTTGAATTTCTTTGGCCCCTAGGGATCGGAGCTGCACGGCACGCTCGCGGTTGACGGCATGGATGGAGCTGTTCGACTTCCGGATGCTTCACCGGCTACGTTGCCCTGGCACAACTCCAGAATGGGAGACCAATGCCCCTTGCAGAGGCTTCGGGTTGATACCGGTGACTTGCCCGCGTGCCTTTGGGTTCTCAAGACAGTTTCCATACACGTAATGCAGTTGTCCCCCTGCATGCAACTTGACCGGAAGCGAAGGCACGTCGAAGCCTGGCCCAGTGCTGGCTTTCAGCAGGAGACCCTCCAAGGGGTCGAGCCGGTCCATGGCATGTGTGCTGGACAGCCTCGTGGCTGGCCCGGTCTGTGCTGCCTGGCTGCAGTTTACCGAAGTCTCTCGAAGCGGACAGCAGAGTAACAGCAATATATTTCGACACGCATGACTTATCTCATGCCCCATGCCATTTCTAGGAGGTCTTGCTGCTGTCTTGCGAAGGCTCCATCAACACGTCGTAATTCCTTTCCTATGAAGCGACTCGTGAAGGTCCTTCTTGAGCTTGGGTGTGCCAGACCCATATGCCTGCAATGCACGAGTCATCGATGGCCCAAAGTCTTGCACCTACTGTCAAGCCCAGCGTGTGCCACGACCAATCTCATGCCACGCCCGGTGCTTGCGATTGATTCAGGGGAGTGTTGATTGTTGGGCTCACTAGGATGCGGGGTGGAGTTGTCCATTGAATTGTCAGGTTGGCGCTTTGCTGCCAGCTGTGTTGGTGCATATGCAAGCTGTCGGGGGAAAGAAGGGCTGGCAGCAGTTGCCTGCTCCTTTAGCCGAATGTCCGACCACTCTGGAACTTCGCAAATGGTTGGGAAGCCGCTTTTCCCGTGATCTCGACGAGCCTTCGACAAATGAGCCTGACTTGTGGGATGCAGGTGTGGGATTCTTGTGCATACTGCGACAGTGCCGAGGATGTGGGACTGTACGACTTGTCGAAGACGGGTGGACTTGGGACGGTTCTTGCCGACGATACGGTGCTGACTGCAGACCTGGAGCTGGCGGCAGCGTTTCTATCCCCCCTGAAAGTGCAGGCATACCTGGCGAGTCTGCGGATAGACTGTACAACCCCTCCCTGTCCATGTTCAGGTTCTGCTGCCTGACACGCAAGAAGAGCAAGGCCTCAGTGGTGTCGCTGTGGAAGTCGACGATACGAGCTACGGGTCTACTGATGCGGAACCTTAGCGGATTATCGTAATCGGGTGTCTGTCGGAATGGCAGTCCACATGCATAAGGACGGCTACATCCAGCTGATGCTGCCTCATGGCAAGCGCTCTGCTTACTTGCGGCTCCGAGCTCAGCAAAAAAGCATGTCGACATCGCCTGTCTTGGGCTGAACCTGCCATGGAACATAAACTTGAGCACCCTTGGCAGGCATCCAAGCTTCGGAGATGGAAGAAGTCACAACTTCATGATACCCAGCCAAGATGACTGCTGCATCACATTTGCTGATGCAGGGCGCTGAGAGTGAGAAGCCGTCTCAATTCTGGAAAGATTGCTGACCTTGGCGGCACGAATTACAGCAAGGTTCGATTGTACGTCTTCGCGACAGACCCGGAGGCAGATGCGGATGACGAGGTCCGACTGGGCATACATCGAGTCAGCGTGGGTTGAACCGTGGCACGATTTGTGATACCGAATGGGAGGATGCAGGATGCCAGCCATCCTTGGTCTGGATCTGTGCATCAGCAGAGATTCTGCTCAAAGTGAGTCCGCACTTAGCCATGCTGCACGCCCGACCAATCAACACCGATTGAAAATCCTGGACACATCTCAGGAGCAGATTCCGCCTGACGCTCTAGGGATCGCTGGAAGCGTGCGATGCCTTGTCGGTGGCAAGGAAGTCGGAGGGGGCTGTTTCACTCGGATGGCTGTGATTTGTGCATGGTGAGGACATCTCCGCTTCTCTAAGTCCATCGCGGCCTACCGAATTCGTTGTACTGTGTCTCGGCCGCGGTCCGTCAAGAGTGGCAGTTTCTATTTTGTTTTGTTTTCATCCGGCGCAGAGAGACAGCATTTGTCAGCGTGCCTTCGTACTGAAAAGCCCTGTGTGCCCAGGTCCGGCGAGCAAATCTCAAGACCTCCCGCCTGCAGCGTCTCGGCTTCAGCTTTGCAATTGCAGGGATTGGCAGGGTCCTAGCTCCTGTGTTCACCCAAAAAAAGAGAGTGACATCCGTCGTGTTGTTGCTTGCCTTCTGCTTGCATCACCTCGGCGATCTCGCAGGCCTGGCAGACCTTCAAATTACAGCCTCACGCACTGGATTCGAGTGGCAGCCGAAAGAGCCATCTCCCCTGGCCGAACGGCTCGAGGAGTTCTCGCTGATCTCTGTGTAAGGAGTGAAGTTCATGTCGGACACAGGAGCTTGGTGGTTCTGAATATCTACGACTCTTGAACTGTCCAGTGGCCATGGGGTACCTGAAGCCAACTGCACTCGTGCGACTGGACTGCTGTTTGTGGGGCATGTGCAAGTTTTGGCTGACGTCAGCTGCCCTTAGCAGTAGCACAGCTTGGACATTGCGCAGGATTCTAGTACCACCATCAGCATCTCTATAGCGGATCATCCTACCGCGGAAGTGCTGCGGGACGCTTGCCCGCAGAGCCGCAGAGCTGGGTTTGTGCACGTCCGATATGCGCATTAGCCAGCTTTTAGCACTCAGATCTGCCAAGGATGTGGTCGCCGAGAAGCTAGGCATACTTTCGGCAACATCGATACAGCTGCGACTGCTACCACCTTCATCCGACGATTCTGAACGACTTCTGGATGATGGAGAGAGTATCCGACCGGGTTGGATGATTCGTGCCCATCGCATGGTGCGGCTCCACGTTTCCGTCGCGACTTTGCTCCGCTTAGAACTCGTAAAGAGGGTAATCTTTCTTCTTTTGTGGCTTTCGATCTGTTTCGCTGGACTGCATCTCCTCAGGTCACAGCTTGCTGTGGTGAGCCCTTGGAGGATGTCAGTGTGACGGCTGAGAGCATCACCTGCCGCACGGACGCCTCGGGCACCTGCCAGCTGTGCCTTGCCAAGTCTTGCGTCTGCGACGGGGTACTGAATTTTATTGCCTCAGAAACAAATCCTGCGAGTCTGACTGAAGAACACTAGCCTGAGGATGCTGCCCATTGGGGATTGCCACGTGCATTTGCAGCATGCATCGTTTGGCGAGATGAGGCAATTGCCACTAAAGGCGGCGTCAAAAAGGGAGCTACACGCTAGTGCTCTTGTAGAGCATGAGTCGACATGGGTCACCTTGCAGGTCTCGAACGTGGAGGACCGGAAGGACCGTGTCCTAGTGCTTGCTGCAGTGGACCCGCGAGGGAGTCAGCCACTCCCAAGGTGTGCTACCGCATGAAGCCGCGGCTTTTCGTTTACGCGACTGATCCCGAAGAGCAGGAGGAGGAGGCGGCTTCAGTTTGTAGTACAGAAGGACAAGCCCAGGATGAGCAAGTCCGCGCTGAAAGGAAGATCCGGATTCGGTTGAAGATGTCGGGTGCGATGCCGACGTTTGTCTGCGTATGGCTTCGTGGCATCACCGCAGACCAAGCGCAAGCCAGGCCATCGTGGGATCCCAGTTGTGTTTGGTTGGCTGCAGACGAAGGCCCAATGCTGGTACATTTATCTTTTCGCATGTCCAAAGTCCAATGCTACGTTTTTTGATCAATGTTTTTGGAGGGCAGATTCCAGAGGATGCGATTGGAATTGGCGGCAGCCAAGCCCTCGAGCATGCACAAGGGACTCGACTGCTGGATGTGTTTTCGCAGCTCTCGTTGCAGGGTCGCGTTTGTTGGCATCCAGCAAGCCCTTCTGATCTTCAACAAAGGTACCACCTGCTTGTGGCCAAGTTCGGCGATTAGGCTTCGAGCACACCTCCGTGTGAAGCCGAGATGCCGCGATTGATTGATTAGCTCGTCGTTGGCTTCGGGCACTGAGGTGCCGATCAGCTTGCAGGATTTGATCTTGGCCCGATTGGCCGCTGCCCCGACGCTTGCGCATGTTCAGGGTGCAGCAGCATGCGACTAGACAATCTGCCGAGGCTCTGAGTTTTCCGCCGCACAGTCTGTAGCTTTTCGACCCTACAAACATCTACAGAACTAACCCTTGCGATACATGCTGTCCCTGGTTTGTTACTTTCGCTTCATGCTGGGCGAGAGAGGTGTGGCAGAGCAATCTGGGTCGTCGGAAGCTCGGACTGACGAGTTGGAAGTGCAAATGTGCAGTCTTGCCACTTTCTTAGTCACCCTGCCGGTTCCCATGTTTGCAGCTGTTGCGGCTCTTTGCATGGAATTGACCAATGTAGAGCAGTTTTTATCGCAGTTTTGAGCCGCTTGTCTATGCATTCAGAATTGCTGTTGCGCGGTCTGCTGCTGTGCTTCTTGAGGTGTGCAGTGTGCATCGTTCTTGCTGGATTTCTTTCCGTGACTGACTAGCTCAGGCATGGCTAGATTGCTTGATGCAGACGGCCAGGAAGCAACCGTTGGCAAGAGCCAGGCAGGCCAAGCTTGCTGCGCCGAATGTGTTCCACTCCATGCCGACCAGGGATATTGGTTGGACAGTGACGATTTTGTGTCCACTGCGGACCTAGATGCCGAGCACCTTGGAAAGGCTTCTCAGCACACGGTGTATGCTACGTCTGCCACGTCTGCCTTTTGTGCCAACCTGTCCTGTTTCCGGACAGGTTGGATTTCCGAGAGATTGGCCCGGTGTTTATGGCTCCAGCAAGGCGCTGAAGCAATTAGTTGGCAAGAAGGGGAAGTGTGCAGGAAAGAAGGCTCCTTGGTTGCAGCGAATTCACAAAAGAGGTAGTGCGAACGTGATTTCCATATCGAACTGCAAGGTTGGAGTGGTTCCAGGCCTGCCGTGACTGAAAGCAATCTTTGCACTGGCTTTAGCAGTCCGATGCGACTTTGAAGCACACTCGGCTGGCGAAGCGCGCCAGGCCCTGATGCCTCGCAGCTGTCTATGGTCAAGGCAGGTGAATTAATGGCTGTCCTTGCGAGTGACTGCGGCCACTCGTGCTCTGTTCAACAGGGTCTGAAGTTTTACCCGCTTCAAAGCTTCTCGAACGCGGAACGTGCTGCTAAGGCCAGCTCATCTTAAATGCTATTGGCAGACTGATTCCGCGCTTGGTGCAGGCCGCTGGCATGGATGTCGTCCGCGGTTGGGCAGTGTGGCAGTCCAAGCTTCTGACATTGTCTTTCAAGGCACAAATATCTTGGCACCTGCACCGAGGTACGAGCATTTGGACAAAGGTGTCAGCGAGGCATTCGTGGCAGAGCGATTTTGGTGGAATTCTCTGCCCGTAGCTGCCTCAGGGCATGAGGCACGAGTGTGCATTGTATCCTTCTCCAGTCGGACTCCGGACTGAGGACGGCACATGGATAGACTTCACTCCGAGGCCTCCGGCCTAGTAAGCCTCGGCCGAGTCAGCTGTCTCTGGATGCGGAGGTGGGGCCCCCAGGGTATTGCGAGCCAGGCCTGACGTGCTGCCGGAGATACTACTCGCTGAAGCAGTCGACGGAGCGCCCAAGGCCTGGTATGCGACTCTGCCCGAACAAAGGGCCCCGCAGTACAACTGTCGCAGGCCACGGATGTCTTGAGCAGCCGGCAGCATTCCATCATGCTCAGTCTGCTTGCACAGCGTTTTCCAGGCAGGGTGCATGGCACATCGGCAATTTTCGGTTGTGTGCTTGTCGCGCTTCGAGGTCATGCGGTGGCATCCGAGAAACCAAAGGCAGCCTGTGCCTCGGGGTTCATGACTGATGCGTGGCCACTTGCCGAGGATGTGCCTTGCCTTTGGCATAGAATGTCTCAGGACACCAAGACCGGAGCATCAGCTGCTTCCTCGACCAAGGCTTGGTTTTGGACGTTTGCCAAGCTGGGCCAAGTCCTGTCTGCTTCCCATCGGCCCGTGCAAAAGTCCGACCCGTGCGGAGGTCACGACGAAAATTCAGCAGCCTGCCAAGGCGGTGGTCGGCCTCGGCCCGACACTTCTCCCTTTGCAGCTGTCGCATGCGGAGAGGCTTCGCCGAAGCCAGCTGGCCCAGCGCCGGCATCTCTGCAAGAGCTCGCGAGGCGGCACAAGAGACGAGAAGAGCGGAGTGCCGCCTGGTTGTAGCGCTTAAAATCAGATCCTGAGCCTCTCAGCTTGGCTCAGGCGGATCCAGTCCGGCGACCTGGAGGCTTTCAGCGTCCAACGAAAACGAACCAACAGAAAGTTCACGGAGCTCGGACCGCAAAGTGCAGGCTGTGAAGCAGATGGAAGAGAAGCTGCGCGGTGAAGACGAGCCACGCACTTGTGAGTTTTAGTTTTTTGCTGTCTACACGGGATGCTCAAGCGGCGCTGTTGTCGTGGCTCACAAATCATGCGGACGGACTTTCTCTTTCGCACCTGGATCATAGAACCGGGACTTGTGTTTGACATGTTAAAGATCTCAGCATCTCCGCGAAGTCGTTCGAGCGAAGTGAGAGCGTGAATCAGCACAAGGGCGGAAAGAGTTTTTTTCGGGATGTGTTGGCCCACTGGTGTAGACATGTGCAGAGCTTTTCGTGTCCAACGTTCGACGGCGCAGATGCACTATGCAATCCCTCGGCGAAGCATCTGAGAAGAATGTCGAGGTGAAGAGTCCTTCTGGTGCCGCGAGCATCAATCGATGTTCGTAGAATTTCGTAGATTAGGGTGCATGGTGTCTTCAGCTCCCATATTGGCACATAGTTTCTATGCTGGCTCCGTCGAGCATTCGATGTGCTTTGGTCTGCATAATATGTTCACACTGCAAATGCGCCCAGATGCTACATCCCAGTTCAGTCCGCTCTGGTATGTTTCTCACGTGTCCGTATGTCTCATGTGCTGTAGAGATCTGTAGAGCATACGAATAGGCTCTCGAGATGTGAGGTTGAAATTGCAATGATGTCAATTGCACAGTCCCCGGTCATAAGTTCCCCAGCAACAGGAAGAGAAGTGTGAAGACAAGAACGCCCACATGGTATCGTGACGGCTTCGTCTTTCGCTAGGATTCGTTTACCAAGCGCACAAGACTGGTCAACTTCAGCAGGAGTTTGTCAACCATGCTATAATCAAGAATCCGACTTGGGCTCGACAAGATGTTGCGGAGGCTGTCGCAACATTTCCGAAAGAGGTGTGGCAAAAAGTTGGTTTTAGTCTGCAGTCGTGGGTCTTCCCGGCTGGCTGTGGACCGCATGTCAGTGTAATATTTTTCCCTTATGTGGATTTGAGTCGCAGTATCAAACACCACAAACTGCAATTTGCGAGCCGTACGTCGAGTTCCTGCGTAGCAGTAGCACTGAAGGCATCACAGAGAGAATTTGTTCACAGACCCTTGCGCATCACCACAGGCTGTGCATTCAAGTTGCAAACGAAGGACTGGTGCAAGCCTTAGGCTGCTGTTCGTCGCAATTTGGCCTGAGATGTTCATGACTGAGGCCACGCCCTTGTCAAAGATGTTGTCGGACAGCAAGACACAGGCCGTCCTGGCATTCTCCGAAGTTGTTGGAAGTTCGGATCACGGTCAGGAAGCCGCCCTGAAGCTGATGCTGATGCTAACCGATGCCGGGGTTTCCCAGCCTGGCTCAGACATCGGCACTGAGGCACCGCGCCAGCAGCGGTGTGTCGTGTGTAGCCCAAACACATCATGCCAGATGATCGCTGGCGGAGCAGTGCCGAGTCTACGGGAGTTATTGTCAAGCTCAAACTCAGCGCTCCAGGCAAAGCAGCTACTAGCAATGCTGCGCAGATTTGCAAAGGGCCTATTTTCGCTGTTGCCGACAGGAGATGTCGGCAGCTGTCCTGGGCAACCTGTGTGCGCAGCTTTGTGGTTTGCTGATTTTGGTCGTAAGTTTGGGTACTCGGCGAAGCTGTGCACGTATCGTGCCCAGGTCACGAAAGCCCCGAAAATCAAGAAAAACTTGCGGAGGTGCACTTCAGCTTCGCGAATTTCGGGGTGCGTGTGTTTTCGGTACACCTGATACGGTTTCCCAGAGGTAGTGCCCTTACCATGAAGCCTCGCTTGCTGGTGACACTGGGTCTAGTTCGACCCATTACATGCACGGATGGGAAGTAGGAGTTGCAAGAAGTGAGCACCAAGCACCAGCATTATTGGCTGTTGATACTTGGCCTTGTGCAAGAAACTGACAAAGAATTTTCGAGACAGGTCGCGAGACAGAAACAGAAGGTCTCCATTCCTGACGACGCGCTCGCAGCATTGCGGTGTTGCAGTCCGCCACCGGTCCCGCCCAAGAATTAGTGCACGCGAAGGCGGTGCGTCCTTGCTCGCGTGGACTATTCACACATGGTTGCCGGAGCGCACCGTTCTGCACCTGAAAGGGGGGAAGCGAGGGAATTTGTGCCAGATGGAGTAATGTGCACTTGCTATCAATAAACCTCCCCCCCTTCCATTGATTGCAGGTCCCGGGCAGGGTAGATTGACTGTTGAGGGGGGTCGTTGTCGTAGTACAGAGGTAGTACAGTAGTACAGCAGTACTTTCAGAATAGTGCCGTAGTAGTACAGTAGTACAGCTGAAAGCGGTCGTAGTAGTTGCAGGTTCTCTCTTCTCTCTGCACACTGAAGCGGTCGTAGTAGCGCAGTTTCTCCATCTCTCTCTGCACAGCTGAAGCGGTCGTAGTAGCTGCAGTCTCTCTCTCTCTCTCTCTCTCTCTCTGCTTACAAAACGAACAACACAGAAGAAGTACCCAAAAAATTGCGGCCAGAGACTTGATGCTCGCTTGCAGGCGGGCATTTTCGGGAAGCTGGTGGACCTGCTCTCCAGTGGCGCAGCATCCCTTGTGAAGGCGGAGCTCTTGGCAGTCGATCACCGGAGAATCCGCCGAGGCGACACCGGCGCAGGAAGCGGCCTACGCCATCTGGAACCTCACAGTCGGCCACGAGAAGAACAGCGCCGGCTCCTTAAACTGACGTGGGATTCAGTCATCTGGATTCCTAACGAGCCGACGCATACCTTCCTCATTATCAGTAAAGAGGAAAGGGTCACGAAGGCTGGGCCTTGACCTGTCACATGCTCAGGATGCAATCGCCCGCATCGGCGCAGTGCCAAAGCTTGCAGAGCTTCTGAAGAACACCTCAGACATCGCACAAGAAAATGCAGCAGGCCGAGCCTGGGAAGAATCATTGCTCCTGGCCTTGCTAAGTATTGCTAGCTCTGTTGTCAGGTCGTGCGGCAGTCCCGGACATGAGGTTTAGACTTTGTAGTTGCCGCAGGTGCCTTGATGCACATCACGATGTCTACAGAAGCTCGAGCTGCTAGCGCCTTACTCACTCTCTCCCTCTCTCCCACTCTCTCTGCGCTTGAAGTACTGACGACGGAGTATTGGTGCAGGCGATTAGCAAATGCAATGCCATCCCTAAGCTCTGCGAGCTTCTTCAGCCCAGCTATGAGCCGGAGGCAGCGTCATATTCCAAGCGACATCCACAAGCCTCATGTCTGTCCGCAGGTAAGTACGCAAGCCGCTGGTGCCTTGCTGAACCTCGCAAGCGATTGCACTGAGTATGCCAAGGCCCGGGTCTCGAATGTCTCTGACCGTGTGTATCACCGGGTGTGCGACAGGAGATTGTGTCAAACGACGCAATCGGCCCGTTGATCAATTTGGTCAAGGCAGGTGGAAGTCGCTTGCGGCTGAGTTGTGTTTAAATCAAGACCGGAAGTATGTTCTATGACCCGTCGAGGATGGTCCAGACCTCGCGCGGGAGTATGCCGCCGGGGCGCTGATGAATCTCATGCGTGGGGACAGGTGTTTGCAGGTAGCTGTCAGCTTCTGCTGTAGCCCAATTCCATCCCACTTTGCGGCATGTGGTTATCAGCCCGGAAAGAGGAGATGGAGGTGGCCACTGCGGCTGCGAAGCTCAGTGCCATCCCTGTGCTTGCCGGTTTGTTGTCCCGATCCTCGGGCCACTCGGAGGAGCGAGAGCCGAGCTTGGGAAATTTCTAGAGTTCCTCTGCGATGCACCCGAAAGAGGCCCTGGGAGCTTTGGCGAACTTGGCAAGTGGAAGCGCAGATCGTCAAATCCAGATCTACAAGGCGGCATGGTAGCGAGCGACTGGAACTGGGCCTTCTCTCGGCGTTTTGATGCATGTAAGCCAGGCACAGGTGACCCGCAAAACGGTCTCACTACTCAGCGATCCTGACATTGACGTACGGCGAAGTGTGGGGGCCTCTGGCTGGTTGCAGACACAATGCTTCCGAAGTCAGTTTCCCATGCGAGGCCGCCGCCCTTCTCATGAATCTTGCCCCACATGGCAAGATCAAGGTCCCTACATCTCCTGAGCCTGCAGCGTGTCGTGCAGCACAGCATCAGGAGCGAATCGTGGAAGCTGGTGCGCTGAAGCCGTTGGCGAAGGCCTTAAAAGACGACGATGAAATCCTGAAGGACTCCGTGTGAAAAGCGGCATGGAGAGAGTGAGACTAGCTATTACTAGCTAAGTCAAGCGTCATGCCAGCGTCGCATCGTCCTTGAATCTTCCTTTCGTTGCCCTTGCAGCCTTGGCGCCTTCGAGCCAACAGGCATGTCCGCTGGGTTTTGGCTAGCAGTCCGCACATCGGCATGGCCTTCAGCTGAAGGCATGCATTCAGCCATCCTTCAGATTTGCGCAGAACACGCGAACATGGCTTGGGCTGGTAGACCTTATGCATTAGCGCGAACACCATTTTTGGAACTTTTGGCCGCCCGTATCCCAGTCCCGGGCCTTGATCTTTTGTCCTTGCTGGCTAGGAGCGTGCTGCCGGGGCGCTGGCGAATCTCTTCAACGACCACAGCGCAAACGTGCATCAGGGCTTCCAGCAGGCGCCGTCTACAAAACCACGAAGCTGCAAGCTGCAAGGCCTAGGTCCCTAGATACAGTGAAGAGGTGTCAAACGTGCATCGTGCCTGCAGTTCCGAAGTCCTGCCCCAGGCGAGTGAGATGATCCCGTCCCTCGTGGCACTGATCCAAGAAGCTGGTCTCTCCGAAGACGCCAAGCGACAGGCTGCTCATGCGCTTGCGATGCTGGCTGCCGAGGACAAGCTATTACACAGCTTGTCTTCCATTTTGCAACAGAGGCTTCTGTGACCGTGAAATTCGTAATCTTCCGATCTGCGCCAGGACGGACCATGTGATGCCGTCTGGCAGGCAAAAGCTGGTCCTCCTCTGATTTCCCTCCTCAAGGCGTGGATCTCTGCAGATTTCGGAGTTCTCCGCCTGTGTTCTGCAAGCTGTTGTTTGGGCCTTTCTGCAGGACATGATTGGAGAGGCTGCCTTGGGCATCATGTGAGGGGCCTGGCTGAAGTTCGCCTTCCCACCTGGTCCCCTCGTCCTCGGAATCTCTCCAGGAACTTGTCCTGGAGATGGCCGGAGGTGAAGGCGGAGTTGGCAAAAGCTGGAACCCTGGAGTACCTCATGGACATGCTGAGGCAGGGACTGTGTGAGCTCATGCAAGCAGGCTGACGTCCCAAAGAGCCTCATACGTCTTACTGGTAGCACCTCGTGGCAGTTTGCCTTGCATCCTTCCTTGCAAGCTGGGCACTTGGGGGCCAAGCAGGCTTGGAGATGCCATGGCCAAAGAGTGACCAACTTGTTTTCATGCTTCAAAGTCGTCTTCTGCACATGTGACATGGCAAGAGCATGTAAAAGGAGACTGCTTGGAGGTACGCAGCGGGTGCCTTGATGAACATGACAGCGGGTTCACCTGACAGCGCTGAGAAGGTGACGCCGGCGGCGTGCACCTCAGAGCGACGGCAGACTGTAGTACATGCCGGCACGACTGTATCTGGCAGGTCAAGGATTTAGCAGATCTTTTGAAGGCCGATGCCATTCAAGTCGGGATCTCAATTACAAGTTATGTCGCTGTGTTTAGCATGTCGGTGGCAACAGCTCCGACTTGCATCCAAGCGTTGCCTACGAAGGCGGCGGAGTGGGCCGCGGGTGCTTTGGCAAATATCGTCAGCCAGCGGCTCAACACATTCCTGGACAGCTTCGTAGCTGACAGCCAGGCCGTGGTTTCTTGCCACAGTTTTGCCTTGAGGATCAGGGCCTGCAGCGCAGGAAACGGCAGCTGCACAGGCTTGTTTGTCATGGCATGTACTGTTATTTTGTGGCGGCTGATGATCTTGCACTCGTAGCTAAAATTCATGGTCAGGGAGCAGCAACTTCTTTGGCAGCTTTGCTGCCCAAGGTGTGGCACTTACGCCAGAACAAGACGACTTGGCAGTCTGCAACACGGGAGAAAGTTTCATTTAACAGCGAACTCCACTTGATGGAAACATTGCTGCGCAACCGCAGGTTCATGTGCATTCAACGACAGGTCGCCGTTTGTATGGCAGTACATGTAACGGAACTTCTATATTTCATAGTCTCAAAGCATCCCATGCCATATAGCTCAAAGCAGTGGCTGAGCGAGTTGTGACAGAACCTTGTTGTAGTAAGCAGCCTGGTTGGTGAACCGGTAAGGGGAAAATCGATTTGGGTCTGAGGTAGGGCAGCAGGTCAACAAGTATCGTTGGGCACACTGTCGACGCTCCCACTCCATCTCCCCTCGCATTGTCTTATTTGTACCCCCCAGGAAGTAACATGAAGATGCATGCATGCACATACCGAGGAAGTAACATGAACATGCATGCATGCACATGCATGCGAGTGCATCTGCTGCTCGTACGTCTGCAGACATATATAGACACTGGTTATCTTGCAGCAGGCATGCACATAGCACATAGCGGCATGTGTACTTGTACATAAGTTTGTGGTTTATATCGCAAGCTGTCTCATGCTTGCCATGACTATCATGGTCCCGGCTATCTCGCATTACCTGGGTTTTGTTTCGACACACGGGTAGCACGTTATAAACACCCAATCATCTTATCAAGCCTTATGTCTCTGCTGTCAAGGTCTTCGGCATCTGCAACACACACACACACACTTGTATTTGTTAGTCTTTGTGTATGGCGTGCTTGCACCTTCGCCGAGTGCCTATGCACCTGTGTGTATGCTTGCATGTATGTGCGTGTTGTGTGTGTATGTTGTGCATCCGGAATACCGTGTGTGCTTGCCTTGTGCACCTGCAGACGAGTGCTGCTTGTCCCGTGGTGATCTGCTTATCAAAATGTGCATAGCTGAGCAATGGTCGAGAAACGCAGCGGAGTAGTGAAGGTGCGTTATGAGTGCGCACGTGTGCATCCGTGTGGGCGGGCATGTTTGTTGTTGAAAGAAAACAGATACACCTCCTCACATTTTGCTTGCGTGGGGCTCGCGTTTGCTCAACCCAACTCTTCGCCGCCCCTGTATTCCAGGTTTTCGGGAAAATGTCGAAGCATTGTTTCATGCCGAGGTCCGACCTGGGGCAGAACACTATGTAAGGAAGTTGCGTGAATCAGACTACACCGTGAACCGAGTGCTTGCAATCGCTGACCTAGGACTACACCAACTGCCAGCGTCCGCGGGCAAATGCAATGATGCAGTAAACTAGCGTCTTCCGGCACTGGTGTGTATTCTCACCCAGCTGATGTGAGATAACCTCACCGCTAGTCTAGTAGTTCTCCTGGCATGTTGAGAGTACGCGGCTTTGCATGATGTACATAGACACTCAGCAGCAGCCATGCATAGGACATGAGTCGGAATTCCATAACAATGCAGGCCAGACGCAAACATGCCATGGTGAGGTCACCGCCAACGGCATGTCACTCGTCGTTCTGGCTTTGACATCGCTTGCAGAGACGCAAGCAGCTGCAGTGCTCGGCTCGTTTGTTCGCGTAGATTCAACACGGCCTCAATTTCACAGGTCGCTCACTTTGGCATTTCAGGTGACAAGAGCACTGGGACCGAAGGAGAAAGCAAAGCTCCGTGACTTCAGGGACCCGGCTGTGTCTCTGCCTAGATGGAGGCATCTGTTGACCGCTCTTTACTTTTTGGTCATGCCGTCGGCAGGATAGCAGCAATCCGGACTTGCAAGACTACACGAAGGCAGCTCGAGAACAGATGCAAGCATGTTGTGAGATGCCGACTGGCATCGACTGGCCAGGCACTCGTGGACAAGCTTGGCCCAGGCTTTTCTATCTGAGAGGCTGCCCGACCTCGGCAATGGTGCTCCCCGAAGAGAGGATGTCACTGTGCCGTATTTGGCGCTGAAACTCAGTGTAGCTCCTAAGTGTCCTGCCGTGAGACTTTGCCATGAATTTCCATGGCATGCCGCGAAGCGAAGCTCCGCAGCACAGCTGCCGTGAAAGCGAAGCAGCGAGGACCAAGTAAGGCAGTGGCCGCAGTGGCCCGATGATCCGATGAGGATCAGCCAGAAGACCCGGACGACGCATGGCACTGCTTGGTTGCTGCGAGAAGACCGAGACTCCTACGATGTGGTCAATGCAAGCTTGGAAAGCAGCCTTCCCAGGCACGAGGGAGGCATATGCCCTGTTGCGTCCTTCAGAGTGAGCCTCTTCCTGAGTTCCTGGCGAGTGCAAGACCAAGAAAGTCTAGTCGGGTCGGCGACTCTGCTCAGGTTGTGCACGGCGAGGGTATAGTTGGCAGCCAAAGGCCGCTTGCTGCCATAAATTCGCAACCGTTCCGGGGATCTTGGACACTTCTAGCGACGTAGCGACGGCTTGCTATTTGGAATCGGGAGGATCCTTCTCCGCTGGCTGAACGGACGAATGAGATTGGAGGTTGCGAGGCGTCCCTTGACTGTACCGGTTGAAATCAAGTTCTGGCGGTGTGATGTTGCAGAGTCTATGACGCTATGATTTTCCCTTGCAGAAAGCCTGAGGTTACGGCTGCTGGCTTGCGGCTTTGCTTAACTGCTGTTGCTCTAATTGATGTTTCTACCTTCAGAACCAATCGCAAGTCAGCTCGCATTCTGCTGTCATGGTCCACTGTGCTGCCCAAGGTCCCGTCGTCCTGGGCTTTCTACTTCCACGTGTCACGGTCATTTTCTCAGCCTGCAGGTGGTCCGGTGTCCTCGGGCTTGTTTCCAGCCGAGGTCCATTTTGCGAACCGGCCGTCGATGCCATTCTCCTTGAGCACGCACCCAGAGGCCGCCTCGCGGCCTCACCTCGCGGCCTCGCCTTCGCGACCGCGTCTGATGCTCTCCTGATGGCCTGATGGCTAGCGGCTAAGCGGCTAGGCAGACGACGTGCGGGCCATCCTCGCAGAGGAGGTGGTGCTGACACTTTGAAGTGATTGCAGTGTGCATCTGCTTGCAGCAGGTGGGTGAAAACTTCGTCCTGCGAACTGTGCAGCGAAATCAGCCAATAAGCTGCCGGCACCCTGGTTATTGTGCTTGAAGTATGTGGGGTTAGTTGGCCTCAGACCTGCTGAAGGCCGTTTCCTCTCCCACTGTGACCTGCTGTGTGCAAAACCTGATGATATGGCAGCAGCACTGGCCTCCGCGAGGTGGTGGCCCCAGTGAAGCACTTGAGTGATGCAGCTGTCAAGTCATCTTCCCTAAAAAGGCAGCAGTCACGGAGAAAAGCAGTGCTAGAAGGCGTTTCGACGAGACCAAGTCGACGGCTGACCCAGAAGAACCAGGCAAGATCGCATTAGTGGCAGGAAGGCGGATTTGGATTCAACTCATCTTCAGTGCTGTGGACAGGTTCTTCGGCTACCACTCTCCCAGTTCTGGACTTGAAACCGTTCCTTGTTCGGCGAACAGAGTAGCGCACGTCTCGTGGCGGTCGAGTGTGTACACAACCTTCCCTGCCGGAACAAGTTAAACTTACTCCGGCTCAACGTAGTCATAAAGCTAATCCGATTTGTAGCGTTGGATTTTCTTGCGTCATGCTGAGCAGGCGCAGTCCCCAGTCTTGGCAGGCCAAAGTTGCTGTCACGATCCCGGTGCGAAAGCAGCCTGGGAAAGTGCTTTGTGCTAGAGCCTGCTAGAGGGTGGTAACTCGGTGTCTCCAGAGGCTGCAAGTATTTCTTACGCATTTGTGTCGGTTGCGCAGCGTTGTGGGCTTGCTGGCTGCGTAGCGGATGCATGCATTTCAGCAAGTACTCATGCCGAGAACAAATCGGGACTTTTTCACTTCGATTTCATTTTTTGGCTGAGACTTGATTCGACAACTTTGCCTTTGCCGCCTACGTGTTTGGACGACCCAGTTACTTAATCACGACCAAACCTGGGCCGGAAGTCGTTATGTCAAAAGAAGTGACCGAATCGGAAGCGACAACATGCGGAGAACTGGCGAGGTAACATCTTGCAGCATGAAGGCAAGCGCCCACATACCATTCTACACTTTGCCACTCTTGTTGAGCCTGGGCGACAAAAGATCGAATGCTGATGCTGCTGATGGCGACTTTCGATCTGGGTTGAGAGAAGCCAGGCAGTGGGTTGCATGTTTCGTTTCTTGATTCTGTTGCGCCAGAAATAGGCTTCATGGCCTGGTGGCTGACGGTCAGCATCTACGATGGCTCTCGTAAGTCTTACTCAGGGTGATGCCGACTGTCTGAGGCCAGCGCAACACTACTTCAGGCTCTTGAAGCTTCGCTGCAGCGAGCTGAGACACGTTTGCCAGTGCGAGTGTCCTGGTTGCCTTATTGTAGGTGGCGGCGCAAAGCTCGTGGCAGATTTGGGGAACGGAGGTTTCCCGTGCGCCATAGAGAGCAACAAACAGCGAATCCAACCTCGTACGCAGCTGCCAGGTTTTTGCTGAATTTCTGGAATCAGCCGGGTGCGAACAGTGCAGCTACTTGATCTCGGAGCCGACCCAGCAGGTGCAGTGTTTTGCCGGATTGTGTGGGAAGGCCGGCTTAATAGATTCCAGGCGCGATTCGAAGTGTCCAGCAACATCTTTGGATGTGCGGATATCGACGTGCTGCTTCCATCGATTCATTGGCTCTACCAGGTAGGCGATAGCCACGACATGGCTTTCTCAGATGTGTTTTCCACCTCATAGGCAGCGCGGCAGCGTAATGCTGGCATCCCTCCCGGCCTGCTCGTGGACCCGCGCTCAGACCAAAAGAAAAAACAGCAAAAGTGAATAGCAGCCCTTTCTCAAGTGTGCAAAAGAAAAGGACGGAGGAGCGAACGTCGGCAGAGTTTGGAGCTCGGCCTTTCTAGGCCTCTTTCGTCTTATCTTTTTCGCTCGCGATGTTCCCTGTGGCCGCGAACTGCGAACTCTGAGGCAACGGCCAGATGGATTGCCAGCTTCGGCGATGCCTTTGGCCGGCGAGTGTCCAGGAGATGTAAACCGAGACGTCTCTCATGTGTTGTAGGCGTTGTAGTGTTGCACATGCATGTGCATAGTGACATTTGCTCGAGGGTCGAACGTGCAGCTACGGCCCGAGAGCATCAGATTTTCTTTCACTAGGACTCCTCTTTGGTCATGGCAGCTTGCTCCGCGTCAGAAGTTCGCAGGGCAGTGGCGGTGCTGGAGGCAGTGGCAGCCTCTGCGGGCACTGATTACCATACTGCTTTCGATTTGCTGCTGGAGCGCTGCCGTCACGACCTTATGGAGTTCATGGCTTATGTCGATACGGGCGTGCATCATCGCTTGGCTGCTCTTCGTGATCTGTTGACTTCTTTGAAGTATGACCAAGCCATTCCGATCGAAACTGCACAACCGTATCGTGAACTTTTGTCTTTTCAGGATGCCGCCTCCAAGAAGACCCTTGAGATTCGCAGGTTGTGTGCGCAGTCCTCTGTGCTTGCTACGTTCTGCCCGGCTGGTGGCGCAGCTATGTATGCATGCGAGTACATGCGAGATCAGTGCCGAGCCATCGGACAGGACAGGACTGCAAAGGGGCATTGTTTCAGGACAGCACTTTTCCATAGCGGCCTCAGCGGCTGATAGCAGTCCCAATCTTGTAGGGCTACAGTAGTGCGTTTCGGCTCGAGATGGCAGCCGGTGAGCTGTGGCGAGTACTCAGAGACCGGGGCCTACAGGAACTGGCTCCTTCGCTAGTTCGCTCCGGGATCTTTCGTTTAGAGGATGTTCTGGTCAGACGCGAGGAGCTGGCGCTAGTCGGTGTTTCGCCATGGCAAGTCGAACTGCTGTGTCACTCTGCTACAGCTCGTATATCAGTGGTGCAGCCGGCACCGGCCGAGAGGCGACAAGATTTGCCTGTTTTCCTCAAGCGATCTAGGGCCGATTTTGATGCAGCTTTGAACGCAGCGCGGCCAGCCAACAGAGCCGAGGCCATTGCAAACTTGAAGCGTGACATTCTTGCCAGGAGCACCACGGGGCCAGTTTTGTCTAGGATTCAGTTTTGGCACAACGTTACCTGGGCCTGGGATTTGCCTGCTTTTCCGATCGATCGGGAGAATCTGACAGCCGTAGCTGCTAGCTTGAAGGCCGGCGGTTACAGGAGTGCTGCACAATATTTCTCAACAGCAATCAAATGGCAGGAACGCGAATTGGGTGTCACTGTGTCCAGCGAGTGCAGAGCTCTCGTGAAAGATTACACGAGGGCGATTCGCAGAGGCTTGGGGCCTGATAAGTTGAAGGACAGCTTCGCGGTCCAGGATCTAGAGGCGGCCATCCAGTCCATTGACATTGAGGCGCCGGGGCCATGGTCGCCCAATGACGAGGCATCATGGTTGGACGCTTCTGTTGTAGCATGCTGGTACATGTTGCGTGAAGTGGAACTTGCGGGGATGCGCCGGCAACACTTGTATTTACATGGGAACAAAGTGCATTTGCTTTTGCCAGTCGAGAAGACGGACACTGCAGGATCGCTGTGCTTGCGGTCGCTCGCCTGCGCTTGTCGAGTGCGGCGACAACCGTTATGTCCATACCACGCTGCCGCGAGACACATTGCAAGGCTGGAACGATTCGAGGCCGAGACGGGAATTGATGCAGGGTTTATGTTTCCAAACTTGAACGGCCAGGATCTGACCAAAGCAGAGGTCATACGTGGCTTTGGCACAGCTTTGACTCGAGCAGGTGTTCCTCTCAGCCGCCCCGACGAAATGGGCAAGCCCGTTTCTCGGTTTGGTGGACATGTCATGCGCGTCTCAGGAGCCCAATGGCTGATATACATTGGCCTTTCTGTGCCACTGGTGCAAGTGTTAGGTCGTTGGAGCTCAGCGGCCATCTGGCGTTATATCCAACAATCCCCTCTAGCACAGATCCCTGCAGTGGCATCTCAAGCTCTAGGGAGAGAGAGAAATTTCTCCGAACAACCGGACGGCCCCGCGAGACAGCTGGGCCCGGAAACCTCAGATTGGCTGTTAGTCGATGGGCGCGAGAGAGCACCCAAGAGGTCGAGAGACCCGGACAAAGAGTCGCGCGGCAGCGACTTGCGGAAAGACTTGGGCGAGCAAGCTCAACAGATCCAGCAACTTCGGTCGGAGATGAGTTTGCTGAAACAAAGTTTCGCTGAACCCTCTGTCTTTTATATCCAGTCGTTTAGGAGCGGGCGCATCCACAGACCAGCAGTGGACGAATCGGCCAACCGGCCGAAGAAGTGGAAAACTTTGTGTGGCTGGCCTTACGGCATTAGGAATCACCACAGGATCACGGCATATACCGAGGAATCCAAACTTTGTGTTCGATGTTTCGGGCTAGAGCCTCCCGAGGAGGACCATGCCAGCCAGGGGGACAGCTGTACAGGTGACAGCAGCAGCAGTAGCGACTCGTCCGACAGCTCGTCGAGCTCGTGAAGTGCAGTGCGATCTTTGGGCAGTGTTCCGGGGTTCAGGGGTCCGTCCGTGCCATCCAATTTGTGCCAGGAGTTTTGCTTGGGCGTGTTCTTCGTGTCCTACCTGGCCCAGTTCCTCAAAGAGCGCATCGAATCAGCTGGTGGCAGGACGCCGCGTAGGGACACGAGTCCTCTGAGGGCATCAGGATCGTCAGAGCAGCCAGTGAGTACCAGTCGGGTTGTAGGAGCATCGCGTGAGATAGATGTTTCGCAGATGGATTGAGCGGCGTTGACCGCAGAGAGGTCGGTTGACCCGGTGTCACCAGGACAACCGACGGTGAGAAACCGGAGGCAGCGGGCCCTCTGGTGCACTCGGCATGCATAAAAACTGTATCGCGGTGACGGGATTCAGTGCCCCTCGACAGCAGCAGTGTAGGCGACATTCCGTTCGAGTGATCAGGTGACGCCGTTAGGGCACGCAGTCCTGGATTCGGCAAGCGCAAGATACATCCACGCATGTGCATTTTTCGCTTTGTTCAAGTTTTGTGGATCGGCGGTAGAATTGGCGGTGATTGAGCATGTCATGGGAGTTTTGAGTGTGACTTTCAAGGCCGGATTGTCGTGCATCAGGAAGGGTTCGGTCTTTGCATTCGCCGTTCATGTGATTTGCCGGTCGCGGCCCATGGCTTCGGCTACAGAGTTGACCTTGAAGGAGATAGCAGATCAAGCCGGCGCAGGCACAGAGATAGTGCGATACCTGGATGAGCGAGGGCTCAAGTCCACAGGAGCGCTGTCCTTGATAGCGTCCAGCGAGGACGCTTTTGAGCAGATTGTGTGCAAACCGTTGTTTGATGGTTGGCAGCACACCCCCACTTCGAGAAAGATCGAACTGTTGCCGGAAGAACAACCCATAGCGAAGGCGATATTACTTTACATGTGGCACTTGGCCAAAGAGACTCGAGCGAAACAGGTCATCGCGGCAGCTCCAGGCGCGGTTGGAACACCAGCCTCTACACCACTAGCTTCATCATCAGCCTCAGCTTCGGATTCGAAGGTCCCAAAAACGTTGGCGGCAGGTGAATGGAACCGCCTCATCGAGCGGTACAACGCCATTACACTGGCGTCCGAACGCCGGGAATTCCCGGAGGAGGAGCTGTTGGGAGCGGAATGCGTGGTAGCCAGGGTTCTTCACGAACATGTGACAACGAAACAATACAGTCCTGTAGGGCTTGGTGAAGTGATCACAAGACGGTCCATACAGGCCAACGGCGAGGTGAATCCTCTGGCAAAGAAGGCCAGGTCAAGTAAACTGTCCGTGGAGGACGGCATATTGAAGGAGGAGTTCCATCAAGACGACGACTGGACACCCAAAGGACTGCTTAGCATAATGGACGGCTTGAATTCGATTCGTTGGCTTTTCATACTCACCGAGATCGGCCCGGAGAAGGCCGTACATCACTATTTCAATCAGCTTATCAAGAAACTCAGATCCCGCCCCAACAAGCTTGTGGCCTTTCGAGCGTATTACGAAGCAATTTCATGGCGCCTAGCTGCTTTTCTTCGTCAGGGCAAGAGCTTCAAGGAAGCATCCGAGTCGATATTGGCAGATGTGTCTTGCTTTCAGGAACACATGCTGAAGGAGGAGAAGAACTTCGAGCCGAACAAGAAACGCCCGTTCGTGGATGCAGGCTCGCAGGACTCACCATCGAAGCTGCAGCGACAGCAGACTAAGGGCAACGAGAAGGGTGACAAGGGCAAGCAGGGATCCAAAGGCAAGACGGCGAAAGGCGATGGCAAGTGGCGTCCATGGCAGGACTTTACTGGCAAGGGAGGCTGGCAACAGACCCGCACATGGCAGCGGGATGAGGACCGTCGCTAGGGACAGCGCGGGGCATCCCCGCGTGCCGAGGGGGCTGTACCCGTTAGTATTTACACATCGGCACAGCGGCGGGTGGCGCCATATCCGGAACCACCCAGGTCGTCGGATGACAGTGTTGGCAAGCAGGTGGCAAGCAACCAAGACGCTTCCAAATCCCATCAAACGTCCCGGGACGCAGGGTCGCTTCAACCGTCGGGGGAAGGCTCTACTACCACCAGCTCCAGCAGCGGATCAGCATCAGCGTCGGGATCCAAACCCGGAGCCGCCGGCCCTACTTTGGAGTTGAACCTACCGGCACTCGCATTGTCGAAGGATTGCTTCCTGCTCAGTTTCTTTGATGGCATTGGGGCCTCTGCTTATGTGTTACAGCGCATGGGAGTCCGTCTTCGTGCAGTCTTCACTTGGGAGGTGGATGAAAAGGCGAAGCTCATATCCAGGCGGCAATTCTCTGGTCTGCGCTTCGACCGGGGTGACCTTCTCAACGACGACCCCAAGAAAGTGGCCGGTATGATAATGGAGATGGACCCCGAGTCCAAGGCGGTGATCCTTATCATGGCCGGACCCCCATGTCCGGATTTTAGTCCGGTTAATCCCGACGGTCAGGGGCGAGCGGGTTCCACTGGTCGTCTCTTTACAGAATTCTGCGATTTCCTGTCTCAGTTTGAGGAGGCCGTTCCGAATCACGACCGACACATACTTGTCGAGAACGTCGTGATGAATCAGAAGTCTGATGTAGATTGGTTCACGCGCCACCTGAAAGCTGAACCCATACTACTGGATTCAGCCGAACTGGGTCTTGTGTCTCGACCACGATTGTTTTGGACGCGGATGGATTGGGCTTCGGTTCGAACCAACCCTTTCAACAACAAGTTGTTAAGGTGGGGACAGAGCCAGGGCCACAGGAAGCTTTTCATGGACGCGCCCAGAGACAACCATGAATCACTGGACATGCCAGGACTCTCGCTGCCTCGCGAGGTGATCAGCGGCGCCAGGACATTTCCTTGCATCACAACACCCGCTGGAACAGCGGAAGGCAGGCCGCCGCCTCGCAAGATGCGCGGGAAAGTGGACCCAGCAGCCAACCGTAGATGGTTAGAAGGCCACAAGCAGTATGCACCATGGTTCTATGAGGAGTCTGCCATGGTGCGATCATGCACCGATGATCTCATGTTGTTGCCAGTTGAACTGAAGGAGCAGCTTCACCATTACCCTTCAGGTATGACCCGACACGATCAGGTGGAGCCGCGCGATCGTCATCGTATGTTAGGCAACAGCTGGCATGCAGGTGTGGTGCGCTTTCTTATGTACCTGATGCTGTCGCAACTTGTGACAACGACAGCGACTGCTTCCGACGGCTTGATGCATTCAGGCTCCGGGCTTCAGGAGGCGATTGCACTTGCAAGGGCGTGCAAGCTTCCTGTGGGCAAGGGCCCAGCGCTTGGATCGACAGGCGTGATGCCTCCTCTCCCCGATGAGTGGTCCCATTGGTTCGCGAGTGTTTCTGCTGTGCACCCGCTTCTAGAAAGGCCCTCCATTTTTGAATCCATGCGTGTGACATATGCACGGCTGATCAATCTTGGTCCGAAGGTAGCCGATTTTCGGCGTTCCGTGCTTCAGGGCATCAGACAACTCGTGCAAGAGCGCAAGCAGTGCAGCGAGCAGTGGTTTGCCGGTTTGCCATCACACGTACAAGCCGCGTATAGGTCTGAAGACGGCAGCTCTTTCTTGCAAATCCCAGTGCTCATAGAGTTACTCCGAGGTTGTGGCTATGCTGATGCCGACGTGTTGATGTCGGAGTTGAGCTCGGGTTTCTCGATGCTTGGCACAATCAGACCATCAGCTGGGTGGCAACCACGTTGCGATCAGAAATATGCTCATGCTATCGGTATGCAGACCTTCAGGGATTTGAACAAATCCTATATCAATCAGCGCTTGAAGCGCGCCCGACCTGATCCCGAGTGGCAACAGCTTCTTACAGAGGTGGCAGCGGAGGTCCGTTCCGGTAAGATGGAGGGCCCTTTCGAGGCCCCCAGTTCTTGGCACCAACCTACGGTGACCGCTTCTGAAATCACTGGTTTTCCCGAGTTACTGCCTTGTCCTTCACAGGAGCCTTGTGTTGCTTGGGCATTCTCAGTGAAACAGGAGGGCAGTGACGGAAGGGCTAAAGTGCGTCGGTGCGAAGACTACCGACGGAGTTACCACAATTCCACGATCACCGCTTTCGATACCCCACCTCATGATGACGTGGGAGTGTATTTGAACATGATTCGATTTCTCGCTGCCAGGACCAGAACGATTGTCATATGGGCTCAGGACCTGGAATCTGCATATCGACAATACCCCGTTCAGGATCCATCACATTGTTTCGTGGTGGTGATGACGCCAAGTGGCGCTACTTTGTGGCGGCACCGGGTCATGCCGTTCGGAGCAACTGCTTCGGTATTCCATTTCAACAAGGTCACAGATGCACTTATTTGGCTGTCGCGCGTGTTACTTTTACTACCTGTCATTCATTACGTGGATGACATAGGCAGTGTAGACCCTGAGGAGCACGCCACTTCCAGTTTCGAGGCATTCGATGAGTTTTGTTCTCTCCTGGGTTATCGTTTGAAGTTCTCCAAGAGACAGCTGCCTTCCCACACACAGAAGATCCAAGGGGTCTGGATCATCGTGGAAAGCGACGGGGTAACAGTCAAGCCAGACGCGAACAGATTGACCAAGGTCACCCGGCTGATCGACGACGCGCTTCAGCAGGACCAGCTGGCACCCGAAACAGCGGCCAGGCTGGCTGGCAAGCTACACTTTCTTGCCACCTCTTTGTTTGGCAGGATAGGTCAGAGCCTGATACATCCGGTCCACGGCAGGGCCAGTGCTCAGGGTGAGGCCACCGAACAGCTGAACTCCGGTCTGAGGGCAGCTCTACAGTGTCTGAGGTCGTTGCTTCAGATTCCACCACCAAGGTACATTCCGTTTTCGAGTGATGCACCGGTGGGCATTGTGTACGCCGATGCCTTTTTCGAATTAGGTCAGAACCGGTGGTTCGTGGGTTCTGAACAGCTTCCGAAGCGTTGGCCATCAGACAAAGCGCACCAGATGCGGAACGGCTGGGGTTTCGTGTGCAGATGCCCCTCGGGCACCAGGGCAGGACACGGCTCAGTGCCTGAATTCTTGTTGAGCCTTTTCTGTCAGCGCAAAGCTTTTATATATTTCTTGGAAATCTTAGCCCAGGCCATAGCACTGTTGACGAATCGTTCTTTCTTACCGCCTTTCTGGATCAGTTTCGTGGATAATCAAGCTGGATTATCGGCTTTGTCCAAGGGCTACGGACGCGACGATTGCATAAACAGACTCCTTGCTTGGTTTCATCATTTGTGTGCTCGGTTGGGTTGGCAGGGACACTTCGAATGGGTTCGCAGTGCTTGCAACATCAGCGACAAAATTTCTCGGGGAGACCTTTCCCAAGCCGAGCGCTCCGGCTGGCAGATGTTGGACGGCGATTTTCGCGATCTTTGGGAGATCCTGCGACGAGTGGCCACTGATTGGCATTTTGCGGTCGGACCGGGCGTGGATGCTGCTCTCAACCTCGCTTGGCATTTTCAGCAGGCTCCGAGTGGTGGCGATTAGGCGTCAGAGCTGCTGCAATGCGGCGTTCAGGCAGCAGCAGCTCAGAAGCCTCTCGAAGCAGCAGATGCTGCGCCAACTTCAACGGCAACCGGAGTGGACGAGCGGAAAAAGTTGAGCCGCTTCAGCTCTGAACTTTCGTGAGCACCGACGGAGAATGTCGTGTTGCACATGCATGTGCATAGTGACATTTGCTCGAGGGTCGAACGTGCAGCTACGGCCCGAGAGCATCAGATTTTCTTTCACCCACCCTCCCACCGCGACGTCCAAGACGTTGTTGGCGAGAGCTTCAGGCTGTTTGCTGCTACGGCGTTCAGGCAGCAGCAGCTCAGAAGCCTCTCGAAGCAGCAGATGCTGCGCCAACTTCAACGGCAACCGGAGTGGACGAGCGGAAAAAGTTGAGCCGCTTCAGCTCTGAACTTTCGTGAGCACCGACGGAGAATGTCGACTATGGTGGCTGCGAGTGCTTCTGGCATTTCGTGAGATGCTTCTAAGCTTTCAGCGGGTCGGATGTTCAACGTGCAGCGAAACCGTTGCGCGGCTGTCAGGAACAACAGCCATGCAGCATGCGTTGTTTGTGCCGGCGCGGACGCGTCGGAGGCCGGTCACGCATGCACAGCAAAGGCTCTGCAATCATTCTCCGTGGAGGCTTCCAGGGCGGAAACACCAACGGCCACGGCCATAAGCAGCTTCGTTGTGTGAACCAGTGATCATGTGGCATTCATTCGTCGTAGTTGTGTATACAAGTACGATATTCAGAAACATTGCAGCTGTCAGAAAGTTGAGGTGGTTGTGGTAGCGGTGCCTTGGTTGCGTTTATTTTGCACTGAACAGTTTCCTCCCACCAGTCTTAGGCATGACTGATGACAGCATGTAGTAGCTTGCAGGCAACTCTGAGCATGGTCGCATAATGGTCACGACGCCTCGCTGTAATGTCGGAGGATTGTACAAGCTATGCAGGTGGAGCCATCTGCGTCAAACTTCAAGCTGCTCAGTGCTCAGCTGCAGGACTGTCTGCCGGCGCCATGCCGACAGGCTGCCATGCTAGGTCTGCAGTCATTGATGCAAACAAGTCAACAGCAACTAGCTCCGGACATCGGCCAACAAAAGGTATGTGGCACGCTGCTTGCGGCATCATGTAGAATTGGATAGCCCAGGTTGCTCCAGCATGCTGCAGAACACGGCTGGAATGCCGGAGCCTATCGAAGTGACCGTCAAGATGCAGAGTTTTCACCGGATGCCGTCATGCTTACAGGAGGAAGGTTTCCTGCCCCTCGAGGCTGAGACATACAAAGCAAGTCCGTTGAGCTCCGTTCGACGTGGAGACGGTGGCACCCATGCTTGTTGGAGGCCGCTTTAAGTGACGTGGCCGGCCATGCGCAATTGGCGGCTGCTGCCTCGATTGTCCTTTTTGTGCACCGTCAGAGTTTGGAATCCATGTGCAAGGTTAGCAAAGACTTTGCAATCGATGAGATTGCTACGTGCGCTGCCGAGCGACCCGACTTTCTCATTGTGTACTCGACGTCGGCACTTGCTGTTTGCAGAGGCTGTTATGGAAGGATGGGGATCATCGTGACAAGCAGCCCGTAGAGGCCAACCAGTATGCCCATGCTGCAAAGCCTTGCGCTGGCTCTTGCAAGCCAAGTTTCTGGCCCAGGTGATCACACTTTCGCGTGTTGCTGCATCCTCGGCATGGACCACACCTGTTCGCAGTACATGGATTGGCCTCATGAGGTAGCCGAAGCAAAGGCTGCGTTTCCAGGCTGGTATGCTGCTCCTGCACGTAAGCGAAGCAACAGACAGCAACACGGTTTTCGGAAAAAGGCCTGGGACGCGATGCTGACAAAGTTTATTTGCTCAAGCTGGACATCGAAGGGTCGGAGCCAGCAGTTCTCAGGCAAGGCTTTGCCGTACGATCTTTACAGACGCCTGCTGACACTCTGAAACTGCAGGTCCTTGGCGGCAGGGGATCCACCAGTTAAGTTTGTGAGCGCGGTGCCGAGAGATCGACAGGTGTAGCCTACTGGTGCTTTTTCAAGCAGCTTTCAGTCGTGAAGGTTTCGAATATGCGTCCAATGTCTGGAAGGATAAGCTGTCTCATGTGATCGAGGAGTGATTTGACTATGCTTGCAACGAAGTGCCGTGCCCAGCGCCCACTTCTCTGCAGGATCTGTTTCGCTCCAAGTACTTCTGCTTTTTGATCACGTCCGAGCATCTCTTCCCGGTCTCGGCTTCAGACGATCACATGTTGAATTTGTTGTGGCAGTCTCACTGCCTAAGCACAGGTTTCCGGTCCATTTTGGAGCAATGCCTTTGAAATTCCAATGTGGCGTCGCTGGCATGTCGTCGGCATATTTGTGGTGAGGAAGCAGAAGGATGGACCATGCGCCGAAGTGTGTCCCATTCCTTGTCTTGCAGCCAGGAGCAACTTTTTCTGTGGTCGAGATGGTGATCCAGATCTGGAGGACCGCCTGCCCGACTGCCCAAAAGCCAAGAAAGCTTGAAGGTTGTCCTCGCAGGTGTTGGTGCAATTGCATTCGGGAGCAGTTGGGTTGTGGCCTCGCATGCTCCAGCCTCAATGGTGCTTTGTCTTGTGCTTGGTTTCGGAATTGTAGCTCAAGGCCCGGAATGTATCTGGCGGGCTTGGCTGGTCGTGACCAGCATACATGGGGCCTGCTCGAGGCAGGACGGGCAGCTTCCACCGACACGGCATTTGCAATCGGATGTGCTGCACCCTTGCCGCGTCTCTACCAAACTCGAAACCGAAAGGCCTCACCTGAACGGAGATGGAAGAGTCCAAGAGCCCCACCCCAGCATTAGGCATCCGGGCCTGCAGCGGGATCCAAGTGCATTCCCCCTGTCACTTGTAAACCAGTGCCGTCGTGGCCATGCGCAGAGTAGAGGCTGCGCCCCGCAGATTCTCTTTTCTGGGTTTCAGTGGCTGAGCTGGCCCGTAGAGGGGACAATGAAACAAAATAGGTGAGGACGTGGTTCCGCTTTGGCTACGCTCTGCTTTGGCAGTGTTGCAGCTTGCTCTGTGCCTGTCGGGCGGTCGCTGTTAGTGGGCTTGATGCTTCAGGTTGAATCAGTTGTTGCAATTTCGGACGTCTTTGCTTCCGAGATTGTGGCCTGCGTGACTCGTGTTACAGTTGCAGGCGCAGCATGCTTGCACAGACCTGGGTGCGGCTTGTGCTGGAGTCTGCGGCTCGGAATGGAGTGATAGTGCTTCAGTGATTCGAGGAGGTAGGGACTCATGACTTTTCGCGCCAGTCCGAATTGTAGGTCACTTGTGAGCGTCCTGCCTCTGGCATCCCAGGGGAGGAGCCAGGCCTGGCATGGAAGAAAGGTCATTGGCTGGCAGTCTCTGGGCAATGCCACATGCGATGTCAGGCGGATGCTCTGTGCGCATGGGTATCGAGGGACTGAGAAGATCGCCCTTTGGCGAGGTCGCTGCCTCAAGTTCGAGGCAATGTGCACGTCGTTGAGTGTAAATGCACAGGTCACATACCTCAAAAGCCTGGCGCATGCCAATCTTTTCTTGAGGCCTAGCCGCACATAACATGTTCATGCTTGTCCTGCATGCCTGGCCAGGTACCGGCAGGCAGCCAAAGAAGCGAAGCTTGCGGAATACTAAAATCAAGCGTGTTGCCATTGCTCACATCACGAAGTGAGTGGTCAACGGAGCAGAGGCGAACATCGCGATCGGAGCGTTTGAGGTTCAGCGCTGCGAGACTGACTCGAGAGCCACGGCAGAGAAAGCATCTTCTCTGCCTGGAAAAAAAACACAATCGTTGCAACTCGCCAGCCTAAACTAACTGCAACTAACTCGCGTGTAGAATCCATGCTCGACCGGGCACATGGCAAAAAACAGCACTCGCAGCTGACCGGCTGCAAGGGGAAGGGCAGGACATGTAGCTCAGGTCAGCGATGTGGTCGTGAGTGGAGGGTGCGTTTCGGTCCGTGCAAATGATTCGGCTATTTTTGTGTGAAGCAGCAAGAACGACCGATTTGGAGCGAACATGCTTCCTCAGGAATCCTCTTCCTTGCTTGTGTGGCCTTGCATCATACTGATTCGGCGGATGCAGGCGGAGTTTTCCCAGAGCCGATGTTGCGTGTTCAGTGCTTAGCAATCGTAATTTCGCCGTGCGCGCATTTTCAGGGAGCTCGGGATCTGCTGCGGCTGCTGCCGTCTGGCAGCGTCTCACAGAGTTGGTGCAACGACCAGCCGAAACCCAGGAGGAGGACCGGTTGCACGCCCGCTTCTTTGTCCCGTGTGCTCGCTCTCGCTCGTTTTCGTGCTGTCCTCCTTGTGAAGGCCAGCTACTGGAGACGAGCTCTGACAACACTGCACTCGGAGCATCCTCACCCTGCAGCTCAGGAAGCAATGATGATCAACGATGTTTTTCTCGTTGATGTTTCGCAATGTTGTTCCGGGCCACATTTTCGTATTTCTTCTGTAGCCTCCAAATCCTCCAAGGATGCGTCTGGGGTTCTTGCCTGGTTGTACCTCTTCGGCCTGCCGTCTACAACGCAGCCGTTGGTGCAGAGAGATGTGAACGCTGCAATCAGAATTGCACGTGAGGGCGCCCATCATACGCCGCCTTGTGCCCGGTGCTATGCCCTTCTGGGGCTCCTCCTCGGTGTGGGATACCCTCCGCTTGTTGGAGCTGCACACCTGGCTCAAGATGGAGCTGGTGAGCCAAGGCTGCTTGTCCTTGGAGATGTTCTTGCACAAGAGCCTGCGACAGCAGACGCCGCACGATTGCCACGTGACATTGGCCCACCGGACCCTTCTGCAGCTGCGTACGCCCTTTCTTATGCTGGAGGCGATCCACTTGGCATGCTTGCCGTTGCATACTTGAATCGCACACGCATGATAAACTTGACCAAAATGACGGCACCTGGTCCCAATCAAGCATCTTCCCTCGTGTCGCGAATGCCAAAGACTGTGGACAAAGCCAGTTGCGACGAGACTTTGGTCAATTCTCTAGGGAACATGGCTTCCTCAACTATTGACGAGATTCAATCTGGGTCATGGGGTCCCGTCCCAGATCCGCTCTCTCAAGGAGTTTCCCAACAGAGAGCAGACAAAGGCTTCCTTGAGCACATCCTGGCAGATCCCTCGAGGTCGTCGGCACCTGATCTGGCCAAGGCCTCTAGCATGTTGGAAACCGGTGGAGTTCGATCGGAGGATCTGCCTGCAGTAGCCCGCAAAGCTGCCAATGTAAGTCAGCTGCGTTCTTTGGCAGCTTCGAAGGGTGATCGGAAGTCAGCTCTTTGGCTTGCTGTGGAGCACCTGCAGGAGAATGACACCCAGAAAGCGAAACCACTGCTTGACCTAGTCGCGACTAGAGCCACGGAGGATGCCGGCCACGACGCAGATGCTGAGATGGCCAAGTATTATTTGGCCCGGTTCGCCTCGCCCAATTCGTCTGATGTCGCAACTGCGAGGCGAGATGCTTGGCCACACCTAGTTAAGGCCGCGGATCTTGGGAGAGAGGATGCAAAATTGCTGGTTGCTCATTCGTTCGTGGATGGATCCGATGCCTTGGAAACTCCAGAAGGATCGTCGCGCAACACGGAGGCAATTCGACGCTACAAGCAACTCTTGCCAGAGGCCACCGGCAAATCTGACAAGCCCAACGTCACATTCCCGACGCCATCAGCACCAATTCACAGGAATGGCGCTTTGAATCCAGTGCAGGCATTTGCAGCCTACAATTTGGGAGTGCTGTCCCTCAAAGACTCGGAGGGCGCATCTCAGAACCGCACATCTGGATCATCTGCGTCAGAGGCGCTCTCGGAGGTTACGAGCGGTGGCATATGTTCTCCTGAAGTGTAGGATCCTTGGGCAACTGCTGACAGTTCGATGTCGGATAGGATGTGTTACGGCAGTTCATTCACGGCAAAGTGAGGCAAGGATCCTTCTTGGAAGTTGTGCTCTCCCAGTCGAGCATCGTTCGGCTGATCATAGCCTTGGCGCGGCGCTCGAATACACTTGGCGATGAAATTGGCGCCCTCCTCTTGGCCATGCTCTTAAGCAGCAAGGCTGCGCTTTGTGGCGGCTAGAGGGGTTTAGGAGTTAGAAAGAGTCCACTAAGAGCCCAGCTGCAAGACTCTCACTACCACAGCAGACCTTCAGGTGACATCGGCCATGATCTTGGTCATGCCGATGCAGCCTACTTGTGGGACAAATGGGCGGCGCAGCAGCCACCACACCTAGTACTAATCAGCGATACGACGACCCATGACGACAAGCAGGAATGACTTGGCAAATATGCTTTTCAAGCTTTTTAGGTTCTAGAGGCAGCGGCACCCCTCAGATTGTCACATCAGGCCCATCATCCTTGTAACCTTCGTGGTTGGTGGACAACGTCTTCACCGGACCTGGTTTCCAGAAATGTGAGCCTGGTGTTTGCGGCTGAGGCGACTTGCTCCAAGATCAGTGTCTGGAGCTACATTGAAGTGGCAGCAGGGGGTGCTTGTCAGAGTTGTTGCTCCTCCGATATGTGCAGGTGACAGGAGGTGGCCCAGCACTTGGTCGGATCAGTGACATGTGCATGTGACAGCACGCGTGTGGAGCAAAGCTGCAAGGAACTGAGATGTTCAACGCCAGCCTTGCTGACAGCCAATTGCTGCAAGGGCTTGAAGTGACAGAGATCGTCCAGCCGATTCCAGAAAGGACAGAGTTTCGGCATCTGTATTCCTTCCTGTGGCTCGACACGCAGTATTTCCGGCCGATGTGACATGTCTCTGGTCGCCAAGTGCAGCCATAAGCCATAAGCTCAATCGAATCAGTTCCACGAGGTGGCACACCAGCTACGATGCTTTTCCTGCTGGCGCTCCAGTGCCCGTCGCATTGCAACCTCCTGGGGCAGTGCCGCACCTCGTGGAGTTCCATCATCAACGTGGTCGCTAGCCTGCGAACAGTCGCCGCAATGATGCTCAAAGTGAGTGGCACCGATGGGCCCAGGCAAGCTCCTGATGGACAAGTCTTGCAACACCGCCGTGGTTGAAGGCATGCACGTCAACTGGACTTTTCATCGCCTTGATGCTGAGCCGGCCCCAGAGGCAGAGTTTTTGTAAGCTGCCTTCGTCCACACACGTCAGCCGTGTCAGAGCTTCACTGTCACCAGGTGGCTGTGCCAGAGGTGGAGGCCAATCGACAGGAGCCACTCTCGAATCCCGTGCTGGCTTCCCGGATGCAGCAGAGGTTCCCTCCGGCAGGAAGGTGCAGTAGTACAGATCTGCTCCTGCTGTCCTGGACTAATCACATGCAGTGGAGCTTTGTGGAAGTTGCGGATTCCACACGATTCCAAGCTAGCAAACTGGACCGTCTGCTCGCCTTCTTGATCAGGTAGGACTCTGCTTGCTTTTGCGACCCTGCTCATGCTCTCTGTACATAAGAAGCGCTACGACTGCTGCTCAAGCCTGCACCGACATTGCTAAGATGGCGGACGCCAAAGCAGAGGAGCAGCTGTCAAGGATTAAAAGTTTAAGGATGGACAAGGCCTGACGTCGAGAACAATAGATTGATCCCCCACGGTTACCATGGAGAGTTAAAGCCAACATTTGGAAATCATTGCTCTTGTACTTTTCCGACTCGGGACAAGCCCAATGTTGTCTGTTGATTTCCGTGTGAGAACTGAAGTATATGTTCTCATGGACACAGACGTCGAAGTTGTCTGGAGTCAGCAGCAGGATTTGCCATAAGACGCTTTACGAGCGCCATGCTGACTGCAGCAGCTTAAGTCGTCGTGTCAGGTTTCCGCACGCGATTTCTTACATTGCTGGGTGCGGCCCGAGTGGTACCACCGAAGCCTGCAAGCAAGACCCTCAAAGTTGCATACTTGCGATTGCCATGCTGCATTCATCTCGACACGCAGAGAGGGAGAAGACTTTGGCTGGCATCTGACAAGAGTTGCTCGTAAATGCTAGCTGCTGGCAACTTTGTTCTCCTCCAGCCACTCATGTGTGAAGCAGACCTACCAAATTCCTGCGAACATCGCTGCTGAGGCCAATGTGGCTTCTCAGAAGACACAGGCTTCGCAAGGCGCTTGGGAGGAGTTCGCATCGTTCAGATTCATCGGTTTTAGTGGCGCAGCAAAGCCAAGCTTCAGGAGCTTCTCTCCTTGACCGCAAGCGCAGACTGTCCATGCTACGGTGGATTTGGTTGCCGACGAGGTGATGGGGCCTGTGAGGATCTCGCGAGGCAGTGGGCTGGTGCTGGCGAGGACACTTGGAATAGCTTCTCTGTCCCCAAGCAAAGAAGTCTGAGGTGTAACGTATTGAAATTAGACATAGAAGGTGGCAAGCTCAAGATAAGAGGCCCCTTGGCCTCCACGGCCTTTTCGAGGAGCTTTCCTCTTGCCGTCCGGGATCCTTCCTCTGCCGCGAGGCGTGTTGCCCTGCGTCTTCGCTTTTGGAGAGAGCAGTACATATCTTGAAGCCACGAGGTGCCACCAGAATTGGAACCTGCGCGACCGATATTCGCCGCTGCACCCGACACTTGTGCCTTCTACTTCCATCGGAGGCTTGGAGACTGGGTGACTGGGGCCGATTCGCCACTGCGGCAAGAGTTGGAAGATTGGAATCATTCGCAGGGCGGCTTACGACGGCAAGGTTGACGCCATGCATGCTTCGACCTCGGAGCTTTCTGACCAGATGGGTACATACGGCTGGAGGGTAGCCTGTGAACGAGGTCCTTTCGCATGCCTACAGCAGCGGCTACCGTGGAGCCCCTAAAGATGGTGCACAGGACTGGCCCGGTTGCAGTCATTATGGGAGCTCGTATGAGCTCGTGACGTGGCTGCAGGCTTTCTACTGGAGTCAGCAGGCCATGGCAACCGGTGACCTCCGAGGGCGCTTCGATGTGGCCTATTCTCTAGAAAATGGCTTTGGCACCGAGAAAGATCCTGAGACTTGGCGGCAACCAGTCGTGTTTGACGATGGTTCACCCGTTCATCCATCTCGATCTCGCCAGGACCGCGCCTATGAGCTCTATCAGGAGATCCTGACCGCTCAGGCCGCTGAGGGATAAAATCACGGAGATTTGAGGAGATCTCCGCAAGAGTCTTCGACTGTCTTGCTGACATGAACGTCTGAGAGCCGCCACTTTCTGGGAGCCCCGAGGGCCTTGGCAAGGGCGAGGACCTCGCGGCGCGCGCTGCCTCCTTCCTGGCCTTGCTGGCTGCCTCTGGCCGCGCCTGGGCCGGTCGCAACTTGTCCACCTTCAGACTACAGAATCAGACAGATTCGGCAAAGATGCAAAGCCTGCAGAGTAAGGATTTTTCCGATCGGGCTAAGACTCCGTCGTCATGGCTTAACCCAGCCACCTGCTGAACTTGGATGCTTGCTGCCCGAAGAACATCAACAGACCGGCGAACCACGACGCTGAAGGATGACGGATGTTCATTGGATGGTGATTAGTTGGAGTGGCACCATGCCGGTTCTCGCGGATGCGGAGGAGGGCGGCAAGGAGCTGAAGGACTCGAAGCAGAGACTTCAACTACTACAGCACTCAGCCACAAGCCAGGCTGAATCTCGAAATGGTTGGCTCATGCATGCCTGCTGCAAGGACAACTGCAGAAAGCAACTGAAAGTTTTCAGTTCCTTTATGCGTGTTGGCTCAGACCAGCAGCAGTCGCCCTACATTCCGCACGCTTGCCACAAGGACATACACGAGCACTTTCACGGTTTGGTGTTGGGTCACTCGGTAGGTGCAAACAAAATGCGAAGCAATGCGGAAGAAATATCACTCCTGCCCGGCACACGGTTGTGATCTTCATCGCACGCATCCTCATTCGACGGGTGCATACTGATGCTTTGGACATTCTCAGGCTGGGCCTCGGCCTGGCTTCAGACCATCATTTGCCTTTGTGGTTTGGTCGAAGGCGGTTTCACACATAAACGGATTGCGGCGGCGTCAGACTGAAACTGCTGAAGATCCTTGTCGGACAGGATCTCCAGGCGATGCCCAGGTCGTGCTGGCTGGGAAGGGCGGAGACAGGCCGCCGCTCTTCATCTTCGATTGTGTCACAAGCTGTGTGCTCTTCTTTCTTGCTGCCTGCCGCAGGCGGCCTCAGGGTGCCTTGGCAGTGACTCGTGACATTGAGCGACGGGTGGTCCAGGCGAGGCTTGCAGGCACTTATACTTGGCCAGATGGTTCCTCGCCTCCTCCCTTCAGGCTGGAGGCAATACGGTGGGTGTCGTCGCCCCAGCAAAACTCAAGCTATCAGCGTGAGACAGCCTCCCATGTCGGCGACAGGTTCTGGTGGCCTCTCTTTCTTGGACTTCTGCCGACGATCTCGACCTGCACATGCTTTTGCCAGGCAGTGGGCAGGTGGCTCTTAGAGCTTGGAACCGACAGACTGCGATGCTCAACGGTGTCAGGTGGCCAGGAAATCAGCTACAGGCACAAGACGGCGGAAGGTGGTGAGTTGGATGTTGACATGTGACGCGTCCTCAGTTGTTCCGGATGACAATCCTGGCAGCCCTGTTGTGAGATGTTATGAGTGGCACGGATGTGAACGTAAGCCGATTTCTTGCTTGTTGCAATGTGGGCTACTCCTTGCCGATCTTGTGCCCTTCACTCAGCAATTTCGCCGCACTCTAATCAATGGGTCGAACATCGAGAAGGATCTTTTGACAGCTTCTGGGTTCGCGTGTTCGCGGGCACTCGTAGGGGGTTGCTCTGCTGTCCCTTCGCCGCAAGCGGAAGAGCCTGCCACCACTGGCACACTGTCATGCCTCATGGCAAACCTCGCCGCAAACAGGCGTGCAAGGGAAGCATGGCGGCATGCATCTCAGAGCCAACTGCAAGACTGCAGCAATCCCAGTGATCGCGCAGATGCCCTCGCAGCTCAGGCAATTGTGCTGACCGGCCAGTCGAGAATATTGTGTTCCAGGATGAACCACCTGCAGGGCAAGTCACTCAGAGAGCAACTGCAGCGGAGTGACCACCTTCTCGCAATCAGCATGATACCCCAGAAATGCGTGCGCACACACGCGATCACACGCACCCGCACACTAGGAAAGGCGTTGCGTTGGTTGCTTTCGCAGCGTCTACTTGCAGAATGATTTTGGCTGAGGCGGTGCGGTCCGCGTCTAGTTCGTGATTCGGGGTCGGTTTCAAGCATGGAAATGCCTGTGATCGATGCACAGGTTGAGTCGCTTTGAAACATGGGCATGATGCGTGCCAGCATCCAAGCACAAAGGCATCCGCATGTTAGCGAGGCGCTACAAGATCTTTGTCCAAAACTTTAACTACCACTTGAACACCCTGCCGGAGAATATGCAGGCAGAGACTGTCCGCAAGCATGAACGCATTGAACTGCCTTGGACTTTTCCACGGTGATCACACTTCATCCAGCTTTAGGAGGTTCTGTGCTGCCACCATGTTTACATTTCAATACGATTCCACAGCAAGGTTTGCTGAAGCTTTCGGATCCTGTCAGCTTCAGCTGAAAGCAGAATGTGGAGTCGTAGAAGCGTAATTGGCAGCATGTGGCAGCCAGAAAAGCCGCAGCTACAGTAAGCAGTCCAGAAATGTCCAGCGCTGTGCCTCTGGCGAGTCTGCACTTGTGTACCTTCTGTGGTCGTTCTACGCGACTTGACTGCATTTTCGTGGAATGGTTACCAAGACCACCGGTGCAGGTGGCCCGGATGCAGGACAGTCCGGCAGTTCGGGTCTTCAGTGTCTTCGAGCGATCGCAGAATTCTTTCGGCATGTGGTGCAGTAGAACGACCAGGAGGGCCGCAAGGCTTCGAAAGACGAGATGCAGCTTCGCCTAAGCCGGGGACCACCGGAGACGATGCGCCGCGTTGCTCCCGTGCGCAGCTGCCTGTAGCTCAGTGCGACTCTTGAGGCCAAGATCGACCGGTGCTCTTCGACCTGCTGCTCAAGGCAAGGCCCCCTTAAAAAAACAAAATCAAGTACCGCATAGCAAGTAGCCACATGCAGCCACTCTCGGATCGCTCTCCTTGACTTTGTGCATTTTGTGTGTCTCGCAGAGTTTGCACAGTTGTTGCAGGTAAGTCTTGTGGCCAAGCGTCCAGAGAAGCTGTGCGTGTGATTCAGGTGCACGGAAGCAAGAAGCTCTTCGAAGGTCTCTGCACGTGTGGATCTTGGCATGCTGCGGCGGTTGCATGTGGTGAGTTCAAAGTGGTGCCGACTGCGCAGGCCGGCAGGAAAAACGCACGGGAGTAGTGACGCCCGGGGCCCAGGACATGTGAATGGCAGAGACTCAGAGAGGAGAAAAACGAAGTGCTGTAGCGTAAGCATGCGTAAGCCATAGTTTGAGGGACAAACGGACAAGCGGCGTATCAGAAACACACGGAAAATCAGCCTCTTTCGGCTCGTAGTTAAGCTATCCAGTACACGAACATTCTGGACAGTTGTGATGCTGGCCAGGGACACATACGGGAACCCTGGCCAGACAGGCTCTCGAGTAATTGCAATGATGCATGTGTCGATTCCGCTTACACCCAACAGTACTTCAGATGCTTCTCAACAAGTCAACGAAGCATGGACGGCTTTGACGAATGTCGCCTTGAAAGTGGGTTCCATGAGCTCCATGCTAATGAGGTCATTGTCCTGGAATTCGACTATGATCCCAGAAAGGCATATCCGTCGGTTGATGTCGAAAACGCTGCATTTGATGTGATACCGAAGGACGAGGACGAGAGGTTCATTCCGCACTTCGAAGCAGTCGCGGCTCAAGAATGCCAGTGGCAGAGCATACTCGTTTTGGCATTGCAGTGTTGTAGTGACTGGTGTCGCCGCGTTTATTATGATAGAGTTGCTGCTCGAGGCCTAAGATACTCCGAGAAGCTTGCCCTGGCTGGCTCGGAGGCTGGTGAGCATGCAACGAAGATGCAGTGCATGCGAGTGCGTGACAGACGATGTGGCACTCCAGGCACGCGCTTTGCCGGGAAGTCCATTTCTAAGAGGGCCTGTGTCGGCAATCTTCCTCGTTGATTTCGTTGACCTTTCCTGCATGGAGATGGAAGGCCCAAACGAGAAGACTGTTCAGCCAAGAAAAGCCGATGGCAAGGTCGAGAGTTGAAGGCCTGCCTGCCGCGTGCGCGTATGTCTGATGTCGGCAGGTGAAGAAAGCCGCCGGTGGAGGCGGAGGTGCAAAGGCAAAATCAAATCGCGCTGGCAAGCGAGCAGGCCTGAAGTATGCCAGGATGCACAGCGAGGGGCTGTTAGCTCATGTCATTAAGATCGGATACTGCTGGTTTTGGATGGGATGTCGTGCTGTTCTCGGAGCCGACACGCTCCATGGCCGCTCTGGAGCCTCCATTTCGCTGCGTTGTCAGTGCTGGAAGCTCGTCAAACCCGGAGAAGTGGATCTTAGGCTGAGCAACATGCTCCGGGATCAGTGTAACACGCTGCACGCAAGCATCTCGACACGGACGAAGGGTGGGCGTCTCTGCACTTGAGACTTGCATGTTGTTGCGAAGCCCACCCCAAGCCAGGACCTTCTGAAGTCTTGACGTTAAACAGATACATGTTCGGACCGTTTCGGGAAGATACGTAGAAGTGAACAATGCGCCAACTTCGATTGTCCTTTGCTTTGCCCAATTCGCCGTGGCCGACCTGTCAACATCGAGCTGGCCACCATTTGGCTTGGGCCGGTAATATGGCAAATGCATCCCAGCCGCCGCCGTTTGAGGCTTCGGTCCCAGCTCTCAGTCCTTGCCTTCTTCAGAAATTTCCACCGATCCGTTGAGCTTTCGCAGATTCTCCCGCTACACAGTCTGCCAGCCCGCCATCCTTAGCCTACCCATTGAGAAAACGCCCAGCCCGTGTGGTCACGGCTGCTTCGCTGCGTTGGGCGAACCATCCGTACGCTGGGAAGTGTCGGGTTGTGTCGGGCGTGTGCCTTTAGAGAGACCTTCGGCAGTGTGTGTGTGGTAAAGCTGAGCTCATGGGGCGACCATGGGTGCTTAATGTCGCTGCAACTCGCTCTCTTTCAAGTCTGTACCTATTACGTTGCTACTGTCGCATCAGAGTCTGCCAGACTCCTCATGCTGCAGGTCAAGGCAGGGAAGATGCAAAGCACGCTGCGCTTCAGGCTGACCTCGCTCGAAGGAAGACAAAACGGGTTGGCATGCTTTGGTGCCGGTGTCGCATGCGCTTGGCCTGGTGGGAGGCAGTTCGGAGTTCCTCTCCAGAACTGCTCGCTGCCAAGCCGGCATCTGTGCTGTGGTCTTTGCTGTCTGATCTGAGTGCTACGTGCTCGCTCCTCAGCTGGCCGGGAGAAGGGAAAGTGTGCCAGAACTGATGCGGAGTCCGAGCTTCAGCGCAAGGCAAGGGCTGCATGGAAAAGGCGGAGCTGGTCGAGAAGCTGCAGCAAGCCCAGCAATGACGCACGAGATCCCTCTTTCTTCCATTGGCTGGTTGCTTGATCTGTGGATCGTCAGGCTTGCGACGGCCGATGTCAGGTCCGAGCTCTGAGTCCTCACCCGTCCTCTCGCCCTTGCAAAAAACTGGAAGCAAAGGCAAAAATTGCGACTTGCCGGTGTCCGCCGGGTGCCGTCCTTCGCAGGGCGTTCATTGCCGCTTTCCCAGCTCAAGCTGTAGCTCTGCTCAAAAGTCACGCTGCCATGGCCCCCAAGAAGAAGCCAGCGTCAGTCAAGGCGCGACTCTGCAGAGAATCGCTGCCGCATTGCCTGACCCGGACCACCCTGCTAGGCCAAGGCCAAGAAGGTCGTCACGAAGGCCAGCGGCCAGCGTCCTTTCATGGGCCTTTGAAGGCTGCATTAAGTGCCTTGACCTACGGCAGGCAGTGGTGAAGCGCAAGCCTGCAGCGAGCAAGGCGGCGAGCAAGAGCAAGGCCCGGAAGGCGGCCTCCGGAGCAAGGGGACAGGGCGCGCTCTGTACCGGAGGGCGAGGCTATAGGGCAAGGTTGACAGCAAAAACCCATTGTGCGGTGGTGCCATCGGTGCCAGCGGACGCGGGGGCAGGAGACTAATAAGAGACAGACGTACGTAGAAGTAGCAGCTGCGGGATCAGAAGAAGGGGAAGAAGCAGGAGCAGAAAGACAGCATGTCGCGACGGAGTAGCTGTGATTTGATGCCAGGTGGTGGCCCCAACGAAGCCAATCCGGATCGGTTTTTTGATTGGCAAGGCCATAGCTTCCGTATTTTGCATCTCATTGCCGAGAGATCGTTGCAGAGAATATACAAACAGCCTGGAGGACACAGACTTGGTGGAAGATCCGAAGTATGTTGGTGACGCCTCATTCATGGCTGACATGCCAGACAAGTACCGCGTTGACCCTGAGAGCAAGGAGCTGTCAGGGATCTTTCAAGCGAGCAATTGAAGCGGAGCGCACTTGTGTAGCACACTTTTGTAGCACACTTGTGTAGCGCACTTGCAGCCGAGGTGCAACTCACAACAAGAGTATTGTCGTGTGGGCAGTACATCTGCAAGTGGTGGGGGTCACATGTTGAGGGTGTGCAATTGGCCGGTTGAGGCGGGGTGCCGTACTCTCAACCCCTTTGGCCCCTGCATCCCCTTCCGGCTGCTAAAAGCAGCTCACGGCCCAAGACAATCCCGAAACTAATCCTTGGCGCCTTCGCGAAAGCTCTGTTGCGATGCAGGAGTATCTGAAAAATTGTGAAGCTGGTGTCAAAGGATTTGCTCATGCAGATGTGGCGATTCCTTGGTGACGCGCCTTGTGAGGTACGCGAGGTCACTTGTGCTTTTTGTTCAGCAGTGGACGGCTTAGGTACATTCACAAGAAGTACGGTGGTGACGTTAGTGTCGACATGATCTTCCCGGAGGAGATTACGCTGAAGCGATTGACTCGCAACTGCGCATAAGGTGTCGTAAGGTCTCAGATCAACTGATGTTTACTGGTAGCAAGTCACCCCGAAAGGCTCAACAGCGCACTAAAGCTTCGCGACGAAATGCATCAGCAACGAGAGTTGGTTCGTCTAATTAGCTAGAATCAGCTACCAGTTGACCTGAAGAACTGAAGCCGGCCCAAGCTGGCAACCAAGGAAATCTAACATGTGCAACTACATCATCGGGTATGATGTCATCAACTCCATTTTCGAGGGACCAAAAAGGCCTGAAGTTCTACTGCAGAAGGGCAGCCTTGGAATAGAGCTGTGCTGTTGACAGGTACAAGGAGGTAACGAAAGCATTCACCGAATGTGGCAACCTAATGCCAAGCTGGGAAGTCCAGGACAGGCCAAAGATGCGAATTTGGGAGCTAGCTGCTGGGGCGCTGTGCAGATCCTGGAGACAGTTGAGCCTGTCAAGGACTTTATCTACATCAAGTCTCGCTACATGCAGGCCTCAACATTGTGACATTCGGTGCTCGGATTGAGCTGCAAGTGGGCAAGAAGGTGCCGGTCGATGTTGCTCTCAGGCTTGCATGGATGCTGGGATACCCATGGCACCGACGATTTTCGCCAAGAAGAACAAGCGAAGCCCAGCTAAGCTGCTGGCAGAGATCAAAGCACGAGGTGGGAGAACAATGCATAGGTTGTTCACAGCAGAGATGATGCGCAGCATAAGGTTGGCAGACGTTTGTGATGAAGCAATCCATGATGGCTTTCTCTCTTGGCTTTTGCAAGCTGAAGGTCGAGGAGCATCTTTCAATTAGGGTTGGCAAGAACGGTATACGAGATTGTTGATGTCGGCCGCTTGCCTCCTTTCAAGGATTGCGAGAAGGATCCAAGCATTCTCAAGAACTATTTCCGGGACTACGCGGAATGTTTGCTTGGCAGATTGCAATGTTCCCTTCATGGTGTTTCTCTCTCTTCATCAGCCCGCTGACATGCGGTATCATGACAGGTCCTGAGTATGTCGTGCAAGAGGCCATCGAAGGCTTCACCAGGAATTGGGAGACCAGGACGATCTGCATTTGTTGGCAGTGCTCTGATTGATGGTGTAGCCCCAAAGTTATGCAGCATCATGCAGTTAGAGCGCGTACGCAGGGTCTTCTGGTTCAACGGAAAATTCCTGTATGCATCGTGGCGGGAATGAGTCCTGAGACATGTCTGCTTATTGATGGTTCGCTCCGCTGGATGGAAAGAGCTGTCTGGTAGTCAGGCAATCGCGAACAAGGCAGCAGTCTCCACTGAAGACGGCCAGGAGGTGATAATCACAGGTGCCATGGCGTTCTCATTTTGCTTTTGTAGTTTAGTTTTGAGTCGCCCCCGTGTTATCCGTCTCTGTCTGTTGGGGGCTGTGGGTGCACATGGAGGAGACGACATCCCCTCCGAATTCCTGGAGAATGCGAAGCGAATAGGCGAGCAGGCGCTCAAGATCTTGCCACAGCTGTGCACTCCCTCAGGACTGAACCTAGGTCGAGGTTCAGCTGTCCGATTTCGAAAGGTTCAGAGCAAAGAATGGCATGCATTGCTGCGCCTGGTGGAACAATCACTTCAACCAATGCGTTTGGGAGCAGTTGTCGACAGGACAGCCCATTGACATGACGCTGATCCGCACTGATGTCGGCTGTTCAGACAGCCCGTTGCATGACAAGCAGACCAACTGGGACCCCAACGGGCGGACGTTCTTCTTGAACGAGATTGAGTACGGCGGGACCACCTACTTTATCCGGCATCTCAAGGAGGCGAGCCCCGGGTGTTCGACACTTTTTAGCCCCCTCCACCGCCCACTCTACAGCAGTGCCTGCCAGGATTGGGTCCCGAAATGGGCCGAACTCTATGTCAATAAGTCGCATGAAGTCTTTGACAAGTGGCAGACTAAGAAATGCAGAGCCCTGCTTGTTCATGTTCCACGTCTCGACTTCCTGAGGATGTGTGAAGCGGCTGCTTAGCAGGCTCATCTGTGCCTTCCCCACTGGGCCAAGTTTCACAAGTACCTCGCAACCATTTGAGAAGGGCGGGGTGGGGGACCTACAAAGGCCCCATATTTTTGTCATCTGCTGGTGTTGGTGGAAATGCCGTCGATTTTGGAGAGAGCATGCAAGAGCATGACGCTCCTGCGAAGATTCCATCAATGTTGCCATGAGGGTAACCTGTGAAGGGTTGGAATCCGCTGGGTGCAGGGTGTGCATGGTAGCATCATGCTTTCGTCCTGCGAGAAATCGGATGCTTTGCTTTGCTCTTCTCAACTAGCAGCGCTCAGCAGGCCCCGTTTGCTTGACAACTACATAGTGGGAGGGGGGGGGGCAGGACGGACCAAAAATGGTGCACATGTGCCTGTGTGAGCAGGGCAGTTTCGGTTCAAGCAGCAGCTCAGTGGTTATTGTTTTCCCAAAAGAATCCTGTCGTTGCCCTCACAGAGTTGCATATGTGAGTTCCTCAGTATGTCGAAACGTGCAGAACGCATCTCGCTGCAAGCATTGCCCAGGACCGAACATGAACCAGATCTTTCGGCCATGAGCTTATTTTTTTACAGGTTTTGTTTTTGGAAAGCTGATGTTCTCAGAGTCTAAGAAAGCTGTTGGCATCCGCCGGAAGCGGTCAGCCTGCAAACGAGGAGGACTGCTTGGTGCAAAATCCAAATAAGCATCACCAGGAATCAGTAGTCTCCGAAGATGCTGCTGTGTCCATGTCAGGACATGCGGCGGCTTTTCAGTCATTTTGCCCACCAGGACCTGCCCCCTTGTTCCCATGCAATTTGCATGCTCGTTCTGACGAACTCACCGCAGGAAGATCGAGGCTGGAGACTTTCGCATGGGCCTCAGGCAATTTCCGAAGCTTCTGGGTCGTTCTCAGTTTCAAGCGCTCGTAGGCCAGCGGAGCTGGAGGAGCTTCTGCAGGCTTGGCGGTGCGGCAGGGGATCTGGCGGGCAGGGATGTGCTCGTTGAGGGTGGCAGTACATTAGGATGTCGAAGCGAAACTTCTCCACTAATAGTTTAAAAGTATATCGGTGGGAGGATCAAAAACAAGTGCACGGCAACACTTTCGTGGAACATGCCCTCCAGTTGAAGCAGCTTCCAAAGTAGTGGGCATGCAGTCGCAGTTCCTGAAGCCAAGTCGGTCAACCAAAAGCATAGCAAGCACACGACAAGTGGAATTGCAATGGGAGAGAACGGGTTACAGGACCGATGGCAAGCAAGAGCGACACATACACCCAACATGTTCGAGATGCCGAAGCCGCACCTGTCCCGACCCGACTGAGTCAGTGACCAGTCGGTTTATATGAGTTTGAGTTGCGCAAGGCAGTCGAAGCAGGACGACTTCCGGAAGGTTTCGCGAGACGACTGTTCCAGGCTTGGACTTGCACTAGATTCGTCACAGATGTTCGAGGCATTCGATTCATCGAGTTATGCCCGTCTCAGACTTATTGCGAGGCTTGGGCACCTGGACTAGATTCCTTGACAGAGGGGCGCTTCATTGCTGGGTTCCAAGTGCGCCGCATTGTGTTGTCTACACGAGCCGTTGCGAGCGGTTGCATGCTGTGGGAGGTATACTTAGCTCATAGAGAGCAGTGGTTTGAACAATGGTGGCTGGCGAAGAGTGGCGGCACGTCCGCCAGACCACCGAGTACTGTGCTCATCGCAGCAAGTCCATGTTGTATGCGCAGTTGAGCAGAGTTGGCTGAGGCCATCGATTGATGAGTGAGTTACGAAAGGAGCCGGATAGCCATCCCAGGCACACCCTGTCGTTCATTTTTCACTGGTGCAGGATGATGAAACGGTGGGCTTCGAGCAATTCCGTGAATTTTGTGGTAGCTTGGCTGAGGACTTGGGTGCTGCAGGAAACCCTTCATGGGCTTTCATGGCTGTGAAACTGGAACATGCAGGAATCGAACTACGTGCCGCCTCCCGCTTCATTCCTGCGATCAGTTTGGCAGGTGTCGCTCCGTACTTCACAGTCTGCTTTTCGGGCTTTTCGTTTGCATGTGTTGGCAGGCGTGTATTGACAATGCAAAGAAGGATTTTGGACAAACGTGTGTGGACCGGCTTCCAGATGCTGCCAACCTGCCGTTTTGATTGCTCCACTTTGCGGTGCCCGGTCTGTATTTTGGGTTTCATTGCTGCATCTTGCTGTTGTTTTGTGAGCCAGGCGTACGATGCACTTGTGGATGCTTATGCCAGCCACTGGCACCTTTGGTTGGAGGACTGGATAGCAGAGCGCGAGGCGGCTTGTGAGTGGTGCTGAAGGGTGAATTCATCGGTGTGAAGTGCGAATAAGACGCCAGGTCACGAGCACGCCGGCGAAGCAGGAGGACTCCCGCCTTTCGCACGAATTGCGTGCCGTCCACTCGAGTCTTGGACAGGACAGTGAAGAGGTAAAAGCCGCCATTACAGTCCAACGGCATTTCCGTGTGAACCCCAAACCCATCGTGCGTAAGGCCAAGGCTTCCGTCAGACTGCTCGTGCAAGGTGCCTACAAAGCTCGCAGGAAGGTTGACAAGAAAAAGTCTGAGGCCGATCCGATGTTTTCAGTCTTGTGTGTATCTGTAACGGCGGGACAGCTCTTGCAGGTATTACTCTCGGATTTGGTTCAGACCATGTCGAACAAGGCTCGCAGCTGTCTTGTCGGTGGCTCAGCGCCCCGTGAATGTCTACGAAGAAGGCGGCAGCAGCAAAGCTTTTCGAAAGATTTGACATTGGGAAGAAGGCCAGTCTAGGGGCAACATAATACATTTCACATTTTTGTTCTTGTGTGGATCTTCTGACCTTGCAGGACTTCTGGACAGCGGAGGACATGGCACGCTTCTGTGCCGAACTTTGGCAACAACAAGATAATGCGCTGCTCGTCTAGCAAGTTCCAGGTTTGTCACGGTGTGAAGGACTAGTCGGAGACATGTGTGCAGCCAGAAAAGGCCGCCTCCTCCGGCAGCGTTTGGAGCAGATGCATTGAAGAAGGCGCGAGCACTGGACATTTTTCACAGCAGCATGGATAACTTTTCTCAGCAGGTGCGGGCGCTTGCTGGAACTCGACCCAAGAAAGTGCTGGCGAAAATGAGCGAGGAGGTAAGTCCTCATGCGTTGAGACAACTGTCAAGTATTGGCGTTCGGCTGAGTGGGCAGGAGGAGGTACTTCTCACCAGAGAAGAGTTCAGACGTGGTTTGCCTGCATCTCAGCTGTTGGACTTTCCTGGAAGCAGCGGATGAGATGGCAGGCACGCCGTTGCTATGAGGTTGACGTGGAATGACAGACGTCATCGACAGCTGAAGAAGTGGGAGCGTGCTCGGTACTGTGAGGCTGTTGCGGAGCTTTGGAGAGTACTCAGAGTTTTCATCAAGCTTCAGCAGGTGTATGCATGTCCATGTTGCCGGGGCCGCTTTCGTGTGGTCGCGGTTCCCGTTCCATCTGAAGGCCATGGGATGCAAGCATGCTTCATGGGCGTGAAAATCTTCTCCCAGGCTACAGCCTCGAGATCGCAAAGGTGATAGATGAAGGAATGGCGCAAGGGGTTTGGAACTGAAGTTGCAAAGTTTGAGCTAGAATGATGGTGATCATCTGCGCCTGTCAAGGTCACTTCCCTGACCGGTGTCAAGGATCCTCCGCGCTTCCCGTCGGGGCGGCTGTTTGTTGGGCTGGGCGGAAGACGGGTTGGCCTGATGGCTGGTGCTGGAGGCTGCCGGGCCGCTTTGCCACACCTGGCAGTGCAGCAAGGAAGCTTCCACACCCGAGCGAGGCGGGCAGTGGCAGGTTGCCAGCACCAGCCCCAACTCTGCTGGTTTTCCAGGTGGCGTTCCTCCACAGCGAAGTCTCCAAGGCGATCGCAGCGGGCGCTGCCTTGTGTGAGCGGTGCTTAGACTCCGAGACGAGAAGCGGCGAGAGCGGCGGAGCGGCGGAGCGGCGGAGCAGCGGAGCGGGGCATGTGCTGAGGTTTTGCCACCGGGCTGCGCGCGGCCGGCCTTGGCAGGGCGGACGCCCTTGCGGTTTTTGAGCCTCTCGCAGCTTTTCCTCAATTGATCTTAAGCCGAGGCGGCTTCTACTCGAAGCAGCAGTTGCTGGAGCCAGCCGTGGAGCGCCGGTGGGGGGGGGGGGGGGTGCGTCCCCGCTGCCCCGCCTGCTTTGGAATGCTTCACTGAAAGGTGCGAGTGAAACTCTCCGCAGGTCCTGCTGCTTGCTCAAGACGGCGAGATGGATGCGGTTCAGCTGGGTGCCCACAGCTTGCCTTACTGTGCTCGACACGGTGAGAGCATGCAGGCTCTGGATCCAATCCGCATCTCCTGGCTATCCTGTGACAAGGTTCTCACCGCAAGAGCCAGCCACCCAACTCGAAGAAATGAGTCTCCTGCTTTCATGTCCAGCCTTTGGAGGCCAAGCCGCTGGCAGGAATCGATTCGCAAGGCTCGTCGAGTGTCCATGGAGTCTGTGCTCGTGTGTCTGTGTGTGTCTTTTTGCTTTACAGGTATATAGCTTGTTGCTGTTGCCTGCCGGATTTCGTTCTCACGTGGTCATACGATTGCAACGAGCAGGCTAATCTAACATGTTTCCATAGTGGTGGATGGACCGGACGTTTCATTTTATGCCTTGATCGCTGGGAGAGGATTTGAGGGTGAAGCCGTTTACCATCCAACCCTGGTTGCCTGCGGTTTCCACGCTCTGGCCATGCATTGAAATATGCACAGCGACAGAACGACGTCCCTGTTTGTTTGTGATGGCAAGCCGATGTTGGGACAGTGGAACCACGAAATCTACCTTCGGTTGTCATCAGTTGTGATGGTATTCTTTTCGATGTCCAAGGGTAATATCCTTCAGAGGGACGTTGCATGGTTCTGCGAGAGTGTGCAAGGGACATGATGCAAAAGAGCAGAGCATCCTATAGACTGTTGAGAGAGACATCGTTGCATTCTCAAACCAGACCAGATGTGATGAACCAGCATCAGACTGTTCCGGTCCTGGCAGCATGTGAGAACATTCCATTCTCTGCGGCAGGTTTCTGGGAAAGAGATACCTCGGCTGCTGATGGAGCGGTCCTGAGGGCATCCATCGCTTGTGGGGAGATCGCCACAAAGTCTCTTCAAGGCCACTCCTCAGCTGTTCCAGGGCCTGGTCTTGGTTGGGGCCTTGGGTATGTGTAGAGGTTCTTGATCCCGAGTGCTTCCCTTGCATTGAGGAGAAAAAGGCCTCGGCCAAAGATGTGGACTTCGTTCTCATGAGCTGCTCCCAGGATGAGGCGAATCGTAAGCAGACGGGGTTTGCCTGCAGGAAGAGGTTGCGCGTCGCATCTTCGCAGGTCCCTTTGCTGAAGGAGTGCGAACTGGAGGAAGCTCCTTTCACCATCGAAAGCCCCAGGCCAGTTCCGATGGGTTGATGGGCGGCTTCGGGGGGTGGTGTGCAGTGGGGCCGCGGAGGCCGCGGCTGGTTTGTCTCCTGGACTCCACGAGCCAGACCCACGAGGCAAAAAACACCAGTGGCCCTTGCTCCGCCTTGTGGTCCTCACTTTGGGTCCTCTCTTTGGTCTTGCGAGAGGCTTTGCTGCAACACCTGGAAGCTCTTGAGGAGGAGGGCATCGCTTCTGACTTTTGCAAAGTTGAGAAACGATCCTTCCTTGCACATCCAGGCGAAGGGGCACATGTCCTCAGCCTTGAAGCATTTAGAGGCAGAGCTTTGTTTCAAAAGAATGCCCAGTCAGAACACCAGAGTGAGCCGGTCGGTGGAAGGTGGCGCGGTCTCTGCACGGCCAACCTGGTGGCTTCGCACAGGCGTCCAGAGCTTCGCCCGTTTAAGTGTTGAAGAATGAAATCACTACCCGGGGATGGGGAACGAGAATCACGGGGATGCTGCAGCATTTTCTAGGCGCGGGTTGTCCCTCAAACCGGGAGTGCTCACCCAGGAACTGTTCTGCTGCGAGCGCTCTCGAGAAGCACAAGAGTCGATCACCACCCTACAATCCGAGAATCCAAACCGCTGGCCACGGGTTGCCAGCCCCGATTCAACACTGATGTTTGCCAGACTGTCAGCTGAAGAAGCTTTGAGGAGCTGTGCAGTGATTTGTTTCAGGAGCTGATGTCGAGGGTCTATCGGCAAGCATGGCAACGATTTAGAGCCAGATCTTCGACTGATGCAACAATGTGCCGTCATTTCGAAGAAGTCCGTGGTTTTCAGCCAGCTCTTGCATTACATCGTATCATCAACGAACGAGACATGACAAAACCAAGACAAAAAGCTAGCCTCATGGTGGTGGGCCTTCAGTAATTCAAGACATCGGGCTTGTGGCATGCGAATCCTGGATTTCTGGGCATAGAAGTCAGGGGCTCGCTCATTGAAAAAACTAGCATGCGGGCAGCCAGGCAACAGCAGTTGTGTTCCAGGGCTGTCCCAGAAATACCCGGAACTTGCACGTCGGCTTGATTGCTGGGAGGCCAGCCTGGAAGACTTCAGCGCTGAGCACAGATGATGGAGCGTCATGCCACTGGAGGACTCAGACTTTAGTGAGATCGCTTACCGAGGCCGACGTGTTGCACGCTTTCCAGTTGCAGCCCGGCCAACAGAGGTCGACCCGGAAGACGTGCCAGAGGCACGTAGACTTTGGTTGGTGACTCTTCTCACAAGCTGCCTGGCCGAGTGAAGGCGCTCCCTTTGGGCTTCACAGGGTCTGGTCCTGAGTGCGAGATCGGGCCATGATCAGCTGGTCACAACGACATGGGAGTTGAAGGCCTTTGCAGAAGCTGAAGCGACGGCCAGTCGTGCCAGCCTTCCAGGACGTGTGCCACATACAACAAGCTTTGCAAACAGTGATCTACTGAATCTAGTACAGCCTGTTTCGAGCACCAGGATGACCTCTCGAGTGAGAGCGAGACTCCGTCTTCATCTATTTCCCCATCTAAGGACCTCTTCTGCTCTCCGGTGTTTTGTAACCACCCAACCTATTTGCAGCACATTTTGCACCGACAGGCTGCTACGGGCAAACCTCCAGATCCAGGCTTGAAAGTGCATCCGGAGTCACAGCCTTCCCCACGCATGATGTTGGCAAGCATCATGGCCTGGACCGTCAAGCTCTTTGTGCAGGAACAGCAGGACCGCTGGCGCCTGCACCGTCGACTGCACCAAAAGTTGGCATCTTAGCACAAAGCAGCTTGGCGCGGGAACGGTCAGGTTTGATGTGGTAGCGCCCGTCGCAGCTTCATTCTGTGCATGCAGGAATGAAGGGAACAAAATATTGGTCGTGTTCTGCATCAGGCGAAGGCAACTCCACAAAGCTTCTTCTAGCAGCCTGGCTGCGAGCAGGGCAACGCAATCGTCTCCTTCATGCGCGAGGCAAAGCGAGTGTTCACGTTGCCCAAAGAAGCTGCATGTGGCTTCGGCGTGGGAGCAGAAACAAGTTGTTGTTGTGGTCGTCGTCATAACAGCAGTAGCAAGAGCAGAAGCAGTGGTGGTTGTACTGGATTAGCAGCAGCTCAGCTTATCGAGGGGTTGATCTGGATCGTGTTTCTTCACCGGCCACCCTTTCCCACTACCGTTTCCCTCTTCTCTCAACCCTGCACTTACGACCAAATGCCATCGGGATTTGAGCATCCAGCCCGGCAGAGGATCCCATGTGTTCACGACGGCCGATGTAGCAAAAACGTTCTATGTAACAGATTCACAAACTCGTTGTGCATCCCGGAGTGGTGCGTCGCCTGGATCAGCCTTGGGCAGGTTAATTGACAGCTCAAGTTCTGTCAGCAGCACTTGCAGATCATCAGCACCTGCACTGGCCAAGGCTGTTCCATGCTGAGCTGCTTCTTGTCTTGGCGTGTCACGCTGCTCTGGATGATTGGCCGCAGCCAGGATGTCCATGAACAAATTGCTGTTCCATCTCATTGTCATCCAGGCCCTTCGCTTTGAGCCTCCATCAACACGACATCACCAGCACCGTCATTGTCTGAATGCAGGGTTTCGGGTGCAAGGTGGTAAGGTTCAGGGCTTGAAGGCATGCGATTTTTGCACAAATCGCGGCTCGATTCCCCAAGGCTCGTCACCCAAATTTACTTTTGACAGGTTGGATGACAGCTCAAGCTGTGCCAGCAGCACTTGCGGATCATCAGCACTTGCTCTTACCTGCAGCCACGCACTCAGTTTTTGATTGGGCTGCGGTGTCACGCCGCCCTGGATGAATTGGCGCATGCTGTACACATTATCCGACAGGCCAGGAAGCACCTGCTGTTCCATCTCATGGTCTTCAAGGCCCCTTTTTCCGAGCCTGAATGCGCTTTGGGCTGAGTCCTCATTCAGGTTTTCGCGCAAAGCAAATCCCTTTTTGAACGTTTCCTTTGAGAATTGATGTCAACAGCGGCAGAGGGGCTCAAACTCACAGCCTTCCCTGGCACCTCCGTTTCCTTGTGGGGGCCATAGTGCAGGAGCGGATGTGCAGCATTTGTATGTATTTCATCTGTCCATAACTGCATGTGTGTGTGTGTGTACATACATACGTACATACCAACATACCAACATACCAACATACCTACATGCCTGCATACATACATACGACATACGTGCATGCAAATATGTCTATATATATATATGCACATGCACAGACCTGTCTTTTCTGGCATGCTTTCTCTTTGGCAGTCTCTATATTTGGGTCGTCTGGGACATCAGCAAGTTAGCCGAAGGGTGCGAAACAGGCAATCAGGGTTCTGACTACTTTGCTTGTGTCACCAAGGTTGGTGCACCATGGCTGAGGAGGAGGGACAGGAAGTTATCTTCACCGAGAACACTGCGCAAGATTCTGAACTTGGTCGCATGTTGGCCGTGTCGTTGAACAATGCCAGTGCCAAGGCCCGATCGTGAGATCTGGGATGAGAAGGCACGACCTCCGTGGTTCTCGTGATCTTGCGCGGAGTGCGTGCGACAGTAACACAGGGCGGCCTCATCAAGAAGGGTGCTGCCGAGATTGCTGAGAGAGATCAGGACCATGTGCCAGAGGCTGGCAGGGGTCTCACACCCAGGCGCAGGGGCTGCCGTCCAATTTCAACCTTCACTAAAGGTCAAGGTGCTGACTACCTTGGGCATGTTTGCCGTGCCGGTCACTGCGGAGACTACGATAGGCGAAATCCGGCAGAAGGTACAGGCGCGCGCACAGCCAACCATGAAGTCGCTGTTTGTTGCTTGCAGGGGAAGCAGGGTAGGGATCAGCTGTCCAGGAGTGGAAGCCAGAGTACTCCCTCGAGCAGAAATCCTGACATGTTGGCAGTTCAGTCATGTCTGAAGCAGAAGCGGCGAAGCGTCAGCTCCAGCGATGGCAGGATCGAGCTCGTGTGCAAAGACAAAGACGCATGGGGTCCTCTCTTCAACAAAACTTCCCGACCACGCGATGATGATGAGACCGTGCACTGCCCAGATGTCCTTCTCCTAGAGATGATCTCTAGCTGTAGCAGGAAGGCCACTGCGTTATCCAGCGACATGCACAGGTGGAATCCTTGTGGAGTGACTGGGACATTCCGCGCCGCATGATGCAGGCGGGTTTTTGCCAGCACAGGCCAGCCTGATCTTCAGCCCCTGTGCCCGGCAGAGGTAGCTCTTTGGATCAAGGAAAAGAATGAGGAGACCGGTGAGTCACGCCCTCAGCCAGCCAAGACCAGGTCGACCCCTTGCACTGAATTCGGAAGACGTCAGGTGGGAGTCCACTTTTTGGAAGATGCTCGAAGAATCCAAGTGCGATGCAGCGGCCTCGGTTAGCACGTTGTTGGCTGCCCGGCATCTTGGAAGCCTGTCGCTGCTGCAAGTCGCGGAAATGCACACTGAGATTTAGGACAAGCACTTGCAAGCACATTAACTTTAAGAAAAGATTTGTTGAGCTGTACCAGCTGCTCTTTGATTCATCCTGTAGCATGGTCCGACAGTGACTTCGGTTGCAAACCTGGACCTATCATGAACTCCTTTGCTGATGGCGAAGCTAGTCTTTGCCTGCTGCCTGGCGTGTTGCGCCGCGGGCCAGGACTAAGCTGTAGCACAGCTAGGGTTTTCGCTTCTCAAAACCAGACCAGAGTGCCACACGCTTCGAAAAACCGTTTGCATGTGCAGGAGCCCTGGATCCTGCAGCAGCTGCGCTCATGGACCTTGGAGGCCGTGTGCTTTGCTGTCGTGATACCGTTGGATGGTCAACCTGGTCGGAATCACTTCGAACTGTATTGAAGACTCAAATCACATATAGTGCTTTGCACAGAGATGTCTCGTCATCAGGGTCGGTGGCGATCAGTCCGTGATTGGACTGAGGATATGGATTGTGGAAGCATTCGGAGCTCGGTTGTCGACTGGGTTCGGCTTCAGCAATCAGCAGCAGATTTCAATCGTGCCTGGGCGATGAATGCGCCTCCGCAACTCGGCAGCAACTTGCCTGTGCGCGAAGACTTGGGCTCTTTGAATGTAGGCAAATCTTATCGAGTTACCATGAGTTTCCGACAGTAAGCACACAATTCATGTCGCACCTGTGCACAATTCTTATTTAGACTCACGAACCAGATAATGACATCAGTCCGAGCATGTCCGAGCAATTTGTTATGAATGTTGTCTCATCCCCATAATCTTCCCGGTCAAGTTCCTGTTGTGACCGCTTTGAGAATGTGCTCAGATCGCAAAACTGCCAGCTGGATGTATGCATCCCTGACAAATTGTGCCAGGAGCGTCCTGGGAACTGACATTCGAAGACACGACCGTGAAGTAGCCAGAATTGACAAAGAAGGAGCACGACAGCAGACAACAGCAACTGCGGGAATATGCAGGAATGCACACAGATGATCGGAACAATCGAAGGTGGCCTGCGGTTGAGCAGACAATCAGACTCTGCATGGAGAACGTCATGGAACCAATCAAATTGCTTCAGTTTGTGAGCTGTGGCATTTGGTACAGGAGCATCTTTTCTAGGGTGGGGATGAGCTGCCAGGGTGATTTATGTATAGGCTGCCTTGGATCGAACCACCCTGATTCACGAATCTCCGGCAGCCAATGCAATCCAAGGCCGCGAGAACGCTGTCCCCGACGAACTCTTCGACCTGCGGCATTGAGCTACAGGTGTGCCTGCTCGTGTCCCACAGCCACATCCGTTGTGGGGAAGTATGTGACTGCAGCATGCAACATGCTTTTCCAGAGAGGCAGCATCAGCCGAAGCCGCACTGGGCAGGGGAGGCCAACCCGACTGTCGCGAGGGCTTAGCGGTCTGTGATATGCTAATTCCTAGTTGGAGGTGGGACGTGTGCTGCAGCTACCAGACGTGGCTTCAGAAGAGTGCCCCCTGGGCTCCCTCACTGCCGCGATACTTGCGAGAGCCTCAATTGCTGAGCTAGGAGGTGGCGAAAGCTTGGATGCCCGGAGTTGCTGTTACTGATTGATTTAAGGCACTTGTTTGCAGCTCTGACTGTGGCACAGCGAGCACAAGAGAAGCGGAACTAGTAGAGATGTTCTGGAGGCGGGCTTTACAGGCCTGGGATACTCCTTGAATCGCAGATAGTAGCCGCAGTCATGGTGAACTCGGCGAGTGTTAGTCGTTGTGATTGCCCTTCTGGACGTAGGCAGTGTGCTACTGGTAGCATGCGGCTCTCTGAAGGCAAGCCAGTTGAATGGCTTTGGCGAGGCCCGCATGTCGCGCATCTGCGCGAGAGTGTTCGTGCGCTTGTCGAGCGGCAGTCAAGGCGGTCCGGGCAAAGCTTGCTTGAAGGGGGAGTGAAACTGAATGCAGGTGCCAAGCAGTGAGGGCGCTCCATGGCTGCTTGGGACATCCGCTTGGCCCGTGGCCGGCCTGCTGCTTGCTCTGAAGTCCAAGTGAGCACTCAGCCGATCAGTGGAAGTGTGTTCCTCGGTTCTCGGTTGCGTGGCGTCTCTCCTTGGCATCTACATGTAGGCGGGTTCTGGATTTCGGGCAGGGAACAAGCCGTGTACATTGTGCGCCCAGCACATCAGACGGCGTCCAGGTTGGCGAAATGGTCTGCAAACTGCACCCGACGAAGCAGCTTGCGCCAGCATGTCCTGGGCTCTGGAATCGGAATGCAGCAAATCTGAGATGCAATTATCGCCCGGAGAGCACTTCAGGTGCTTGCTAGTGGGCGCTGTGCTTCTGCAAGTCTCAACGAATTCATCGCCGAACTCCATGTTGCAGCTGCCTGGGACTGGGATTTCCGAACATAGAGGTCGGGTTCGCCAAGAGTTGCGAAGCTGCGAGTGGGGTAAGGAGCGTACCTTGGCAGTCTTGCTGCCGGGATCCGGCTCGGCTGCGTTGATCTTCGACAGTCGACTGGACTTCTATGCCATGGCGGCACTTCCAGCTTTGCGCCGTTTGCTCGAGGCTGCGTGCTGTGTTGCAGTGTGACTCTCACATTGCAGAGTCGGGCGTCGTGTCTTCGGAGGCTTTACCGCAACTGCGCTCTTCCAGACAAGAAGCTTGGATAGGGCAGCAGGATCCATGCACGACAGAAGTGGCCACCAAAGAAGTGCTGCTCCTGTTTTTGAGGCCAGCCGACCTTGGAATTCATTGTGTCCGGATCGCTTGAAATCGAAATGCGTGAACTTCCCCGGAAGGCTCTTGGGGCCGACTGTTCATCCGGGGACGGACCCTCTTCACCCAGCTAGAACGGCAAGCCTGGCAAAGATCCTGGCGGCCGTGGGGCTGCAGAGGCCAAGCACATAGGAGGATAATTTGCCTGGACGCAGTCGCATGACGGTGCCTCGAGGCTACTTGAGAAGGGCTGGCCGCTGCTGGCCATGCTTGCGGCATCGGGATTGACAACGTGGCGCTCTCACGGGCTTTATCCATCGGCTCAGGCAGGACTCAATTTGAGGTGCGGAGACCCCCTCTGAAGCAAGATCGGTCAGTTCGCCAGGTGAAGGTGTCAGACGTGGCAGCTGTGGTTTCAAGTGCTGCTACGCAGGATCCTGGTGCCTGGACTGACTTAACGCTCAGAGGATTCTGTAGTCAAAATACGTGAGGGACGTCGGGTAGTATCTGTCAGTGGAGGTGCAACGGATGTCTTGGAGGCCATCAGATTCACGCTTGTCTGGCTTGCCAGTGACTGCTAGTTAGAGGCACGGTCCTGGAAGGCTATCGCGACGCAATCAAGTCTTCAAAGAAACCTTTGGCAAAAGACATCGCCCCATCCTCAAGGACTTCTGTGCCATATTGCGAAGCCACGGATGTAACGGTAATGTGCACGACAAGCACTGCAGAGGTCGTCTGAAGCGCTTGCCCCGGATACAGCAAAGGGCATGTGACGACATTCGTGTACATGCATCACATGTTTGGCTTGCACATTTGGGCCCAGGTCAGTCCAATTTTGCGGCAGATGGCAAATTGGCTTCTGGAGGCACCGGAAAATGTCCCACAGGCTACTCGGAAGATTCAATTAAGCAGTCAGTGCCGTCGAGACTCAACAGAACTTGTGAATGAGTTGGTGCTTGCCAGGTTGTTTTCATGACCATGTTTTTCGGAGATCTCGGAAACTCGACCTGGGTGGCACGCTTCCTCGATCGGGCTTTGGTCGTCGGTCTGCCCCGCCTTATCTTCGTGAGTCCAGACCAAGAATACCTGGATGACTGCTGCTTGGCTGCCGGTGCCAAATGCACAGCATGCGCTTCAACGAGCATGGCGGGATATGGCGGCGCAAGAGAACGGTAAGGTGCAGATGTGGCACAAGTCTGGAAGGACAGAGGTGACGCATACAGCAGGCTTCTTTGTTTCCGCAGTCTCTCCACCGTCGTGCGACCCTACGACATCAACAACTATGCTGCTTGGTAACGGCGTAAGGGCGTGGTTGAAAGCAGCGAAGTTGTGGTATAGACAAAAGGTATCAAAGGCTGAACATGTGTATCCACGCGATCTATGCATTGATTTGAAGCAGCCCTAGGCAAAGTTCGTGTTGCTGCCTCTGTTGCTGGCGCTGGGCATGAGCTACGCTTGGTTCCTTAGCATATTTGCACGGGATACCAGTACTTCTGCCATGCGATAGGGCCAGACTTGTGCGGACTTGTCGGAGGTTGGACGTAGATATCTTCGTGGCTCAGAATCCCACGCAGCGGCTGGTTGACTTGGGACAAGAGGCAGATGTCCTGACAACTGATCATTTCGACGAGATCCTTGTCTGATGAACATAATTAATATGAAGATCCGTTAAAATATATTAGAACGATTTGGAATTGCAAGGCAAGTATTTCAGGCAAACTCTCGAGGATAAGCGGTGTGTCAGTCAGGACCTGCTTGAACCACGGTGTCATCTATGTCAAGGCCGGACTGCAATCCACATTGAATCCTTCTGAGAAGCGTGCGCTAGAGGCAGAATCTCGCTGCAACCTCCCCCAGAAGACCCTGATGACCCACGCGGTCTAAACCCAAGATCCCGAAGCAAGCTACGCACAGCTTTCGAGGGGCCAAACTGCCGCCCGTGGAACGGAAAAGCAAGTGACCAGGGCGACAGCTACTTCATGCAGCACGGGCGCGCAGCGCCATTCCTCTGTCGAGCGAATGGGCGTAGAGGTCAACAGCGCCGGAAATGCAAGTTGCCTGCCACAATTCGGGTCACCCGCCAACAGTCTAGTAGCAACTAGCAGTAGCAGTTCTACCGACAGCGCATCCGCAAGCAGCTGCTGAAAGGTTTGCGCGCTAGCACCTTTGATACGAATACACGCATGCATCCCCAAACTCCTGCGTTTTCTGCTACGTATTTGTAAGCCTGGCTTCCGTTGGCCACATGAAGCGGCACGCAACTACAGCCGCATTAACCTCAATCTCGTGAACAAACATTTTGACAAAACCCTAACCTCCTTCATTATCCATCTTCGTGTTGACTGCAACCTTGACAGATGAAACAGGCCTCGGACAGAACTCTTATGTGGGTGCTGAGCTACATCAGATGGATGCACGTATATCCCTTCGGACACGACCAGAATGGCTGGGATGCCTTCCTTGGTCATTCGATCAAGTTTGAGCCATTGGCGACTTGACTTCCCAGAGCCTGATCTTTTTGTAGCGCAGGCGGCAGTTGGCAGCCCTGTCTGTTGTGTACCATGCCACACATAAGGTTCCGCCAAACCCCAACATAACGCTACGAGTTCTGGACACCGGCAAGGAGTTCTTGACTCTCACTGGCTGGGCAGGCTTGGCCTCCAGCGCACTCAAGTAAGCGGGACACATGAATTGTGCAAGCAGCATTCCCGGGTTCAGGAGAACACGCCGATCTTTCGGCGGCTTTGCTCTTGCATCTTACCCGAACTACCCCGATTGGTGTGATGGAGAAACGAACTCGATTTTTCGAGGCTCGGCAGCAGGCCGCCTCGGCCTGGCTAGTACAGAATCGCGCGAAGGATCGCGAAGGGGGCGTAGGTGACTCGAAGCCGCGAGCCACGGGCTTAGGAGCTGATGGACTCGACTCTTGCATCCTTGGGCTCGAGCTTGGATGATCGGCATCGAGATTTGGAGGCTTTGCCCAAGTCCGGAGAATCGGTGCACCCAGACTGCTAGCAGATGACATGCCCTTGGGCAGGTTCTGCGAAGAACGTTGACTCCACTCAGGCTCGTTTCTTCTCTCGAGCCCCTAAACGCCTTAAGCCCCCGCCTCTGAAAAGACGGCCAATGTCAATCTTCCACAACTTACAGTCTCGGCGTAGACAAGCGAGGCCGAGCCCTTGTAGAACCAAGCCGAAACATCGCAGGTTGTGAAGTTGCATAGAGAATCACGGCTTCTTGCATGGCAGGGCCGCTCAACCCTCGCCAAAGCGATCGTGCTACGAGGGCGTCCATGTTGCGGTCGAGCAGGCACAGGGGCCAACTTAGCCCATGGCTCGGCGCTTTCAGTAGTTTGCAGGAAGGCATCCCTGTGTGGTTTCGTTGCAGGCCGTGGATGATGGAAGCTATTGGCACCTCTTTGAGTGAAGACCGAGCCTGATCAGCCTCACCCTCTCTTCAGTTTGGGGACGCTGACCTCGTCTTCACCCAGCTTGGTTGATGCGCTTGGTTGAAAAATCGCCGATGCACATCCATAGCATCCGCATTTCCACTCTGGACATGCTGACATGTCAGTGGGCCAGCAGCCATCTGCTGCTAAGAGAGCTGATGCGAGAAATGTGCAAAAAGCAACTGCTTTGCCAAGGACTGGAGCTTCCAAGGCCACACAATCTGAGAGAGGCTACCAGGCTACCTCCAGACTTATCAAGGCGAAGGTGTGACGTTGAACAAGCACGCGGCAGACGAGATTCTCTTGAGCCTCTTGCATTATGCCAGTGATGTTTCCGTCCTTCAGTTTGCGCCTTCTCTGGACGTAGAAGGTCTCTTCCAAGCTCGCGTAGTCGTGCACTGCAACAGAACAACGGCGGGAAAAGAACTTCGCAGCTCACCAGACAGCAGAGTTGGAAGAAACGGCACGCAAGACAGATGCAGGCAGGATGATGCAGACCAGTGCAGACAGTGCTATCGATGGGCAACGAGCCAGGCAGGGCACGTTACCAGCCTGACCGACACAGATCATGAATCTGCCACAGTTACCCGTCATCGCAGGGAGTTTGCAGTGCATGGTAGGGTGCCCAGGTTGGAGAGCTTGGAGGCCACACGGTTTCGATGCAGAGGTTGATACCACGGCGTAGAAGGACTGCAGGCACCAGGAGCTGCCTTACACGACATGGGCACGTAGATTGCCAGCGCGCTGCGCGCCGTCTGCGTCGTGTGACTGAAAAGGCCCGGCTGCAGAAGCCTTTGCCGTGAGCATGCCACCGTAAGTGAGGCCTCCCATCTGGAGCGACTCAAGTGGGTTGCTTTTCGACTCAACACTCGAACCAGTGAAGCAACATGCCTCAAGCTCACCGCAGTGCAAATCAGGGTAAGTTTGATTGCATGTGGGGCGGAGCACACCACGTGGGAGTGAGAATGACATAGCTACACTGGGCGTGGAGTGACGAAGTCTCTGCAATGGCCATGGCGGTTCTGAACCCTCGACCAGGGCCGGGCATCGTCTTTTTCTGCTCCTGTGTACGTAAGTGGCAGGCATATTTGCGAACCGTAGCCGTCGGACCGTCGAACTCGGGCATGCCTCTTTATTTATCTTTATTTTGTTGGCCTTGCCTGGGGCCTATCAGTCTCGCCACAGTCGCAGCATCTTGCAGGCAGCCAGCTGGCAAGCCGCAAGACGACGAAGCCCGTCAGCGGCAGGAAGCCAACAGGGCGAGTCACTTCAGACGCTGCTATCCTGAAATCGCCCAAAAGGCTTGATCTCAGACTACGTGGCCTTTTTGGAGGGATTTTATCCGCCGGTGTCCAGCAGTTGCACAGTTCTGATGGTGCCCTGGTTAGAGGCATTGGCGGCGCTCTGTGTCCGGGGCCAGGTGGACCAGGCAGCGCATGATGTTCTTCACTCTGTGGGCACTCGAGTTAAGCGACGTGTGGTGATGCCAGGTGTTGGAGTTCCTGAAAAGCCCGGAGGTCAGAGCTTTGGTTAATCATGCTTGGAAGCCTATACCTGACCTTCCGACCTTCTGTGACCAAAGCAATGCGTGGCACGCAGTATTCACGAAGACCGTGCTAGCTGCGATCCCAGACCTGCAAGCATATGCAAGCATCATGGCTCTGAGTCGAGACGATCGAGCTGATTCACCTGGAGAGACGAAGTCTTTTGCTAGCAGCAGCGACATTTGACGAGTGTTTGGATGGTCCAATGGCGTCTTTTGCAGCTACGATTCGGCGCGTCGTCTACCATCACCCAAGCCGCTCAGTGAGAATTAGCTGAAGGGCCCATGCTGTGAATGTCAAACACATTGATCCTTACTGTTGCAGCGTAAGGTTGCTCGCGACGCCGCAGTGTTGCTGGAGTGAGGCGCCTGTCAGGGGCTTGGCCTCGGACAGCTTTGCCGTGTGTAACAATCGTTGGAGCACTGCATGGTGTGAGCTGCACATCCCTTTTATTCCTTCTAAATCTGTGGTCTAGCAGCTAGCAGGCTCGGTGGCTTCATACGGGCGCCTGCCCTGGAACTTCTATTGAATGCACGCTGCATGCAGGGATGTACTATGGTTTCCGGAACATCCGAGGTGGTTCATCCTGACCTGTCGCCTGATTTTCCGGCCGAGGCGTTCTCAAGACCGGGATAGGAAGCCAAGATCTCAACTCCGAAGATTCTCAGTGATCTCCCGGCTGCCCCTGAAGGTCTGTTGATCTGCTCCAGTAGCTCACGAGCCTTCAATCAACTGCCTCCCAATTCATCCACGCACTTGTCGTTCTCGTCTCTCCTCGCAAGTATGCAGGCCTAATGTATGCTCCGTTTTCTCTGTTTCACGTGACTGCTGCCAATGCAGGCCAAACGAATAAACCAACGATCCCTGGCTGCATGCTCAGCGTGCGACAAGTTGGGGGTGTTGCCTTGGGAAGTCTGCTGAAGTTGCAGGCAGAGCTCAACGCTTACATCGATGCTTTGGAGTCTCGAGGGCGACGCCCATTCGAGGAGGGGCCTGAGGTGGGCGACCCGTCCGACATGTCAAAGAGCGGCCGTGGTCAGATCTGCAGGTCTCCAAGGAACTTCCCTTCTTCCGTGCGCTTCAGGCTTGCATGGGGTAAACAAAGAGGAGACCGTAAGAGCCACCGAATTGTCAGACTCGGCTGGGCCGGACGGTGCCACACCATGTTCTTGCCTGAGAAGGGCCAGCTGGCCGAAGAATAATGGCTTGCAGCGTGCAGCGTGTCGATTTGTTGAGAAATCAGCGCCGGCAGAAGCAAGAAAGCATAACGACACATTTCAGGCAATATCCTCACACCATGATTCCGCTAGCTGGCTTCGGGAGGTACCCCTACTTGCGTTGGTAGCTAAGCCGATGGACATGACCACCATTGAGCACCGAATCGCAGCTGACAGTTTAAACATCCACCACCAATCCGGTCGATCACGGTGTTTCGGGCAGACACCCTTTGCAACAAGCACGCAACAAAATGGAATCGTTAGCCGATCATTCTTGCTTTGAGTTACCCTTGCATGAGTTTGCGCGTGAGCGCAAAATGCTCGGGGCTTCCCTGAAGAAGCCAAAATTTGGCGACAGCTGCAGAGTGCAGCAATATGATCTACAGCTTCCAACAAGAGCGACTCGCATGGGACAGGAATCAACTCAACTGAAGGAACTCGACTGACACGACACAGCTAGTGACTACAGGCCGACTCTTAGTTGATGACGAGGCACTTCTGAACGTGTTCGACACAGTGACTGCCAGCCAGACATAGGTCATAGGTGTATTGCAAAAATCTCGCCAAGAGAAAGTCGCCAACATTGCACCCTCGCTTGCCAGGCATGAAGAAAATCTCATGAAATTACTTCCAAGCAACAGCTCAGCAAAGGTGTGAGGTAGGAATGGTGTCTGAGGTAGTGCCACTGCATTTGGAAATTCCCTCCCTTCCAGCCTCAGCCAGCGAGTTCCGACCTTAGTGTATTTGAGGCGCTAGCCGAGCCGTCTGCTTGTTGCCTCGTGAGTTGACGCGAGATGCTCGTGTAGCACATTGTGTCAGTCTCGGATTTGCATCAGAAGATGTTTGAGTGATTGAGGCTGGATAAAGAGTTTGCGGCTGCTCACCTGATCCGCGGTGCAGAGGCACGGCTGCTGGCTCTTTTGTTCCATCACAGCAGCGGCTGCTGCAGGTGGCATTGCAGACTCCAACTTCTCAGTTTTCAGACAGACCAGCAGTTGGACACTCGGAAGTTGCACGGGAAACATGACCTGAACTTTCGCACTACTTGTCAAGGTCGCACCTCTGTTCACGCAGAAAGGGGCTGGCAGGGCAGCCTTTGACAAACTATGGTGGCGAGAAGCCTGGATTGACCGTCGCAAGACCTTCAGTGTTTTCTGCATTGTTCTGAGGCAACAAACACAAGAAGAGCTCGTGCGTGAGGCCAGCTTGTTTCGGCGGCACAGCCAGCACGCTTGAGTCTTGGTCAAGAGGCGATTCATGGCCCTAACGACAGGGAGGTGCGACTACACGTTGCTAAGTTCCTAGGTTGCATTCACTGCACCTCTAGTACTGAGTGTCTTCGACCCTGTTGCTAGCACAGGCGTGTGTTCGCATGCAAGTATGGTCACCAGCTCATGAGGAGAGGTGCCGGAAAAACCTGTTTGGCAAATCGGTTTGCGCGTTCGCATTATGCTCGCAAATTGCAGGAAGTACTGGCGCATCAAAGACAAGCAGAAGCGCAAGCTCCGCATCGCTAATGTTGATGCGCTTGTCGAGGCCTGCCGATCCTGAATTTGGATTTGCGAAGAGGCAGAGAGACAGAGAGAGCGAGAGAGAGAGACAGACCCACCAGTGCGAGGACTCGGGCGAGGGCGGTGCGCTGCGCTGTCCTTTGGTTGTGTGCATGCAAGAGAGAGAGAGAGAGAGAGAGAGAGAGAGAGAGAGAGAGAGAGAGAGAGAGAGAGAGAGCGCGCGAGGGGCTTCGCAACCGCGTTGTCCCTCCGACTGTGCTGAAGAAGAGCGAGAGAGAGAGAGAGAGAGAGAGAGAGAGAGAACTGCCAACCCAACCGTGGAACATCCACGAAGTACCGGCAGTGGGCGATACGAAGGTGCAATACTTTACTCGTAATGGAACTTCGGGGCGTAGACTACAGTATCGCCGGGGAGTGCTAGTTGTTCCAGCATGTAACACACATGCATACAACCAACAGACGGGCGGCTCCCGCGGGGGCTCGCCCTCAGGCCCGGAGAAAGAAAGAGAGAGAGAGAGAAAGAGAGAGAGAGAGAGAGAGGTTTTTGCCAGTGTCACACAGACCATGAGACCGGTGCGCCTGGTGCGCCTGCGGGCGCGGGGGGTGCGCGCACTCCCTTGTCCGATTGCAAGCAAGAGAGAGAGAGAGAGAGAGAGAAGCCATTTTGGCTCAAGGTGCCTACAGCGACTCCGTGACCGACCTGATCCACGCCAGCTCAAAGGGGAGCTTTGGGGGGGGGAGTTCCGACTGTGCCTCGGGAGCTCTGCCCGCCCCAAGCTTCCTCCAAGTAACTAGCCCCTGGGGGGAGCCCTTAGATCGCTGCCATAGTCGCGAAAGGCAAGAACGCAGTACTTCAGCCCTGTGAGCGACCGAGTGACTGCAAGAGCAACCTCGTGCACCTTCTTTCCGAGGGGGACCCACAGGTCCACACCAACCTCCTTGAGAGGGCCGAGACCAAGCTTCGCCGGGACTACCACACCGCTGGGTGGGGGAGTGCCGCATCTCAACGGTCGTGACTGTGGCCTGAAGGGGGAGATAGCATACTTCCGTGGTTATGGCTACCTGCAGACGAGGGGGCTGGTACCGAGCATGCAGTGGCAGGTTCAACAAGTCCAGAACCATATGGCAAGACGGAGACGAGGAATGGAGTGAGCGTGGCAAAATTTTCCGTGTCCGAGTGATGCACCTAAAAAGGGGGGGAGACTTGTGAGAGGCTTTTTGCTGTTCGCTTGTTGCAGGGTCGCTTTGGTTGTCTTGTTGCAACTCGCAAGGCCCGGCCCCATCCCATTCCCATCCCACTCAAGGGGGATTTTCAAGAGTTTGCCCTAGCCGGGGGAATGCATGTTTCTTGTACCATATGTGTTCTATAACCTTGCTCAACTTTTTCGGTTCTTCTGAACGCTGCATGTCGCTACACGACGGCTTTCTTTCCGCTTGCCGCAATTCGCTGCACTTCCGTCGACACGACGATCGCCACTTTACCGATAATTCGTCCCTCTAGCCCCGAAGCGGGGGGAATCACAATTCAACAAGCTCCTTTTGTCAAGGACAGTGCCTGTAGTGATCATGTGACTCCTGGGGCGGTTTCCTAACATACTTGACAACTGGGGGAGAATTCCACCGGCACTTTTGCACTTTTTCGCAGCCCAGAACAGCTGCATGGGGGACGTTCCGACCAGATCCCGCTGAGAGCCCTGATGAGTGCCATAGGGGCGCGGGGACGAGGCGCGTTGGGGGTCCCTAGTGTAAAGGGAGGGTGAGTGACACCTGGAACATCCCTTGCCGTTTTTTCCGTTGTTTTGAGACCCCAGAAGCCGTCCACTCACTAGTACAATGTGAGGGACGGGCGGGCGCAATGCCTGAGGGTCGGCCAACCGACCCCTAAGCCCGGCAGAAAGAAAGAAAGAAAGAGAGAGAGAGAGAGAGAGAGAGGGAAAGAGGGGCACCCGTCACGCACAGGCTTCAGGGTTGAGTGGAAGGTCACAGGTAGTGCTGCTGCAGGGATCAGAATTCCGTTCGGTTTCAGGCAGGGTGGACAGGCGGGAAGGTTGAGGTGGGGCACCAGCTCAGCAAGGGGGGGGCACCCGATTTTCGGCAAAACACCACTACGCTCGTTCTGAAATGATTTCCTGCTGACCAAGCCGAACGGGAGCCCTCCTTGTTTCTCGAGTGACGTGGGGAACCCAATGTTTGTTTGCTTGCGTATCTTGGTTCTGTGCGAGGGTACCCCACCACTCACCTCCTGAACACCAGGAGTATCGCGTTTTCTGTAAAGTCCGAGCCCATCCAATCCAAATGATGGATGGGGCAGCGCGCCCGCGCGGGGCGGGAGGACTGCTCCCGCCTCAGGCCCCTAGCAAAGCAAAGAGAAAGAGAGAGAGAAAAGAGAAAGCAATAACTGTTCGGTCAAGCGACACTGTGGCAGGGTGGGCGCATGCAGTCAAAGGCATGAAACTCCAACGGACCCTGCAGTACAGTTCTTCCTGCACCCTTTCGACGGAAGCCAGGGAATCAGACTTAAACACCAATGCAGTGTAGCAGAAATGGAGCAGAAGGTCAGAGAACCAGACGTAGCCGAGGAAAAGGGCAGGCAGAACAGACACGCAAGCAGTTGCTACTTGGGTTGAGGCACGTGCAAGCTGTTGGTTGATCATGCTTGAATGAGGCATTCAGGTTGTGTGCGGACACGTTAGGGATGTCGGTGAAGCGTCGGAAATTCGTATTTGTCACCCTACTCGTTCTGCGCCTGCAGCCTCACCGACGCAGGTGAGACACAGAGGGATGTAATCTTCCTGTTTCCACTTGTGCATGTTTCGTCGCATCGGGATGTGTGGCCAAGTGGAAGTTGATCAGAAAGACAGTGTACTCGTATCCCCCGTTACCGAGTGCCCATAGTGGCATCGCAGCCGAGAGCAGGGGATCTCGGTCATGCAAACGACGCTTTCAGCGTCTCACACGGCTCATTCCGTGCTTGGGCGTGCCGCCGAGCAGCAAAGTTTTGACAGACCCAACTCTGTCCTTCTCCTCACAATGGAGAGCCAGTTCTGAATTTCCTTCCGTGTGGGGCCTGCGACAACAGGTTTTAGTTAGCACCGGCGCACGAGCACATGTCGCGCCCGGCACGACGCTTTGAAATGATACGCGAGCTCCTGAGTCGTTGCTGAGTCGTTGCTGCACTCGCCTGTGCTCGCACTAGGACGGTGCGGTCGATTTTGTTTGGTTGGTCCATGTGTCCAAGTGTCTATCAGCCTGTCCCCCTGACCTGGCCCAAACCCTGGGGTGCCCCAGCTCGCCAGCCGACAGAGCTTGCTTACGCCCTGCTCAAACCGTGCCGTGCCACCGAAGGCACCCACCCCGGCCACAAGGGAATGCCGCGCTCGCGTGAGTTGGCTTTGACAGCGCCTTCAACAATCCACATTTTAAGCGGCCCGGCAACAGACATGGAGACCGGCTGGTTGTTGAGTTTAATACTTCTGGCAGGCTTGGTGCGCTGTAGTCATTCTTGAATGCACTTTTGTTGGCTTGTCACACGAAGCATGCTCCGTGTCTGATGCAATTGCACTGGAGCCTGACCACATGAACATGATTCACATCCGCGGCCATTTCCCAGTCAATCCGAAACACGAGAACGGCTCTCCATTCGTGTGCAGTGATGCCTGTTTTCCAGGAGCCTTTTGCTTCCCCACTCTGCCCTCCCTAATGAATGTGGAAAAATTCCGACAAGAGGCATTGTTGATGCTGAAAGTATATGTGTACCCTTCGAGTTCAGGTCCGGGGGATGTGCGAGTGGCCGTGTTAGCTGGTGGCAAATCTTGAGTTGAGGGACACCCATGCACTGTGGGCCTCGTCCCATGAAGAGAACATGAATCCTAGTGCTTTGCGTAGGGTGCTCTTACGTTCGCAGCAGGGTGGTTGTGGGGTTGATTTGTTTTTTGAAGGTGAAGTGATGTGCTTGGGACGGTGGGTGAGCGGTCATCTGTCGAGAGTTTTTTTGTGCGCCGATGGATCAAATTCTGCCGCTGTGGTCGTGAAGAGCCTCAGTTCGAAAACCGGAAGTGTTGAAACATCCTGTTGCATAAGTCAGTACTCAGTACTCCATTCCCTTGCCGTGAATTCTGTCAACTTCTCTCCTTCGCAACTGGTAGTGTTCTGCGACGCTCATGTTCAATGTCCAGACGTCAATGGATGGCAGTGCAGTGGTCTGTCCTGATCGGTGGTAGCGCTAGCAGAACTGCCTGTCGGCCGATGGTAAGGCGAATACGTTGCGGACAGAAACAGCAGTTCGGGGTTGGTCAAAACACAAAATCAGGCGGGTCTGATTTTTTGATTTAATGCCCGAAGCGGAACCCCGGGAAGGAGACAGAACCAGCGAGCTTGAGGAACGGTCCTGAAAGAGAGTCGTGAATGTGTTTACATGTCAGAAGATATGCCAGCAGATGTCGTAATTAGGACATACGTGGTCATTCGATGCGCTGCTCTGTGAGTACGGAGGCCAAAGTTCAAGAACGATTCCCGGAGCCGACAACATCCGCCGAGCTTAAGATGCAGGCCCCTGCTTGAGCCTCCTTCAGTTGTCTTGTGCTGTTCATGTTTCTGCAAAGTGCTTCTAGCCGTCAGTGGACATCGACGCACGCAAGCGGAGGCTGATGACGAAGAAGCGAAGAATCCCGCGCGAGTGCCCGGGCCCTGGTGCATGTCAGATCCGTTTGAGCTCGCAGACCTCACGGCACACCATGGTTTGGTCTTTCTTCATCATCCTCTCCGTCAGAGTCCCCTTTTTTTGGTGCTTCCGTTGTCGTGGTACCAACCTGGCGTACTCGGATAGTGACAGGAGTCTACACCTTTCCGGACTTCTGTTGGCCGCCTCAGGCTTCAAGGGGGATTCCATCCGGACCTTGTCTTCGTGGATCCCGATCTGTCTGCAGAACATCGGCGTGAGGTCGGATCGATGGGATGGTTTTGTTGCGATGCTTCAGTGCCGTACACGGCGGCATACGGAGAAACGAGCAACCAGGATCTTCGAGGTTGTGTCTGTGACTGCTTACAGGACCGAGTTCAGTCCCCATTCGATCGTCTAAGCTGCTGTCCTATCGGCAGAGCTTAGGCATATCATAGACCAACAAACGGCTGACATTGGAAACATTGCTAGAACTTGACTTCTGTCTGCTGTGCAGGCGATTCGCCGGGTTTGCGGCATGAACCTTGCCAGCGATGCTGACTTCTGGCTTCTGGAGAATCTGTGGTGCACCCGGCAGAACTTGTCATTACTCTGGCTTCGTCATGATAAGTGCATTTATCGAATCCTGGCCAGGAAGGCTATGCGAGATAAGCCGCCTCCAGTCCCGCTCGTTATCGCCGAGTCGAATTACAAGGTCTGGTATGGTGACATGTTCCAAGTACGTTGCAAGCCGCTGCCCATCCGTTGCAGGCCTACCCAACTGGGTTCATTCAAGTTCCCTGGGACTTCACTGTCGACGGCCTCTGCGACATCCTAGAAGCGCCTTAACTGGACAGAGCAACTCTGTGAAGCCGTGGGTCCTTGATGTTCTGTGTTGCAACTGCTTTGTTCGGGCAACTGGCATTACAAATTCGTGCGATTGTTTTCTCCGACCTGTCGGTGTTGGCGAAAGCTGTCAGGCTTTAGATGCGTTGTTCAGGTCTCCAGAAACACGCACGTACGAGAATCAGTTGTACCAAACTTGGGGGTTGCATGGCTGTCCTTCGTCCTTCCGGTAGCCGAATTCGGGATGGAGCCGAAGCTGCGAATGCTTCATCTCAGGAGCATCTCGATGCAACTCGAGAAGGCTGGATGGGCCTTCCGAGCCGATTGCGCTGTCTGTGCTGCGAGTGCCAGGAGTAATCGCTCGGCGACAGCGTGGGCACGTCCCTCCTGTTCCTGAGCCTGATGACTCTGGACAGCTGCAAGCTTCTGCAAGCTTCAAGCATGTGAACACATGTCCAGAACACAACCTGCACTGCGAGGACCGCTTCGTTTAGAAGCCTATTCTGACAAGGAAGACGAGGAAAGTCAAAGCGGGGAGGAGGACGTTGATCTTGCACAAGATCAGGCGTTTGCTGAACGCGAAGATCTTCCATTCTCCTGAGTCGTTCGGCATCTTCTCGGACTCTTCATCACACAGCCCTTGTTGGGTGTCTTGCAGCCGACTTGTCCGCAGTCCGCGGTGGTGAGAAGCTGCAGATGGACACATTCTGCCATGCCTTCGCTGATTTCAAGCTTCGCGCAGGTCCAAGGAGCGATCACCCCGTGCAATACCTCAGCCCTGGTAGCGTCATCTCAAGCACTGAGAGAGAGGCGACAGTGCACGACCTTCAGGAAGCCAAGCTTCTGAACTTCGTTCAGTACCAGTTGCAAGAGTGCAGATAAAAGTCAACTACAAGACGCAGGACCCGGGAGCGGGCCAACGAGATCGAAATCTTGACAATCGGTCTCCCTGGATGGGGAGAACCCACTCCTTCTTGAGGATTCGACCTGCTCCTTAGTAGGCATTTGCAGGCCAGGAAGCCACTTGGAAGCTCATGCTGGAAAGAGTCCCTGTTGTGATGTATCCTGTCAAGAAAGAGCAAAATGCTCTTCGCGACTACTTTTGGCATCTGCGGTGGGTGAGCTCCTTTACATTGCAGGGTCTAGAACACTGGTTGCCATGGTCTTACGACACCAGTGCCGCCAGCACTGCAGCAAAAGGCTGCTGCGTGGAGCAGCCGGCATTGGCAGGCTGTCTCATCGTCTGTCGTTGATTGGGTATGGCACCCTGCTTCAGAACCACTGGGTTGCCATTGTACAGCATGCTGAGCATGTTCCAAGCGATGTCTGCAGCAAAGACGCAGGGATATTCCTTGCACGGACAGAGGTGCCCCTGCTGTAGCCCCGAAGCTGTACAGGCTGTGCACATCGCCTCTGGCGAGTTGGATGCTGCCGGAGACTCCGCATTGCACCTGGCAGCTTGGATGAGACTGGGAGCTTAATCCCATGTGCATCCGTGGTTTTGTGACTGTGCGCCACAAGTATATCCTAAGGCAGTCCTCGGGGGACATCTTGTGTTCACGCGGGACCTGCGAGCAGAGGGCGAGGGAAAGTCAAGTCTGTTTTTTTCCCCTCTGTGCGACCGTCATGCAGGAGTTACTGGCTGCATCGTGCGAGGCTACCGCTTGCTTGCGTTTTCTCGCGCTTTGTCGGGGAGCCTTTTCAGGGGGAGCCTTTTCAGAAGTTTAATCGCGATGCCAGCAAGCAGGGGTATGGCATCAACGGGCCGACGTAAATGTCGGTCTGAGAGTGGGAGGTGCACGCCCGCGATGGTCGTGGGCGATCTCCTTTGCATGCTATGCTCCTGGTAGACCCAGCCAAAAAAGTTGTCTTGCTTCCTTAAGTCTCCGCAAGGTGGCGGCCATGGAGGGAAGCCCCGAGCTGGTGAGGGCCTAAAGTTCTAAAGAGTTGGTGAGCTTAGCCGATAGTCCTCCCCGTGTTTTCGCCGGCTCGGCTCGGAGCTGAAGGCTTTGGAGCTCCTGGCAGCAGGAGCCGATGCCAATGGCCTGGACGACTGGAACCAAACAGCCACACTCCAAGCACAGCCAGGAAACTGAAAGGGATCCGATTCAGGCGCAGAACATCATTCGCAGCCTTTGAAGACCAACGGTTGCATCATGCTGGGAATGGAAACTCGCGGCTGCTTGCGAACAGGTACATGTCTTGTGCCGTGAGCCATGCAGTCTGAGCTGAATCTGACGGTGCAGTTTGCTGCAGTGCCCAGGCCCTCCACTGGGCTTCAATGGCACACTCAGCAGACTTGGTGATGCACCAAGGTGAAGACATGTATACTGTGCACGATCTTTTGCAAAGTAGTTGACATTCACGGCTGCTGGGGCCATCAAGGTTTCAGTCCTGCTGGATGGCTGCTTGGCCTTGCACTGGCTGACTGTTTTCGAGAGCTTTGCCACTGCTCAGTTCTTTACTTTGAAGGTGGTGCCAATCCGCTGCTTCAAGACAGCACAGACCTCAGAGGCTCACTTGGCAAGAGGTCAGATATGGGCCTCGTGACGGTAACGTCTTTGAGGGTCTCGCCCCGCCATCATTCCTCCCCGCATCAGCTGCAGGTTTTGGCAGAACAGCTGCATTCATGGCCGCAGAGTGAGGGTCTCGCTTTCCAAGCTGTAACACCTTGCGTAATTCTTTGTGCTTGCTGAAGGCAGGGCAAGATGGAGCTTTTGTCCCGCTTGCTCGACAAGGCCGTTTACACTGCGGGGACTTGGTGTGTTGTGGTGACAGCGACGTATGACAAGGAGCCCAGCTGTGCCACGATCCCGAACAACGAGTGCCAAGCCCTTTACAATTCCCAAGCACGGCATTCGGTAGTTTGCATTTCGGATTCATGGCTCCTGCCAGCATGTGTTTGACTGTGTAGCGGTGCATCTTGACCACCGAGATTGGAGCCCGCTGCATGTGGCCGCTTTCGGCCTGCAAAGCGTCAAGCCGCGGACTCGTCTGAAGCCCTTGACTCCATGAACTCCACACGGTTTCAGTCTCTCTCTTCCTTCAGTCGTCTCGTTTTGATGCTAGGAACTTCACAAAGCCTCTGAAGTTTTTGGAGACCGTGAAGATGCTGCTGGCTGCCAAGGCACCTGCTAAATTCGATCATGGCACTTGGTACCTCGGATATCCTCGGATGCTTGCATGCTGCAAAAGCAGCGGCCACGGCTTGCTTTCGGCAGGCTGAAGTTGATGCGAAGGAGAGTTTGCTCCAGCAAAGTGGCTTGTTGTAGAGTTCCGGTGTCTAAGTCCGCGAACTGTGCAGGATGAGAATTGCCGCACTGCCTTGCACAGAGCTGCTCAAGCAGGCGTGCTTGAGCCCGTCATTTGGGTCCACTGTGCTCGCGGTCCTTGTTCTGGATGGATGACAGGAAACAGCGAGCCGCTTCAAGCCCTGCTTGCAGCTGGTGCAAGTGTGTCCAGTGCAGTCGTGCCTGCACGGTTTAGCTGTGCTATCCACCGCCAGTGCTGAGGAAGACGAGCGAGTAGTAAGACAGACTCTACATTGCAGCCTCACTGCAAGATTCCTACAAAAACACGACTGACATGCATGCACGGCAGGATGAATGTAGATGGACACCTATGCACTATGCGAGCCAGGCAAGAGAGCACATGCCCATGGGCACTGCAGTAGTTGGTAGATGCCAGACATGTCTTTGCGTTGTATAGTCGTGCCGATCAGGAGGGTCACCTGCAGATCGCGAAGCTCCTGCTAGATGCGAAGGCGGTTTCGGGTCAAGCCCCATTGTGGCAGGATGGGGAACATGCGACCCATGCCATGTGAGCTAGGAATGGATGCGAGCGGTAAAAATAGCCTTCTTTCGCTGTGTTCAGCCCGGGCTGCCTAGAGGCAGATGCAGAGCCCAAGAACCCGACATGCTTGACACCACTGGCCGTGGCAACCGAAGGGAACCAGGCCGGAAAAACGTGAGCTCTTCTGAAAGTTTTAACCAAAGCTTCTTGCTCGGGCTGGCCAGGTGAAGATGGTTGAGTTTTTGCTCAAGCATGGCGCAGATCCGCATGCCAGGGCAAAAGGCCGCGCCCTAGGCCCACTCGTAACAAGGATGGCTTTGCTAACTCTTACTAAGGCTTACATTCGCCTTTGATGATGGCTCGGAGCGACCCGAAGAAGTGCCGGACTCGTATGCTCTTTGCATGCGTCCGAATGCTTTCCTGGTCCCTGACCAGGTATGCTGACATACTTGCGCTCCTTGAGCTCGGCTTCATCAACCACTAGTCGCCCCAGTTTGTCTCACCAGGGAAGCGGCGCTGCGCAAGAAGCGTGGTGAAAGACAGAGTTGCATGCTTGAGATGTGTGCATGAGGATCTCTTGATGCAGCTAGGGCTCCATCATTTGGGCTCAGAAGCAGCCGGCCGGTGCTTGCACCATCAAGGAGGCGGGCGAGTGCGTGCACCGAGGGCCTGTTGATCAGAAGCCGTGCACCGGTCAGGAAACATGCCGACAGGAGCCTCGAAGAAGCTCGGCGGCAATGCGTGACATGGTGCAGTTGCAGGAGCTCTGCCTATGCAGTGGCCTTTCTCGGATTTGGTCATCTCTGGTGATATGTCCGAACAAGAAAGTTTCAACCTCTCCCGCCGCGTCAAACGTTCTCCCCTTACCTGCGGGCCCGTTAAGTTGCTGGTGGCAGAGCTAACTTCTAGAGCGAAGGTGGTGAACATTTGTGAATCTGGTAACGGTTGAGTCGGGCTGAAGTCGTGGCCATGCGCCCAGTCTGTGCGGATGTACCGAGATGCACAGGCAAAAGCACTCCACAAGAGCCAGCTGCCGAACATGGCTGCTGGCTTGCGTCGCCTTTGTTGGGAGCTTGATTGTCTGGTAAGCATGTGCAGTGGCATCTGGCACCGATGCGGAAGCGGCCTTTTGCACTTCAGAAATGGCGCGTACTAGCGCGCCCATGGCAATTGATGCTTCGATGTCAATGCCAGTCGCGGAGACGTGTAGTGCCTGGCAGAGCGGCCATGTACTCGAGGCGATTTTGGGTGTTCAGCCGATCAAAATGTTTGTTACGCTGCCGCAGACATCCAGGTTGGCGCATCGGGACTCGGTTACTTGTGCAGCTCCTGCTGGCCCAGTGTTGCAGGCAGTCTGAGCCAATGGACTCCCGACGCCGTGCCCTAATTCTGGGAGGATGCCGTGCGGGGGTTAAACAGCATGACTTTGGTCCACAGCTTCAGACAATCAATACATTTACCTGTGCTTGCCTCATCTTGCCTCAGTATGGTTCACAAAGCTCATCGCAGGAATGTCTTTCGCAGCGTTTGAGGCAGGATTGTCACGAGCCCATGGATGCTCATGGTATGCAGATGAGCCGAAGCCTGGCGCATGATGGGAAGTCACGACGGCCTCATGTGCAGGATCAGGCCCATGCAGCAAGCTCTGCAGCTGCCAAGATAAAGGAGTGCGAGGCAAGTCTTTGAGGATTCCTTTAACAAGGAGAGTCCCAGCTCGTGACTTGGTCCTGAGGCGGAGGCCAGAAAGATCGTTGGCGGCCTCGAGTCGACAGCAAAGAATGCGCTGGCCATGACACCGGGACAGCCCGGCTCCTGGCGCAAGTGAGAATGGTTTCTGACCAACTTGCTAGCTAACATTCGAGGGTTGCTGAACAGCAAGCTCGTGGCCCACCCAAACTGGGCAGCTTTGAGACCCTTGAGGGGCCCGCACCTGAGCTCCGAAGATCTGGGCCGAAAGCCGGGCCGCGCAGCTGCTGCTGCAGGCCGTGCTCGACGTCTGCTCTTCGTGCTGCTGCGTAGCGCCCAGTGTCCAAATCCGCTGTTTGCTGTTGCTCTGTGAACCTGTGCTGCATAGCCTGCGTACGAGGCAGACAGCCTGGCTGCATCACCTCCAGCTGGCCTCACCCGCTATGCTGCGACCCTGGACGCTGCTCGAAGCGAAGCAGCAAAGCAGCAACAAGACTGAGGATCTCCAGCGCTTGCAGGATGCCCCAAAGCGGATCGTGGAGGCCCCCCGTCACATCACTCTGTGTGGCCGCAGTGGTATGCGGCACTCAAGAGCCAGGCCCGCACGGCGATTGTCGAAGCAAACGCTAACAAGCAGGCCGGGATCGACCCTTGTTGCTTCCCACGCTGCCGTTGAGTGTTCCCGTATCTTCCGTGTTCCTCGTTCCGCTGCAGGGTCCGCGCCTTTTCGGCGCTGTCAGGAAGTATATGGACGCATCCGGATCGCTGCTTGTGGGTATCCCGTAGTTGCTTCCATGAGCACTTCAGTTTTAAGATCTTTCCTCTATCCAAAACAACTAACTGCATTAGGAGTTAGCATGCAGCCAGTCTGGCTCGAGAAGCAGGCCAGTCGCCAATATGGCAAACTTTTAAGTAGATTATTGTGCGTGCCGAAAAACAACGACCCACATCTGACACGTTTACAGTAATACCCACAGTGGTTAAGCGAAACGACGCTTGCGAGTGTAGTGCTCCACGGGCCTTTCTCAAATGTTCCTTTTGCGAGTGGTTTTTGGCTCGAGCCTCCCAGCTCGAGCCCCTGCCTCGATGCCAGGGCCGTGGCTCTCAGCCACAGGGGACCCTGAAGCATGGCAAAGCTTTGCGCCCGGCGTGGGCGACTACGTGGAGTTTGTGGCGTATGACGCCGGAAGAGTTAAGCAAGGGACGGTGCTCGCGCGACTAGATGCCATCTCTGAGAAGACGAACCACGGTATGTGGTCGGAAGTTACGCTCCTGGCTGTCAGCGACGAGCACCTGACCTGGTGGCTTACAGATGGTCCCGGCAAGGACGACCACTGGCAGTTCGAACTGCACTTTTGCAAAGGCTCGGAGAGAGCCTGCAAGCAAACAAAGCGAGGACGGAACCTCGACTTTCACACTGACAAGTTCAGAGTGATTCCGATCGGGGACCTCGCCGACAAAAAGATCGAATGGGTGCGGAAGTCAAAGCACAGAAAATATGTGGAGGAGGAGGTCAAAAGAATGGCCGGACCACTCCCCACGGGGAAGGAAGCCTCTGGATCAAAGACAGCCCAAGGGCTGAATTTCGAGGAGGCCAAGGGCCTCCCTCGAGCAGATCAGTCCGTGGAGGACGACGCCTTGAAGGGGCTCTCCAAGTTGGAAGCTGAGCTCGGTACGCCGAGGGGTCGCAAGAAAAAGAAAGAGAAGGGAGATGGCGGAGGACCCCTCAAGAGGGAGACTTCTCAAGAGGAGAAAAGGAAGAAGAAGAAGAAGAAGAAGAGAAGAAAGGAGGAAAATTCCGCCCACGGGCGAGCACAGTCTGCCCCTGGAGGACGCCAATGGTTTGGCACTCCTGTGGAAGGGGACCCAGAGGAGCGTTCCAGCTCCGATTCGACGCCGGGGACCTCCACTTCCGAGAAGAAGAAAAAGAAGAAGAAGAAGAAGAAGAGGAGGAAGGCGGAGGATCGGGACCGGGCTCGGTCTGCCCAGGACCGAGGACCCTTTGGGTCCGGTCACAAGGTGTCGTATGGTGGCGTGGTGCAGGGATCCGACTCTTCCAGTGGCGAGGAGGATTTTCGCGAGGCCCTCCCTTCCAACAATGGAACAAGTATCCAGCTGCAGCTTCAGGAGTACTCGCTGAAGAAGCCGGGGAGACTTGCCGCCAGACTCCTGCAGCGAATGCAGGCAATGGTGGGGAAGGAGGGAGGGCCGAGCGACTTGACACCAACCTCGAACATGACACCGCCGGTCGCGACCAACTGGGTGCTGACCGTCCTGGGGCAGCGGGGCCTGCCGGTGCGCCTCCTACGGGAGATGAGGACCCTCGCGGCGGCGTTGGACCAGATAGCGGCGGGAAGGCCGCACGCAGCCGCGGACACCATCGCCCAGCATCTGAAGGCCCTCGAGGAGCTCAATTCATCGAGCTCTTGGAGCCGGAGGGACCGGCACTCCTGGAGAGGAGCGAGGCCGTTCTCGCCTCCAAAGAATGGGGAGCCGAACTCAGGATGAGGAAGCTCCAAGGGGGCGGGAAAGGACCCGGGAAAGCCGGAGAGAAAGGCGACGGCAAGTCTCCGAAGGGGGACCCGAAGGGAGGCAAGGACCAGGGCGGCAAGAGGAACGGCAAGGGCAAGGAGAAGGCGCCGCAGGAGTGATGGAGACCGCCGTGAAGGAGGAGATCCCTGACTATGGTGGAGACGAGGAAGGGGAAGCAAGTGTATCCTCGAGCGGTGCCACCGAAGAAGCCGACCTTTCTGGGATGCTCCTGGATGGGGTCCTTGACTTTGACCTCGGGGAGCTAGGAGAGAGCGACGACGAAGGACTCCCCACGGGGAAGGACGATGCCAACGACTGGTCGAATATGTTCCAGGGCCTCTCAATGAACGAATGGCGGCAAGGACGGTCCTCAACAAGAAGCCCCAGATTGCCCAACTCGGGAAGGTGTACATGGAGGCCATCCTGTCCCTCAAGTCCGCTTTGGGAACTTTCGCCAGAGTGCACTGTAACCCGGAAAGGCTGCCTCCGGGCGACGAGTCCACCTCTTCTGGGGACAGGGCGGCACGGCACGGTGACATCATCCCGATCCATCCTGGGCTGATCCTTCCTTCGCCTCGGGGGGTCACCAAGGAGAATGTGCATTGGGTTCGGGCCATCGTGACCGTCCTGAACTACCTTTACTGTGCTGCCTGGGCGAGTCCAGTCTGCGTCCCGATGCCACGGGTGTTGGGCAACGCACAACTGCGGGTGATTGGGAAGATTGCCGCGCAAGTTGACCGCCTCCTCGCTCGAGGCGGAACGGTCGGACCGGCCCCTGAGGCTGTGAAAAAGCTTAAGGCAAAGAAGTTCGACTACAACGGCCAGCCCATCGACCATATGCTCGACTTGGAAGCAGACAAGGTGATCAAGGCATGGCCCTCCCCCGGGTCTGCTGCCGTTGTGAGCCTCGAAGAGTGTCTGCCTCCGGATCTGAGGCAGGCGATCCAAAATCCTGCCGACTACCTCCTCCCGGAGACGGAGCTTCCGGAGCGACACCGAGGGTCGAGGGTCAGGGCGTCGGACCAGGAATGGTTCAAGATTGTCAAGGCCGGTTACGACCGAGGCATGTTCACTGCGGTGAAGGATGAGGACGTCCCTGTGGACCGGCGGGGCTTCCTTATCACAAACGGGCCCGGAGGTGTTGCCAAGAACAAGGTCCAGGATGGAGTGACGGTGGAGATGCAGCGCTTTATCTCGATTTTGTGCCCGACGAACGAGGCGATGCGCCTCCTTCCGGGGGCCCAGGATTCGCTCCCTTATGTGGGGCAGCTCACCGCCATCCTGGCCGAGAAGGACTCGTATCTGACTCTGGACAGCGAGGACCTGCACTCCGCTTTCAACTTGTTCAGGATGCCCCCTGCTTGGGCACCATACTTCAGTTTTGCAAAGAAGGTCCGAGGCGATGCCTTGGGACTTTCGGCAAGGATTGAGGTGCGACCAGGCCTCACGGTGGTCCCAATGGGCTGGACATCGGCAGTCACCCTCATCCAAGCAGCAGCAGCGATCCGACACATCTCGTATGAGATCGCCAGGGTCCCGTCATTTGGGGACGTGAGCAAGGACAGGCCCCTTCCTTCAGAGGGCCCCCTCACGGTGCTCTATCTCGACAATTTTGATGAGCTGAGGTACCTCAAGAAGGAGATCGCCGAGGCCGAAGCCGGCCAGCCCTCAGAGAACCACTTGAAGTTTATCACCGCGTGCGAAATGCTTGGGCTTCCAAGGAACCTGGGGAAGCAACTGAGCGGAGCCCTTCAGGGTACCCTCCAAGGAGGAGAAATTCTGGGAAAAGAGAATGTGCTACGGCACGCTTATGATAAAACGGTCGAGCTCATGGAGCTCGGTTTGGGGCTCATGTCAATGGAGTTGGTGGATGAGTTCTGCCTCCGCCACTGGTGTGGTAAGGCCGCCTTCGCGGCGGCTTTCAGCGGTCCTACAGGAGGTTTATGCCACAATGGACTGGGCAAAGCAAGGAACCCAAGTTATCCTGCCGGGCCCCGTCCTTGACGAGGTCCTCTGCATGAGCCTGCTCCTCCCCCTGGCCGAGACGGACCTTTCGTCACCGATCTCACCGGAGATCTCCTGCACTGATGCTTCGCCGACCGGGGGAGGCTGTTCGGTGGCAAAGGCCTTCAAGGAAAAATCGTTGCTGCTGCCCCTTCCTTTGGAGGACCCGGGCACTTGCGCTGGTTGCGGCGCGTTGCTCGACCAACCGGCCTGGCGGACGTATCGCTGCCCGAGGAAGTGCGGACTCAGGTGCTGCACCCTTCGGTGCACCCGCAAGCACAACGAAGAGTGCTGCCGCCGGTGGTGGCATGTTCCCAAGTTCGGGGACAGATTCGCAGGGAAGAACTTCCCAATGTCGAAGGCAGCGGGCTTAAAGGGCATTGAGGTCCAGCTCCCCTTGGATTATCAGATCGAGGGCGACCGGTGGGACTTCAAAACGGAGCCGGGCAAGGAGCGACTGGACGATTTGGAAGCCGATGGGGACCTCATGTGGACCCATTGGTCCCCGGATCGCCACACCTTCTCCAAGCAGCGCGGCCAAGGCTTCTGGAACGACCGTTGGGAATGGGAGCGAGGCCTACCTGCTTTGCGCAACAGAGATCACCCAGAAGGTTTCAACAACCTGCGGCGCCCAGACCTAGTGATGGTTCGCCAGGCCAATGCCATGGCGAAGCGGGCTGTGAAAGGCCTCCTTGAAGCCCACCGAAGGGGGCGGTTCGCCTCGCTTGAGCACCCTTGGGCGTCCTACATATGGAATCTCCCGGAAATGGAGCCCCTCTACGGAGGAGATTGGTTGTGGTCCACGTTCTCCCTATGTTGCCACGGAGGAGAACGAGAAGAGTGGTTGACGGTGGTTCACAACTCACCGTCGCTACATGCGGTGTTGCACAAGCCTACGTGTGATGGCCACTCCGGGACCATCTTGGGCTATGACTACATCGACATCGAGAACCAGGATGAGTACCCATGGGCCTTTTGCCTGGTCTTCATGGAAGGAGTGCATGATGAGCTGAGCGCTCGGTACTCGGAGCCCTTTGGCTGCCGGGCAATGACCCTGGAATCGCTCATGCACCACCAGCTCAAAGGAGCGACCAGGGGACTTCAAGACGGAGCCGCCGTGGATTGGGCTGTGACTCAAACGGTGCAATTCTTGGACACCATGGATGCCGGGAATGAAGCTCAGCACCTGGCCTGGCTCTTGAGGCACACGTACCACACACAGGGTGCGATGTGCGAGTGATCAACAAAGGCCAGGATGTGGTTGGTATGAGGCCAGCTCCATACCCTGCCTTTCGCTGGCACTGGAAGGATGTGCTTTCCTACAAATGGAAGCAGCCACAGCACATCAATGTCCTGGAGCTCACGGCGTTCCTTGCAGAACTCAGGCGAAGGACCCGTGACCTTACCCAGCACAACCACCGCTTTTTCTGCATCGTGGATTCCCTGGTGACTTTCTATGTCCTGGGGAAGGGCCGAAGCAGCTCGAAAAGACTGAATCGAATATGCCGACGTGTGACTGCGCTGACCCTGGCTTCTGGTGTGTTACCCATCTCCCTGTGGACGATCAGCAAGTGGAACTTTTCCGATGGCGCGTCCCGCAGGTTTGAACCGTCCTGACCACCTCCGCTTTTTGGGTATCACACAAAAGACCAGGCGCTCATACGAGCAAGCAGTCCAGGCATTTTTCGTTTATGTACGCGCCCTACGGGGCAGGCTTCCCCGCTCTATGGCTGATTTGGATGATGAGCTGGCAGAATACATTAACCACCTCTACCAAGAGGGCGACAATGTTACGCAAGCAGGCTGGACCGTTAGCGGTCTCAAGCGGTTCCTGCCTCGGTGCAGACCGCACCTTCAAACCGCCCAGCTGTTCCTTCGGAACTGGCACCGGGTACACTTGCCGCAACGAACCAGTCCTCTCCCGTGGCTGGGAGCAAAGGCCATGGCTGCGGCTGCAGCCCGTATTGGGCGGTTTGATTTGGCGCTGTTGGTGCTCATTGGTTTCTCTTTCTTTTTGCGCACCATGGAGCTCCTTAGCCTGCGCAGCGTACACATTCGTCTTTTCCCGCAAGATGGCACGGTGGTCATTGCTATTCTTAACGCTAAAACTGCCAAAGGCCTTCAACAATCCCTTTCACTTCATGAAGAAAGCTTGGTAGCTATTTTGCAATTTTTGATGGACCGGGCACGCCCGAGTGATTATCTCTATTCCTTTTCGGTGGCGACCTTCCGCCACGAATTTGCTTGTTTGGTCAAAGCCGTGGGACTTTCACCCGAAAGCTACCTCCCCTACTGCCTTCGCCGAGGGGGCGCCACGGCTTTCTACCAACGCTTTGGCCTAGGCCGCACTGTCGTGCAAGGCAGGTGGAAAGATGCAACAACGGCGCGCATCTATGTTGACGACGCCCGGGCCACTCTCATACAGCTTCTTTTGCCCGCCCCCGTCACCGCCCTGCAACAACATCTTGCTTCTTTTTGGCGGGTGGCTTTGCCAGGAAACTAGCCCAATCGGGCGAGTTGGCGATTGGGCGAGTTGGCGTTGCTGCTTCATCCTCACACCGGGCTGAAGTCTGAGGCCATATGTGCTGAGGGTGAACACCTCCTACGGGAGAGACCTCCACGGAGGAGAGGAGGCTTTTGTCTACTAAGGCAATTGCCTTGGTGGTGTACCTTAGTGTCACGCCAACTCTGAGCCTTCCCAGCCTTTCCGGGGAAAAAGCTCCGGAACGTGTCTTTGAGAATACCCACAGTGGTTAAGCGAAACGACGCTTGCGAGTGTAGTGCTCCACGGGCCTTTCTCAAATGTTCCTTTTGCGAGTGGTTTTTGGCTCGCCACCTCGTCCCCGCCTCCACCCGGCCATATGTGCTGAGGGTGAACACCTCCTACGGGAGAGACCTCCACGGAGGAGAGGAGGCTTTTGTCTACTAAGGCAATTGCCTTGGTGGTGTACCTTAGTGTCACGCCAACTCTGAGCCTTCCCAGCCTTTCCGGGGAAAAAGCTCCGGAACGTGTCTTTGAGAAATATCTAGGATGTGATATAGAAAGTGATACTAGTATGGTGTTTTCGGTACTTCGGGCTAGGATATTGTAAAAATGGAGACAACTGGTATATCGTATAAATTGCAGTTGCATCGATATTTTGGGTACTTGGCACGTTTTCAGCGCTTCGAGTGATATCGAGTATAGGAAACGCTGTAATCATCGATACAAACCTCCCTATAGATGCACGAAATATCAATTTTATCGATGCGGAGGGGCACTTGGAATATAGGAA